TATGAGGCAGTAGTAAAAGTGCTGCTTGAGAAGGATGCTCATATTGAGGCTACAGATAAAGAATGGGGTCGGACACCACTCTCATGGGCCGCTGGGAACGGCCATGAGGCAGTGGTGAAAGTGCTGCTAGAAAAGGGTGCTCATGTTGAGGCTACAGATGAAGGATGGGGTCGGACACCACTCTCATGGGCCGCCGGGAACGGCCATGAGATAGTGGTAAAAGTGCTGCTGAAGAAGGGTGCTCATATTGAGACTACGGATAAGGAAAGGCGTTGTACACTCTCATGGGCCGCCGGGAACGGCCATGAGACAGTGGTAAAAGTGCTGCTGGAAAAGGGTGCTCATGTTGAGGCTACGGATAAGGAAAGGGGTCGGACACCACTCTTATGGGCCTCCAGGAACGGCCATGAGGCAGTGGTAAAAGTGCTGCTGGAAAAGGGTGCTCATGTTGAGGCTACAGATGAAGGATGGGGTCGGACACCACTCTTATGGGCCTCCAGGAACGGCTATGAGGCAGTAGTAAAAGTGCTGCTTGAGAAGGATGCTCATATTGAGGCTACAGATAAAGAATGGGGTCGGACACCACTCTCATGGGCTGCACAAAATGGGCATGAGGCAGTGGTGAAAGTGCTGCTGGAAAAGGGTGCTCATGTTGAGGCTACGGATAAGGAAAGGGGTCGGACACCACTCTCATGGGCTGCACAAAATGGGCATGAGGCAGTGGTGAAAGTGCTGCTTCAGAAGGGTGCTGGCCGAGGCTCGGCGTAATCAACCGAACCTTTGCAGAGAAGGTATAACAGCAAGCAAGACGGCTTCCAGGTGGTGTTTCTCCTGGAAGTACTATTGATCAGACTTTGAATTGCCCTGAATTCTATTCCTTTGTTCATATTGTTTAAGAAAATCCAGATGACGTTGACGCGTTGGAAATCTTGGAGAGCAGCACCGATGCTCTCCCAGGAGATACCATCGGTATGTTGTACGATGAATATTCAATCCAGCGTCTCTCCTCACAGAACCACAGAGAACAAGATCATTCTTGGTGACAGTAGAGCAGATAACTCCTGTACATCTGATGCAAGATCGCTCAGTTCTTCTACCAGCAATCTCTCACACTTACATTCGCGGGAAGACATCAAGATGTCCAATATTCCAGGATCCATACTCGCTTCTCGCCAAGACCAGGCGCGAGAGGTAATGTAAGCATCGAGTGATTTTGACCAAAGCTAATTCGGGAACAGGCTGAACTGATTCCGAACGCATCCAGACATCCAAGCAACAATTTGTCAACACATGGAATGTCCTGTCTTCCCCATCGCAGTCTTATGGTGTATTTCCGACAAATCAATAAGTAACACCATCCGGAGTGTGAAAAACGAATTAGAATACCAGCACCAACTGATCGACTTGTCGCTACCAGAGTCCGACTCATTAAAATGCTTAAACTAGAAAGCACATGTCGTGCTATGGTCAATCAAGCCTTGGCTATTGGGCGAAATTCCAACCAGCGTATGACTACAAACATCACTGATCTATCTCAATTGATCTTATAGTCTCGAACCGCCTGTCTTGCGACCAAAGAAGCCCTCAAGAATGAACAAAAGCAGCTACAGTAAACGGCACTAGAGCTTGATTATACCCGAAGAAAGTTTTATCTTATGGATAGTCTTGTCCATACGATCCTTCTCCAAGAGGATAGCGAGCTCGAGCTTGCAGACCACTCCCGACAAATTATCGGTCTTTAAAGTCGAGCAGATAATGGGGGGTTGCGATTCCACTTCAAAATATTGGATTTGCCCGTGCGAACTACTTGCCGGCGCATCACATTCGTGCATGTATAACCCATAGTTGCAGGAATTGTGGCCTTGCGCGGGCGTTAACATCGCTTGTGCGGATGCTTCGCTCACGCACGGCTGTGATTGTTCCAAAACCGTGGCCCTGGGTGTGTTAATTGCTTTCGTGCATATATAACCCATAATCGTAGGAACTGTGGCCTTGCGTGTGCGGATTACTGCTGGCGCTTTTCTCTCGTGCATGTATAGCCCATAGTTCTAGAGTTCACAATTCAACATATCTCTTCAAACGTGTCTCCATCTTGCCAGCAAATCAGGGAACCTAAAGGTTGTCCGCAAACTTATGGATGAAGGCCATGACTTGTTATTGGGGGAGGGACATCAACGGGTTAAGCTCGTTTCACTATGCACTGGATCGTGATCATCATGTAAGGTGCTTGGAAGCGCCTTCATTGGATTACCGAGTTTGGCCTCGTATTAATCAAAACATCAGCCATATTCCCTTTTACCAGAGGTTTCCGAGCGGGGATTTCATGATAATGCCTACTGGAAGCCTCGGTTACTTCAATCTTAGGGAGTATCTGAGAGATAGAGAGATTATGGTAGTGTGCTTCGACACATCCACTGATCGTTAATTGGCGAACTGAAGCTGGTGAATACCTAAACAAAATAGGTCCATTACTGGTTCAAATGCTATAGAGCGTTTAATTTCAATGAGTGGCTGAGATTTAATTCGATTAGGATAAAGGACAATAGAAGGATCCCTTCGAAACCGACGGGTAGCGATAGCGATCCGGCGCGATCTGGCAAATCAGGTGATTGCGTAAGCCCGAACAGACCTTGTTGATCATCCATATTTTCTAGTAATGGATGTATGGGAGCTGAATCAGGTTAGAGATAAAGTCCGGAGAGCCCGAATAGTCAATTGCTATGATAACTGGCTGGGAACCGGTCATTGCTGGCAGGGAGGCAGCTAGAGAAAGAGGGCTCTAGAAGATGTGTGCTGGGACCAGATCGTTGAAGGGAGGTGCCTGGTCCTGGGAGACTTCAACACCCACAGCCCTCTATGGAATCCTCTTGCGAGAGCCAGAGTGAATGCCGGACCGCTGGAAGATTTAATAGGAGTAGCATGTCTCTATATCAACAATGAGCTGGGAACTCCGACAAGACCAAAGATAATTCCAGGAATCTCGATCATAGACCTGTCTTTAACAACGGCCACTATGGGCCCTCTGGAAACATGAGCAGTTTACCAAGAGCATCTAACAGGATCAGATCATGAAATTTTGATTATGGAGTGGACTCCTCTGGAAAGAACAACACCAGCGCCCTCCCAAGATATAACAGGATAGCAAATCCAGGCACTCAAAGCCAATATACAAGCGCTGGAGGAAGCCACACGAGATTGGCAAGCAAGAGCACAACCCAGGCCCATCCTGGGAGATACGTGCTCGGCAGAAGACATAACAGAAGAAGCCATCCGGATCCGAGAGGCCCTGACAGGAATACTGAATCGATATGCGAAGCAGCTGCGAGTGACTCCAAGATCAAAGCGCTGGTGGGGTCCAGAGATCAAGGAGGCCCACAAAACCTACAGCCAGGCAAGAAGAGTATGGCAGGGATAGGAGATCTCCACAACAGAGTTGAAGGAAGTCCGGAACAGCTACTACAGAGCCATTCAGCAAGTAAAACGCACCTGTTGGGAAGCATTCCTAGAACCGGCTACCGATACAGCCCGAGGCTTGCAGGCTTTGGACTTTACGAAGCCCAGAACAGCCACAACAACCCCGACACTACACGGACCCCAGGGACAAATTGCCAGCTCAATTAACGAGAGAGAGGCCCTAATTCGAGAAATAGCCTTCCCCCAAGCGCCAGGCATCAGTCAGGAAGTCGAGATTCCTCCAGGATCCTGGCACGCTCAAGTGGACGAGAGAATAGTTAAACAAGCTCTACTTTATCAAGCGGTTCAAAAGGCTCCAGGAATAGACAAACTCAACTTCCGGGCTCTGCGGCTTCTCTTGGAATGGGACAATCCAAGAGTAACTGCTCTCGCCCGATAATGCTTCTGGCTGGGAATACACCCGCCGGTATGGAAGGTGGCAAAGGGCATTCCCCTAAGAAAGCCTAATAAGCCTGATTGTTCGGTGGTAAAGGCCTATCGGGTAATCAGCTTACTCAACTGTCTAGGAAAGGTAGTCAAAAAAAATAGCAGCAGAAGCGATTACTAGTCACTGTGAGGCTACAGGAGTCCTACATCAAGGGCAGATGGGCAGCCGAAGACAACGAAGCGCAATAGATGCGGTAGCATGTCAGATACAGACCACACATGAGTGCTGAAAACTACAACAGCTTGTAGGAGCTCTGTTCCTTGATGTAAAAGGAGCGTTTGATTACGTCAATTCAAGCAGACTGGTTAGCCGGTTGATCGAACTGGGCCTGGATAGGGACCTGATCCGATGGGTGCAATCATTTTTGACGGACTGATGGGTTTAACTGCAGATCGACCACGTACAGTGCCTACTACAACCAATTAACTCAGGGGTACCGCAAGGCTCACCAGTGTCTCCTATTCTGTTTATCATCTACCTTGACGGTATTATCGAAGCAATAGAGAATACAGTTCCGGGAATCCAGCCCCTCTCCGTTACAGATGATATAGACCTGTTAGCCTCAGGGCACTCTGTCCGCGAAATCTACAATAAGCTGCAAGACGCCGCCCAAGTAGCCATCGAGTGGGAACATGATAACATGATTCAGTTTGATGCGGGAAAGACAGAAGCGCTCTTGCTTACCCGCAAGCATAGTCGAGAACTAAAAGACTAGATTCAGCGAGCACACATAGAATTGAGAGGCTAATCTCTTCCTTTCAACCTACAGGCAACCCGATTGCTGAGAGTATAGCTTGATTCTAGTCTAAACTTCAAGGCCCGGACTGCAGAAGCCCGGGTACAACGACTGTGCCAGATGCATGGGCTCGCCCTCGGGCTGGCTCGTCAGGTTCAAGTTGCCGCAGTGCAATCAGTAGCACTCTATGGAGCAGAATGGAGCAGAGCTCTGGTGGCGGGGCCAGAAAGATTGGTAGGAGGGCGTGCGGTTGATGATCAATGGGTCCTAGGACACGCAGGAGTGGAAGGAAATGAGCGAGCAGTGTCAGGAACCTTTCGATTGTGGGAAGCGATGAATAGATTGTATATTGGATGACCGTGTGGCCACTTATCTAAGATATCTAGCTTAATAGTTAATTAAGTGATGACTAGGCGAGGTCGAACCCCAGAGCAGGCGGAAGGGTACGTCCCTATGCTCCAACATGACTTACTTCAATTCTGACTAATCTGACGATATCTGTTTTAGGTCTATAATCCGGTATGGCAGCCAAAATCTGTCTATCATATGATGACTATACAGTTGGAGAGATCTATGCTCTGACACTAGAAATGGCCGCTGCCAGGGCGATGCTTGACGACATTCAGGAAGATCTACTCGTGCAACCCAATGACAATAATCTATACCTCCTCAGAATAATCGGAACCACAGGATTGTAAATACATTATATATATTTACCCAGTAGTGCTACAGAATTGCATTTACTACTTCAGTCTTAAACCGGTATCTCACCATTGCTAGTGGTGGCCGTTCCTTTATGCTTTCCAGAAAAACCGAGAAGCTGGGGCAGCTCCTTCACCAGATGCCAGAGCGCCTCGAGGATAACAAGTCCAAATGCGCAGAGCGGACCCAGAATTGCAAAAACAGTAAACCCGTACGAGGCCGCCATGAAGCTCTTGTTCTGGCCTAGCTGCTCCGTGGCAAGCCCGACCTGCATAGCCGTCAAGACCAAGGCAATGAAGACAGTCGCAGTGGCCAGTAACGTGATATTATCATGAAAAAGACTTCCATAGTTCCAGTAGTGACGCAGGTAGGGCTCGAACGGCGGCATCTGGGTCATGCGGTGGAGAATGTCAAGCCGAGCAAGGCGGAGCTCTGCGCGGAGGAAACGATGGACTTTGTTCCTGTCAAAATTGGAAAGGACTTCACTGGTAATATTTTTCCAGTTCTCCCAGCCAGATTGGGACCTACTAAGCTGGCGAGGCAAGAGATATTTCTCGCTGGCGATATTGAAGTCGCTCTCGTAGGAGATGAGACAGATATAACTGTAGAGAAAGCCCATAGCACACTCCCAGAGTTTCTTCCTCTGGCATTCTACCGGTGCGAGGGTATCTTTCTTCGGAGAAGGACTGCTATTAATATTGCTCTCTTCTGAAACCTTATCTCTGCTAAGATTGCTGTTGCTATCACTTGTCCTCCTTGCAGAGGAGTCGCATTCACAGCCAGGCTGGCAGCAGAAATATTTTCTCCAAAATACTGGTTCAAGCAAAAAGCCCGGTAGAGGTTTAAAAAAAAATTTTCGATCGTTTGTCCAGAGAAGATGAAGGTCCATCCGCTCGGTAATGATAACTTCTCGTCCGATCATAATTTGTTCATGTAGCGGCTTTGGTGGGCGTTTCGCTCCAGCATACCCCAAAAACGGAAGCACTTCCAGTCGGCCAAGCGAGAATTCTTTGACAAGAAATTCCTCTATATCCTTATTGGGGACATGTAGATCTTCTAGTCCTCTATAGCAGGCTGGAAGATTATCGCTTCCATTCAACGCCCTCACATACTCTAGGAAGTCCGTGTTAAACTGCCGATAAACAGGTTAGATTAGCCAGATGATTTCAGAACTCCAACCTTACGGGGGCGAATCGAGGCATGATTATGCCGGTTGGATTCTTTTGAACCTGTGTTCGATCAATCGATTGTAAGCTATAGTCAGGAAGAGAGGCTGTATGTAAAAGTAGAAAACATTTAAAGTGTACACTCTCTGTATGCAAGCCTAACCTGTATGGGAGCCTAATCAGAGACTCTAGCTCCAATCAGAACATACGTCGATGTCCATAGTATAGGAGCCCATGCGGGGCTTGAGCTGCAGTATTTCCACACCTTACCTGCTTCAGTAATTGTATCTTGTGATATAATTGGCTCCAATGCGGAGCCTATCATGCAGGAGCTTCTTCACAGGGGAAATACACTGAGCAGGGAGACCGGGCGCATAATTCTCGTGCAGGTTTTCTGTTGGCTGATAAGTCATATTTGTTTTGTAGTGGGAACAAGGATTATATTATAGCCGCGTGACAGGAACACAGGAAGCGGATTAAGTTTAGGATAGAAATAGGGTAGAAATAGGCTGCGGAATGTTTGATGTAGACATACAGGTCGTTCCCTTCACAAGTTATCTTCTATTCATGTCCGCTTCTACCTCTCATATTCTATTCTGGCTTTTCAGAGACTATTTGCCTTCCTTTCCATGCCCCCGCAGATTTTCAAGCCACCGGCTGAGATGAGACACAGCTTTATTTCATTCAGCCGCTAAAGGTGGGACTAAGGGTTGACGTAATTGGCAGGGGGCAGAGTGATACAAATCTACCCCATCACAACCTCAATTGATTGGTGGTTAGGAATTGCTTAGGTTCCTATAGGTCGCTTTCATTTTTTCTCAGGCTGAACCCCACCTTGAAATAAGCGATGAGTGATGGGGCACTGGGCTGGGGACCCATTGTTACCGCTATCCATGAAGGGCAGGAGTATCGGCGATTAGAACTGATTCAATAGGGTTCCTTATGCAGCTCGGACTCGAGGGTAAGTCTGAAAAAGGCCGGCTACTGGTTGATGCATCGGCAAGCTGCAAGAGCTGGCTAGATTGTTTTCATATCTCAGCTGGCATCCCTCTCACTTCCTGCGACACTTCCTACTTGACAACTTCTCATCTTCAGCTACACCTCTCTTGGTGGACGTAATTGAATCTTACCAATAGTCAAGTGATGAATTCGTTCAAGATCGGCCAGGCTATTATTCTGGCCGGAGGGACAATGGCTTTTTGTTTTTGGCTCTACAGCAGACGTGCATTGTCCCAGCCAGCACCACACTCCGAGGCAAAACATGGTGGTGCTTGCCACAGCGGCCCAGCTCCAGGGGCTCCAACACAATCCGTTCGGCGACTGCAAGGAGTCTGTCTCCGTCAGGTCTACCCTTCATCCGAGAGCAAGATTGAAACAGATATCGATATTATTGCCATTCATGGCCTCGATACGAAGTCGCCGGACACATGGATATGGAAAACCCCAGAGACTGACGTTAACTGGCTTCAAGATCTGGATATGCTGCCTAAGCGATTTCCGACCGCGCGAATCTTTACCTGTGACTGGCCTGCCAACCTCCTTGAAGAATCAGACTTTATCCAAAAAAGAATTGAGGAATTTGCTCGGCTCTTGCTCGCCGGAATTAAACATCGGCCTCCAGCAACGAATAATCACTGTGAAGAGAAGGAAAGACCAATTTTGTTTATTGCGTCATGTCTCGGAGGTGTCATCTTGATGAAAATGCTTATAATGGCTAATCAGGAGTATCATTCTGTGAAACAAGCAACACGCGGTATTATCTTTCTTGCCACACCATTTCGTGGCACGTCATTCGAAGATGTGGCTAGATGGGCCGAGCCATGCCTGAGAGCCTGGGCTTCGATCAAAGACAGGAATGTTTCCAACATGCTCGAGCAGGTGAAACCGACATTTGAACTGGAAGAGCTTGTGCGCAGCTTCACTACTTTTTGTCAAGAAAATGACCTTACACAACATGTGTTCACCTTCTATGAGACTGGCAAGTCAAGTCTTCCGCGTAAAATAGCTCCCTGGCTCCCCGGTTTTTTGTCCCAGGAACAACCGGTAAGAACTGTGATTTAATCTTCATTCTTTACTCTGAGTAAGAGGAGTGGTGCTAATAAATTACCAGCTGGTTGATAAAGTTTCCGCAACTCTGGATATTGTTCCACATCCTATACCCCTTGCTCGATCGCATGTAAGGATGAATAAGTTTTATGGTCCTGAAGATCCAGAATATGTTGCTGTTACTGGGAAACTTGACTTAATTCTTTGCAAAATTCGCCAGGGACGGCCAATTGATAGAGCAGACACTTGGATACAGAATAAACGCTATTCTCTGAAAGAGCTTGAGATTGAACGACTCTCAGGTGATCTACTTCCGATGGATCGCTGCTACATCAATCTTGCTATTATAGAGCACTCAGCTGAGAATAATAGTCACGGAAAGGGAGAATATATCGCGCGAAAGGCTTCCCCATTTTCACTCCACGCCCGATTAAAGACTGAGACGCCAGACAAGGCCATTAAGGTGACGTTGCCAACTCTATTTGAATCCCGCAAGTCAAAGGATGGTCAGGACCGCCAACCATGACGGATCTTGATTCGTGGACGAGCCGGGGTGGGCAAGACCACTCTATGCAAGAAGATTGTTCATGATTTCACATACAAGGGAATGTGGCGGGATTTGTTTGATCGCGTGCTTTGGGTTCCATTGCGGAATCTAAAGCGGGAAGAAAGACGTCAGCTTTCTGCATATAAATTTGGCTCATTGTTTCATGACGAGTATTTCTCTCAACACGCGGAAGGCAGGAACCTTGCTGAAGAATTGTGGTCTGCATTGAGGGATACAAAGAGTCGCAAAACTTTGTTTATCCTGGATGGTCTAGATGAAGTTTCTCAAGACTTGGGCGAACATATGCGTACTTTCTTCAAAGAGCTCTTGGGTCAGCCTAATGTTATTATAACAACCCGACCCTATGCAATACTTCCGCATCGCACGAAAGATATTGATATCGACCTTGAACTGGAAACGATTGGGTTCTACCCAGACCAAGTAAAAGCCTATGTCGAGAAGGCCTTTACTGACCCAAGAACAGTCGGGATAAATCGAAAAACACCCGCTGAGATCCAGTCATACCTCCAGGAGCATCCAATAATCCAAGGACTTGTGCGGATTCCAGTTCAGCTGGATGCGCTCTGCTTCACCTGGCAAGGTTTGCATAGTGAAGATATACGACCACAGACAATGACCGATGTCTACAAAGCGATCGAGCAAAGCTTATGGAAGAAAGACACCATAAAACTAGATAAACGGACTGAGGCTCAAATGCAGAACGCTTCGACGATAGATATCATGAACTGTATCGGAAAAGAGCTTGAGTTCGTTGAAGCTCTTGCCTTTACTGGAATGTACAACGATGTCATAGAGTTTGAGCGAAAGCACCGCGATGCTGTACAAAAGCTGTTTGATCCCTTGGACATGAATCTCTCTCTAGACACGATACTCGGACGCCTCTCTTTCCTGCGAACATCAGACCCGTCGTTGAAGGAACGAGATCGAACTTACCATTTTTTGCATTTAACATTTCAAGAATACTTCGCCGCAAAATACTTTGTACGGCAGTGGAAAGCTAACGGAACACTCAAATGTCTAGTGTTCAGCCAACCGAAGAAAAGCGGCAAACTTCTTGAAACGCCTATTGAATTTCTTCAAAAACTCAAGTACCACGTGAGATATGACATCTTCTGGCGCTTTGTTACCGGCTTACTTGGCGATGAGGATGACGAAGAAGTACGTCACTTTTTTGAGAAGATCAGAGAGGCGCCACTTGATATATTAGGTCCTATGCATCAGCGGCTTCTCATGCATTGTTTGCACGAAGTACAGACAGCAGAGATACCATTTCGAAAGGACCTGGAACAGAGTCTGCTGGATTGGCTTCTTTTTGAATGCAAATATAGAAAAGATTCATACCTAGCAGCTGAAATGGAGTTCGCAGGACCTGTCCTTGCTAATGCCTTGCAATCAAGTTCTGGTGCTACAAAGAAAATACTTCTCGACTCACTAGGAAAGAGACAAGGAATGAGATCAAACCTAATAGATCCGGTCGGTTCTTGCCTTGGGGATGATGACTCGGATGTCAGAGGCGCAGCAGTCCAGGCACTGAAAGGGCTGGCAGGCCAGGCGACACTACCCCCAGACATCATCGAGGCTATAGCAGTACGGCTTGGGGATGATAACTCAGACATCAGACACGCGGCAGTCCAGACACTGGAAGAGCTAGCAAGTCAAACAGTGTTGCTTCCAGACATTATCCAGGCTATAGCAGTACAGCTTGAGGATAATAACTGGTATATCAGACGCGCGGCAGTCTAGACACTGGAAAAGCTAGCAGACCAAACGGTACTGCCTCCAGATATTATCGAAGCTATAGCAGTACGGCTTGAGGATAATGATTCAGATGTCAGACACGCGGCAGTTTAGATACTGAAAAGGCTGGCAGGTCAGACGGTACTGCCTTCAGATATCATCGAAGCTATAGCAGTACGGCTTGGAGATAATAACTTAAATGTTAAAGGTGCAGCAGTTCAGGCACTGGAAAGGCTGGCAGACCAGACAGCGTTATCTCCAGACATCATTCAGGCTATTACATTACGGCTTGAGGATAATAACTGGTATATCAGATACGCGACAGTCCAGGCACTGGAACGGCTAGCAGGCCAAACGATATTGCCTCCAGATATCATTGAGGCTATAGTAGCACGGCTTGGGGATGATGATTCAGATGTCAGACACGCGGCATTCCAGGCATTGGAAGGGCTGGCAGGCCAGGCGGCGCTGCCCCCAGACTCTCTCGGTCAGTATCTAGGTTTGCTTTACCGGGTATTGTTAGAAACCAGCTTCCAGCAGCCCTGCAGTTGGATTATTACGGAAAAGGTTTCCTACATAGCATTACATGACCGAGAGGTTCGTTTAGGATCTGTACAAAAACAGTTCATGGAGGCAATTCAGGAAACACAGAGAGCATTAGATGCTCCCCCACCTTACTGTATTAGTTAAGATACAAATTGTCACCTATCCTATGTCAAGAATGGAATAGACCTCTGGTGACCACGGCGTTCCTACTCTTGTCTATTTTCTAATCCCTTTTCAAAAGGAGGGTCTGGGAAAAACCAAATATTTAAGCCAAGAATTATTGCTACCAGCATGCTTACCATCAAAATCCAAAAGTTTCCGGCATAGTTGTGACGGTCTACAAAGGAGCCTAGTAAAAGACTAGTTTGTTTATGACTCGTAGTCAAGGAATTTTCCCATGGAGAAGAAAGGCTATCTAGGAGCGAGAATCTAAGGCCTCTATGTACTAACTGAGGCTCTGCCTCAGGCAGGAATGCATTCAGGAAGGTTTCTCCGTACTGGGAAGTTCGTATCGGAAGTCCGTATCGGGAAGTCCTTGGCTCAGGAGATAACAATAGTCATGTGCCACGGGTCTTAACTAATTATGAAAACATGACGCAAGGGACAACGAGCCGCCACCCTACCTCCGCGGCGATAACGCATCTTGCGAATTTAACGAAACTAAAGAGTGAGATGTCAATTCTAAATAGATAAGCAAATGAAATTAGGTGTGTATATTCTACCCCACTGATCTCGCCTTCTTCAACTCCTTTAGGAAAGTTCAATGTCCAACAGATTCATGACACTATTCGAATTTCGTTTCATACAATCGACACGCGTGATTTCTTATTCCATTACACATATGTTTATGCACCACCATTTTCAAGCTCTCATATGATAATATCATGTGCGTTACAGGAACTGGTCCAATTCCATTTACTATATTAAAGACAATAACTCCCTTCAGAAAACCTTCTAGAAGAAGTTTGATCTACAACAGGACTGATACATTCACTGTAACTGCGGGACGTTATATCAATGCAGCTCAAAGTTACACAGCTCATGCATAGCTGTGCATAATTCATAATAAGACCAGCGGATCTTGACATTAGGGTCTGGAAATAGAAGACAAGAGTATAGAAGTGAATCTGATAGAGTTTCCCGTGCCGTTGATAGTCAGGCGGTAAGGATGGGAGAAACCCTGAGATGAGTCAAGTACTGTGTCCAAGTATGTCACATTTGCTACTGATTCGATAAGTAGGCGAAAACTACAATTGTTAAATAAGATTAAACTGCCACGATCTTGGTTGGCCAGACCAAAACAGATACAGAGACCGAAAATTAGTCCCGAAAACTTTTAGAGGTTTCTTTTGCAACGCATTGTAGATGGACAGTGTTTAAACTTCTAATTCAAGACGATATATGCTGGATGATAAAGGAAGTGAATGTCACATGCCTTTATAGTTTGAATTTGCTCTGAGGCTGAGATATCTTGGAAGTGGTTCTTTTATTATTTAGCTAAAAATCGAAGTGATAGGGAGTACAGCGTAGTTTTAACCCATTGGGTAACCCTTAGTAAAGTGCACCGGTGGCAAGAAATAAACATCCATCCAAGCTCCGGAGAAAGCTTTTTAATATAATTAAAGCTGACTCTCACCTTAACTTTCACTAATTTACTGAGACGTCGGTTAAATTCAAATCCATATCCTATAACAATAGCCTCTTGGTCATCGACAATCTCTGTGGCCATTTCGGCTTTCCGTAGTTGCCAAACAAAATTAAATAGGAGTGTTGGAGTGTGCCAGGGTCACAGTCATCCTAGTAATGACATTTATAAGGCTGATACACAGAATGCAATTTCGGAGGCTGGCATGCCTATCCAATAGGATAACAATGTAGCCGACAGAAATCGTGTAGGTGATCAAGGCCCTGGACAGAACACGCATATATGGATACGTCTATAGCGATAATACCCAGCTCACACAGTAAATTGTTCTCAGAATTCAGCTGTCGAATTCGGGTATTGATGGCCGATATCTGTTCCCCAACGGCTTTTGCCTGCTGATATCTGCTTCATTCCCTTTGACAGTATTAAAACTTTGGATGATAAGGGGACCTGCGAGTGTGTGCTGCCTTTCGTGATACTCAAGAAGAGTCATTGGCCCGGATCTAGAAAATGACTGTTCTGTGTATACTCCAAAGCTGCCAAAGAATGACATTCTTAGAAATGAGATAGTTTGGTAAGTGAAGAAAGGTATCGTATTATTGAGGAAGGTCTTGTTAAATTACCTAATAAAGGACTACGGGAGAAAAGCCATAATTTAATAAAATCCTGTATCATGATGCATGGTTTCATCCTTAGAACCATTAGCTCATGCTGGTAGTTTGTGTAGGCTGGAAATCAAAGCATAGCAGCTTAAAATCTTGATAAATGGGTCCCTCCCTTTCCAATTACAACAGTCCATCCCGGAGTGTATCCACGAAAATTTGGCTTGTGGATACTTCTTTCGTTAGGCTTGGTCGGTCTTTGTTGTGACGATTGGACAAACCTGTTATCAGAATCTTGCCCCGCTGGACTTCTAATTCCTCCATAAAAGCTTGCTTAATATTTATATGACCTGCGAAGCTATTCACAAGTCGACCGTTCCTTAAGCCAGTTGGCTTGTCCGGAATATGCAATTTGATATTGAGCATCTGAAAGCGCGTCAGCCATGAGCGGTCAGAAGCTTGCTCGAGCTTACCAGTGTTTTCGTATATTTATCGCGATCTTCTGTTAGAAGATGTATCATCTAAGGCCGAACAGCGGCTAAGTTATCTACATTGCCTATTCAATAAGCTGCTTTTTGCCTTGCAGACGCTATCCTTACTCCAACTTGTCTCCCATATGAGCGAAATTCGACGAACGGATAGCTCTCCGCGTAATGATCCGTAGAGGAAATGACGCATGTAGGGTATTTGAGCTGCAATATCAACCCCTTGTGCGAACATAATGACGTGACCATACTCTTCGAAATCACAATGTCCACCGTATGGACCATCAACAATGGCTCGCATTTTTGTTGAAGATCCATAGGCAGCAATATCCTCTGTCAGGCCACACCGCGGCTGAATAAGTAACCAGAATGTGGATAGTCTCTCGGTTGCCGACTCAATCACGGGTTCGGTACTTTTCGCGCCATCCTGTCCAAGTATGGAAAGATCTTGTCCAAGATCTTCATCGATTGGTCCATCGGAGCGATCCCTGCGCTCCTCGTTCCACCAAACCACCGAGAATGGATGCCCTTGCATGAATGACCAGGGTTTCATTGTTCGAATATAAAGATAACCTGTTTGGCCAGGTTTTAGGGTCTAACCCCGTGGCAAGGCTACACGAAGCTTTAGCGTTGGCCGCGAAGGCATGTTCTCGTAGCTGTTGTGTGCAGGTTATCGCAGTGCAAAGAGGTTGAAACGGTGCGGAATTCGGCTGACATGATTGTTCAGCATATCGGAAGGATGTGTTATACGCGCTTGGGTGTGACCTTTGCCGTTGTCCGAGCACCGGTTAAATCCTATATGCGGGGAATATGCGGGGTAGAAGCCCTAAGTCATGTTGATGTCCCTTGCGATCCACGCGATAAGCTCCATTGAACTGCTATGCTAATCCCCCGGATAGTGTCCGCTATCAAGGCGTTGAGATTTCAGCCGAGAGCATACATTCTTCGGGCGATGACGAGCGGACTCATCGTGGGAAACGACGTCGAGTGTCCAAAGCCTGCGATCGATGTCGCCAAGGCAAACTCAAGTGCAACGGAGTGCGGCCACAGTGCGACACATGTCTGAAGGCTGACAAGCCTTGTTCTTATGGAATTGAAATTCGAAGGCGGGGGTTACGCACGGGGTACGTGCGCGCGTTAGAATGCCTGTGGGGATTGATCCTCCAGTCCATCGACGGGAGCGAGGATGCGATCGAGAAATTGATTGTCACCACGGCCAAACAGTGCTTCTGGGCTCGAGATGATGTCAGGGACGTCTTAAGGTCTGGGGAGACATGGAAGTCGAGGAAAATCCCTCAGGCCATAGACGCGCTCTTGTCCGAGCAGGACAATGGGGAATGGGGTGGATGAGGGGTCGACCACGATACCCATGTATTTATCCGCGCAGATAGAGCCCCTTCGTCCTCTTCGGAGCCTATCGAGTTTGTCTGTCAACCTGCGTAGACGGTCTCACGTCGCGCCGGAAATGATTTGCCCACGTTGCTCAGGTAGAATGCAAGAACAAACAGCGGAGCCTAGGGATAAAGTTGTTAGCGAAAACAAGAGTCAGGATCAGAATCACAGGGCGCCAGAGACATCTGTGCTATCACAGCAGACGCCGCCAGATGCATTCCCCGAATTGCCCCAAAATCCGGTCCAGTTGCTGAGTCGATATTCTTCTCTCACCCACAGCTGGCTACCCATTGTCGAAAGCCATGCCGTGTGCCGGATATTCTTTGCCCACGGTAAGACCTCGGGTCCCCTTGGTACGACGAAGCGAGATTCCGGAGATATCGCCGTTCTTTGGGCCATTTTCGCGGTTACGAGTAGGACGGGCCACCAAGGCAACTTGGATCTACCGTCAGCGCATCCGGATGAGCTCTACATGGTAGCCAGAAAAGCTATCCCACTAGAGAAAGAGTACAACTATTCTCCGGGCCACGTACAGGCCTATCTCATTCTCTGACTCCTCTACTACTCGTCTTGTGAATGGGAAAACGCGCGCATTCTGATCGGACAGGCGACCTTGATCGCGAGCCGCATCGGGCTCGACCAGCCGGATTCATGCCAGACGGACTACCATCGACGCACCTGGCTTGGATGTTTCGTCTTGGATACTCTCATCTCCGCGCATACTGGGAAGATACCCTGGATTCGGTCCGACCAGGTGAAGACCCTCTTTCCGATTGATGAGACGGGGAACGAAGAATGGGAGCCATGGCATCTTCAACACGCACTGCGGCCGAGTGTGGAAGCTGAAATTGCGGAGTTTGCAGCTCCAAATCACGCACTGTCTGTTTTTACGAAGTTATTGGATCTGCTCTGCATTACTAACGACAGTATTAGTACGACGACTCTCGAGCAGAAGGACGGCTGCAAGGAGGCATTGACGGCCTGGAGTGACGATCTGCCTGAACACATTAAAGGGTTTTGTGACGAAATGTCTCAGAAGGCATCGGCGCCTCCGCCTCCAAATATGCTTAACCTACACATCCTCCATGCCTTTTTGCGAGAGAACCTGGTTCACTCGACCCCTCCACGGACTGGTGTACGTGGCCATGGATGGCCCAAGTTTCTCCATGCTATGGAGGCGTTCTTCGGTCGGTTTAGTCCACAGATGATCCCGCCATCGTTTCGCCTCCTCCGTTGCTCATCCCGACCCATGACTAAAAGTGACTCCATCTATGACTTGCTGGCCGAGCTGAAGAATTCAACGGATGGGTGATTGCCAGATCGGTCGCTATTAATTCACCGCGGCGTAAACACCTCTGCTGAGAGGGAACCTGTAAGCCTGACACTGCAATTTATCGATTGCCATCATTTTTTCTTCTCTTTTCTTTTCTTAGCTACTTGATATCCATACGCTTGCTTACCTGAGCTTTTAAACTCTTATAGCTACCGGAAAGCAACAACCTTATCAATATCCCAACGACGGCAGTTCCATGCAACCTAAATCCAGGCCTAGAACAAGACCTTAACTCACTAATCGACGTCAACATGTCCAGGTCCTGGCCGGATGCTGCTGCTGAGTTCTTTCCGGAATCGCAAAATGTACCCCAGAATGCAAGACCAGGAATGATCCAGCCGAATCCTATTGCAGGAGCTCAAGATGATATCTCGCCTTTGGACGAGTTTCCGGACGAGGCAACGCTTGGTCAGCTTAATGACTGGGATGATATAGAGATGTACGTGCAATGCAATTCCCCCGCCCCATATCTCACAAAAGCAGAAATGAAAGTGCTAGATCACTATAAGTCCATGTCTTCATCATCAGATATGATCGTGACCAGCTTAGACGGAATCTGGGTTTCTTGTTCTAATGAATAGTTAACAAACGAACAACTGTGTAAACCATGTCTAGATAATTAAGACTTCAACGTAACTACGCTACATAAAAGGATACATTACTCACAACCTCAACAAATGAGGTACTAATTACTAGATAGAAAAGCCAAGATAAATCAGGATCTAATTCATTCATCCTAAACAATTACAGCAGCAATACACGATTCCCAAAAATGCTAACTAAAAAAAAGGTCCTTTTATAAACAAAATGTAATGTGTATTAGAATCAAAACGTCGCTAACACACGCTCACACACACATATCCATGCATGCAAGCAACAAACATAATTATCAAGTTATTTATGTTTGGTCATCTACGCGAAGGTAGGCAAGACGGTGATGGTGGTGGTGCTGGTAACAACAACCAGCTTGGTGGTGGTCACGACGACCAGCTCACCGGCCTCGTTGGTGGTGGTGGTAGTGTGAGGGACGGCGGCCTGGCCGTTGCCGTTGCCGTTGCCGGCGGCGGCGGTGGTGGCAGCCTGGGTGACGGCGGGAGCGGTGGCAGTGCCGGCCTGCTGGTTGCCGTTGTTGTTGGAGCCGGAGTCAGAGCCGGAGTTGGAGCCGGAGCCAGAGTTGGAGCCAGAGCCGGTGGCGGCGGCGGAGCCAGCCTCGGTGGTGGTAGCCTCAACGGTGGCATCGGTGGTGGAGACGCTGGCGACAGCGGTCTGCTCGGCGGGGGCGGAGACGACGGCACTGGAGGAAGCGACGGAGCCGGTCAGACCCTTGGCGGCGACGATCTTGGGGATGGCGGCCTCGGCGGCGATCATGACGATGGCCTGGGTGTTACCGGTGGGCAGATCGGGGTGGATACTGGCATCGACGACGAACAGGTTCTCGGTACCGTAGACCTTGGTGTCGGTGTCGACGACGGAGGTACCGTTGTCCTTGCGGCCGTCGTCAAGACCCATCTTGGCGGTACCGACGAAGTGGTCACCGGAGGTCTTCTTCTCGATGATGTCGGAGGCGGAGCTGACGCCCGAGATGCTGTAGCCCTTGCCGGAGGACTTCATGTCGTCGATCAGGCCCTGGAGGAACTCGGTGATGGCCTTCTTGTCGGCGTCGGTCTGGAGCCAGGGGTCGGTCTCGATGACGGTGGAGCCTGAAGAGCTGATACCCAGGACACCGGACGAGGTGGCACCGTGGGTGAGGTAGATCTTCATGGTGATGCTGCCGTCGCCGCTGGTGCTGCAGGAAGCCTGGTAGAAACGGGTCACGCCGTCGGAGCCCTTGCTGGAGCTCCAGAACTGGAGACGGTGGCCACCCTGGGACAGGACACCGGAGGCGTGTTTGTACAGGTTCTCGACGAAGGTAGCGGGGCCGGGAATGACGCTGGAGGTGTTGAAGGCGGTGAAGTTGCTGTTGGTGTTGACGGTGACAGTGAACATGGGGTGGTCCTTCAGGTTGTGGCCGACGGGCAGGTTGATCCAGTCAGCCTGGGCAGGAACGGTGACACCGGTGGAGCCCTTCTTGACGTTCTGGATCTGCTCAGCGGGACCAATGCCGGAGTTGAACAGGATACGGGGGGTGGACAGGGCACCGGCAGCGAGAACGACCTTGCCGCCAGCGCGGATGTTGATGATCTGGGCGCCGCCGTTGGCGGTCTCGACCTCAACACCGGTGACACGGCCACCGCGGCGGATCAGGCGGTTAACCTTGGTGTGCAGGCTCAGGGAGAAGTTGTCGAGCTCCTGGGCGAGAGGGAGGTAGGAGCGGACGGGACCGGCACGGATACCGTTGGCGACGGACCAAGAGGGGTAACTGAACTTCTTGTGCTTCTCGTTGGGCTGCTCGTGCTGGTTGACCTGCGAGTAGCCGAGTCCCTTCAGGAAAGAGGAGAGGGAAGCGAACATGCCCTGGTCGTAACGCTTGCCGTCGGCGGAGGGCAGCAAGCTACCGGGGTTGCGCTCGTACAGACGCTCGGAAGCCTCCTTAACATCGTCCCACTTCCAGCCGGAGGGCCACTTGTCGTCGAAATCAGCCTCCTGGGGGTGGATGAAGGCAAGAGCGTTGACGATGGTACCACCGCCGAGAACGCAACCAGCCATGCCGGCGGTGTCGGGGCACAGGTAGTCGTCGAGCAGACCCAGCGAGGACAGGGAGCTGCCCAGGGCGGGGACATCGTAGGCAGTCAGACTGTTGTTCCACGAGAGGGCACCCTTAGTGTTGCCGAGCTGGACGGAGTGGGCGCCACCACGCTCGATGAGCAGGACGCTCTTCTTGGTCTCAGCCAGACGCTCGGCGGCGATGATACCGGCGGCACCACCACCGACAACGATGTAGTCGTAGGTGGTGTTGGACACGGTAGGGGCCACGCTGGGGGTAGGAGTAGAGCTGACAGCGGCGCTCGAGGAGGCCGAGGGCGAAGAAGTAGAGGTGCTGGCCTTAGCCTTGCTGGCCCAGGTGGAGTACTTGGAGGACTTGGCGTCGGACAGGAGCATACGGAAGCTACCGAAACCAGCGGCGTGGTAGTTCAGGGTGGAGGAAGCGGAGGCCGGGGTGGAAGGGTTGGACTTGCTGAGAGCCCATCCGAGGAAGTAGCTCTCGTCATCAGCGCTGAAGGTGGTGGGGTCGCCAACAATGCAACCCTTGCAGAGGAAAGTGTAGGTGAAGTGGGTGCTGTTCTTGGAGGTTCCGCTGGGGATCTCCGCGAGGCTGGCGTCGCCGTCGTACGCGTCGGGGTTGGTGTAGGAGGTCGTCTCACGGAGAGTAGCGACGGCATCGTCGCCGTTGGGCCAGGCACCGATGAGGAGGGCGTGGGTCATGGAGCTAGCAAGACTGACACCACCCCATCCCTTGCCGCTGGTGAGAGGCACAACGAGTTGACCAATGAAGTCCTTGTCGGCATCCTCAGGCAGGGCCAACCCGAAACAGAACCCGCTGGAGGCGTCGCACCACCGTTGGAAGTCGATTCCGCTAGCGGAGTCACTGTAGGCGGACGAGTTGTAGTTTCTGGCCGCAGCTCCGAGCACGGAGCTCAGAGCAACGAGTCCTCCGAGAAAGGAACGCATGTTGTGTTATAAAAAGGGGTTCTCCGAAAATATCAAAAAATCGGAAGAACTGATCAAAGAATCAGAAGTTAAAAAAAGAGTGGTAAAGACTGACAAAAGGTGGATCAAAAGAGAGACAGTGGACAAAACGCTGACCCAGCAGCAAGTCCAAGAAAGAACGAACGGCTTAGAGAAGCCGAAAGAAACGAAAACGTCAAAAGAAAGAAAAGAAGGTAGGGAATGTGTGAAGCAAGAAGAGAAGAAAAAAGACCAGGCTTCCCTCGAGGTCTTCCGGGATTCATATATCCATTCGAACGGCAGGGACAAGTTCCCCCTTGTGGGGACCGAAAACAAACCTGCAACCATGTCATGGAGAACCCGTACAAGACGGTGTGATATTGAAGGGTGATGAGAAAGGGGAAGCTAATGCACTGGGCATATTGATTAAGTGGAATAGCCCTCGAACCGTACGGCGATTACCCACACGTGGGAATTCTTTCCCAGAGACCGTCCCAGGCCAGTGCTTGACGTTGCCCCGAAGAGCAGCCCTGCCGTTGGCTCGAACCAAGATAAGCAAATTTAAGCGGGTCAAGTTTATCTCCGAGGCGCAACGGTGTGGGACATGCCAAGCGGACTTCATCAATTAAAGGTTTCATCCGAAGGCGTTGGCGGTTTTGAAGGGCGCGGCGTCCAAGGCCATTGTCGCCGCGATCATAAAGACGAAACAAGGCCCCCTCAAATAGTTCATGTTCGAGTGGATTGATCACTAAACCAGTGCTTCTGATTGGACTTGCCAGCAGACCTGGCGAAGAATCTGTCAGGACCGGGGCAGACGCTGGTTTCACTCGAATTAATTCTGCCCGTAGCGTTTGTCGACCAGGCGCGAGGGGAAACTTCGGATTCAATCCGAGTCACGTAGTTGGCTGGTTCTGCAGGGAGTAATCTCCTTTGCGATCATTCGATGGTCCGAACCATCCATCATACTATTGATGCAAAAGGGGATGAATTAATTAATCTGATCGGAGTCATCGGAGGAAGGTTCGATTTGTCGCTTGAACTCACCGACATCCCCGGAAAGCCCGACATCTGTCAGAGCAAAGTCAGAATTCTATCCACCAACGTTGACGTGACTCGTGCGTGGTGAGTCGTGACTAGGGTGAAATGATGCCGACTCCTGTCTGTGGATGACACTGAAAGCGTCACGAATTGCTCAATCAGGAGAAAATCGGCCCGCACCGAGTGGGTCACCTGAGCGCTGAAAGAGGCAATTAGGGCTCAGGGCCAGTGGTGCCGGGAGATTAAATCTGCTGGTCAAGTTCTTTTTGGCTGATGCCTAGTGTTTATATTAAATCATATTAAGCCGGATATTACCTAGGTCTTTATTGGGCCGACCAGGCTAAGCATTGCTAGTGCGGTGGAATGGGGCCGCTTAGATGTCATGAATCATGGACCTGTCACCTGAGAACATGCTGTGGAAGTGAAATGGAATCATAATTATGGTTATGGCTCTATACGGAGGCAAAGCTTAATTGGCTACTAATCAGCCGACCAACTGTACAACTTGAAGATAAAAGGGTCTGATGCCGAAAAAACGCCGCGGACATTTCGTCAACACAAACTGAATTGGATAGAAATTCGCCAGCGATCAACTGACGATTCAAACAAGAAACAAAAAATGGGGAAGGTAGCATTCATAAATCCTGTTCCTGAAAGGAAAAGAGTTTAAGCAAGAACAACACCAGCGCCGAAGAGCGTCGACGCGACAGTGACCAGACCAACAACGACGGGCGCCAGGGTCAAGCTGGGGATTTGCAGACCGGCGGCGGCACCGGCGGAGGAAGTAGAGGTGCCGCTGCTGGAGTCGGAGCTGGAGTCGTACGAGGAAGAAGCGGAGCCGGAGCCGGGCTTAGCGGTGCCGGTGGAAGTAGTTCCGGCGTTCTGGCTACCCTTGCCCTTGAAGCCGTCACCCTTGCCAGCACCCTCGGTCATGTACTTCTTGGCGGGCTCGGGGATGGCGGGAAGGTCATCGTCATCAACGTTCCAGTTGGGGGAGTCCTTGGCAGGGCAGGGGTTGGCACCACCGGTCTTGTTGTAGCCGCCGCTGCCGGAGGGGTTCTCGGTCTTGTCGAAGGCGGACTTCAGGGCGTCGAAGTCATCGAGGGTCTTGACGCTGTCGCTGCTGACCTTGACGAGACCGTAGTTGCTGGATTCCTGGGAGTACTCGTAGACCAGACCACCGGAGTAGACACCAGTCATCTTCTCGGAGTAGAGGGCGGCGACCTCCTCGAACTTGCGCTTGTTGGTGTTGCAGCCGTATTCGGAAAGGAAGAGGGGAAGGCCGTATCCGGTGAAGTTCTTGACCTTCTGGTCCCAACCGGAGGTGGTGAACGAAGAGGGGTCACACCAGGAGTAGTCGTTGAAGGCGAAGAAGTCACTGCGCTCGTCGTCGGTACCGCAGTTCATGTACTGAGCCATCTGCAGACGGTTGGTGTCGATGTCGGCCTGAAAAATTCGTTAGTACTAATCAACTTTTCATGAAGATTGTAGGAAGAACTTACAGCAGAGTATCCGACAGGGATCTCACGGTAGTTGCGCTTGCGGATGTACTGACGCAGATCACGGGTGACGGCCTTGATGTAGGGAGCCGCCTTGGACGAGGGACCGTCGTTGATAACCTCGTTACCGGAGAAGAAAGCCAAGGTGTTCTTGTACTTGGCGAACTTGTCAACGGTGGCGAAGATGTACTGCAGGTACACGTCGTTGTAGGACTCCTTGGGCTGGGCACGGTTCAGGGAGTACTTGGGAGTGTTGACGTCGAGAACCAGGTAGATGCCAGCATCAGCCAGGGCGTTCATACACTCGTCGTGGTCCTTGGAGTTGTCGACCGAGTAGACACGGATGGTGTTCAGGCCGAGCTCCTTGAAGTACTTGATGTCACGCTTGCAACCGTCGGCGTCGGCGATGGGGTCGGCCAGGTCGGAGGAACCACCGGGCTGGTAGTCGACACCGCGCATGTAGAAACGGTCGCTGCCCTTGAAGAAGGCATTGCCCTTGACGGTGACGGCGGTGACGTCGTCACGGGCCTCGAGAGAGGGAGCGGCCAGCGCGGTGGAAGCACCGAGCGCGAGGGCCGTCGCAACAGAGGAGCCCTTCATGATGGAGATGTGGAAGATGCGAAGTGATAAGAGAAACGATGAGACGGTCCGAAAAGAATGGCGAGACACGTCAATTTAGTTACACTAAACACGTAGACGGCGCAAGTGGAAAATGCAACGGAAGAATCCAGCGAGGTGAAAGCAACCGAAGACAGAAGTCAGAACGAATGACAAGAAGATGGGGTTGAAATAAGAACGAGAGGAAAGAGAATTGGATCTCAGCGAGCGAAGGGGATGAAGGAAAGAAGGAACAAGAAGAAAGGGAAAAAAGGGAAGGGCAGGAAAGAATTGGGGGGAAGCGCCTTAAAATGCAGGTATGGATACCGGGTATTTCCTCCTCTTTCATGGTCCAGAGGGACTTCGCGGGTCACTCCGCCATACAAAGATCGCCCTCGAGTGACTTTGGGGGGGTCTGCAGGGACCGTAATTTACCGTGGAATACACCTTTTTCCATTGTGTGTGGTGTTTACCTACTCTCTGTATCCGTACTAAAGGGACAAGACTCCTGGGGCCGCAAAGAGCGTCGTCATCCACCCTGGCCAGAATTTCACTAAGGAACCTTGACTGCTTGACAAGCGACCAGATCGGCTCCGGCTCAAGGGTCTCCCTCCGTGCGCCCATCGTCACTGGCTGGAGGCCCGGTCGCTCTCAATCAATCACCCACCGGTCAGCGCTGTAGAAGCGGGTCGCAGGGAGTCGGAATGAAGATGATTCCCATTCCTGATGCCGCGGTGGAGCTTTTTTTCAGGACTTCCAGGGGTCGGTGGGTCCAGACCAGGGGATTCCCTGAGACCCTCTGGCCAGCCAAGGGCGAGGGTCCATGGATAGTTGCGCCCATCTTTCAGAATTCCCACCTTCGAGAAAACAAACAAACAGTCCGCCACCATCGACTACCTCTAAAACTCATACATGAAGAACAGGAACGGAAAGAAAGAAGACCTTCGAACTCAACGGCTCACTTGTGATCATGACGGTTGCCTACGGTGCATAAAGAGGCCTGGCACAGATTCCCGTGGTCATACCACGCCCGAGCCCTGACTGGCCATGAATGGGAACACAACCGAGTGGACATTCCAATCACAATGCGAGACTCCCCTGGTATCTTGTCGAGTTATCTGGGCGCATCACCCCGCGTCACATCTCAGACATCCTGAACTTGGGCTTGATTCAGGCAGCAGTCAATAATAATAGACTCGCCTCAATGCAACCCACTCCCTCACCTTGCAGAATCATGCTAGATGCCCAGCTTCTTTCCCCTATTTCCATGTACTCCGTATACAAGTTCACGATCACCTCATCGACGAAGCGCTAGAAAGCTCTCACAGCCACAAAGATCTACCTGTTTTTCTTGTCCTTCCAGCGCGTGAAACCGAAGCCGATGTTTCTCCTAAAATAGGATCGGCTATTGTCACCGACCCGCGGAATTCCTTCGCCCCCCGGGGTGGCAAATCACGATTCAATCGTCCATGGACGCTCTCCACTTCCCCCGACCGACAACCAAGGTCCAGCGCTCACTGTCAAACGCACAATGTACCGACCTGGCTTTGTTCCATCTCGGCCAGAAAGGTGGTCGACCGGTCTTCAATTTTCATCGTAAAGAAAAAGAAAAACAAGAGGTCGCGCATTCCAAGCTGCTCTACAAGGCCAAGTCGTCAGCAAAACCCCAGTCCGTAAAATCCAAGCCTAACAAAGCGACAGGATCAGTGCTTATCGCCCCTGAGTCCATGCTTATTTCGCGCGTGAAACAAAGGCCTCGTCTTAGCCGGTGGCATAAGACGAAATAAGCCTTTTAGTAGGGGAGACAGGCCACCACCAGGACCCGTTGTAGAGTGTATCGCAATCAAATGGCCCCAGTCAGAATCAGATCCCGTCTGGTATTTTGCTTTTGTTGCAATCCATCCCACGGAGTACGCCGTCCAGCAGGGAGTCGGTCGGTCGGTCGGTCGGTTGGTCATTCTGCTGTATCCGGACTAAAAAGGACGAATCTCTCGCGGCTGGGATTAATTGGAGGAGCGACCGTGTGGCTTGACGGAAATGCGGTTCTAGAACCCGATTGTCTCAGTCTAGACTCTAGAATTATTCGCTGGCAGGTCAGGATAAATTTAGAAAGGTGAGGGAAAATCTTGCCATGGCAGTAAGGTGTTGGTTCTACAGTTGTATATCGAGTAAGGAGTTTCAATTTATGCAATCTAATCTATGTAATGTACAATCTGGATCTGGAATTCAGCAAACTGGACACGAGTTAGCTCTTCGGGGGCAGGGTAGTTTTCTTGTCTGTTGTAGTCAAAGTCACACTGAGAGGGACCGCTCCGTCTAAAGTAGATCCATTTATGATTAGTGATAGAACGAACATGGACAAGAAGGATGAGGAAGGAGAGTTAGATAGGAGATGAGAGGAGAGAGAGAGCGCTCGCCGGTCGCAAGCACCTTTCCTAAACAGGCAGGTGGTAACATCAGGCATCCCATTCCACCCGAGTGTAGTACGGAGTATGTCAGTATGGTGTTAATGCCTTTTGTTTTCATTTGATTTATATATTGCAAAATTTGTATTGACATGATAGAACTACATCCTTTATGATACTCTGTAGCTTCTCGCACTCAATCTGGAGTACTTCCGTGGACGTGGTGAGAAATATATACTTTCGTTAAGAGACACACTCATGTAGCCTTGACCCTAAGCCACAGGTCAATTGCTTGGTATTAATTATTGCCGATACTATAAATACAGGACAGACTATCTGTTGAACTCGAATAAATAATCCAAATAATTTACATCATCATGGAAATGGCTATTGTTGTTGTCGCGCACATGAAATGGCCGTGGAAGGGTGACTAGTGTAAGCAACTGCAAATGCTTGGCATATTGCAACCTCAGGCATCTAGGTAGCCCAAGCAACCAGGCAACCAGGCACCAAGGCATCCGGGCATCAAGGACTCCAGGGCAGTCAGCTGGATGAATGATGTACTACCCATACCTCCGTTCTGATACTTGAGCAGTTACACCTACTTGAAGCTGAGATATTCTCTCTAGAAAGAGGCCACCTACACCTAGAGAAAGGCCCTAGACCCGTGAGCTCCGTAAAGTAATTTAATTAGGTGTCTAACACGTCCTGACACTAGGTAACTTAACTACCTTATACACATCTATACAAAACCCATGGTGACTGTCCAGATGTATGTACAGTACATATATACCCATGAAGAATTATACCTAGGAATCTTCCACTCCCTGAATTACTCACAAACACCCTCCATTTAATCGCTCCGCCCCCACCCCCTAACCATCCTCTACAAGACCCCAACCAACCACCTAATCAACCCCCCTTCCTCCTCGCCATCCCCTCCAACCCCCCACCCCCAGTCCCATGAACCCAATCCAACACCCCCAAACTCCCAAAATTAACCACAAACCTCTCATGATGCAAATCATGCATCCTGGCCACACCCCCCAAAAACCCAAACCCGCTATGCACCGTCGTCGTCATCACCAACTCATACCCCAAAAACACCCAGAAGGTGCATACATGGCTACCCAGGATCTGTGGTGGGAGGGCGATGGGGAGCACGTTGGCAAAGACCTGCTCGATTGGATGGGCGTATTGAGCGGAGAGGGCGATCGGGGCTGTGAATCTGTGGTGTTGTTTGTGGAGACGGGCGTAGAGGGATGGATGGTGGAGGAGGCGGTGGGTGTAGTAGAAGAGGGCTTCGCGGAGGAGGAGGCTGAGGGTGAAGTTGGAGAGGAGGGAGGGGAGGGAGGGGAGGGTGGAGGTGATGCGGTAAGGTTGGTGGTGGAGGAGGTGGATTTGGAAGAGGTGGAGGAGGGAGGTGAGGAGTTGGTTGCGGGCGACGATGAGGAAGCAGTGCAGGATCGTCTGGCGGGTGGGTTGTTTGGCGGCGGGCTGGATCTTGTGGCGTTGGGAGAAGGTTGGGAAGAGGATGTCGAGAAGGAGGTAGCAGAGAGAGGGAACCCAGAAGGTGAGGATTTGGACGGCGAGGGTGCCCACGAACTCAATGGATTGCGGAGAGTAGGATTCGACGATGTCGGACCAGAGTTGGCCCATCTTCTTTTGACTAGCTTAACAGGTGGGATATGATATGTGCTGTAGGTACATGTATAGTATCTCCTGAAGAATATTTATAACAATGAACTCCGCTTGTCATATGGGACAAGGTACGGCTACCTCGGCAAACACGATACTGTTGGATAATGAAATGCACCCCGCAGAGTCGCCGGCCAGCATCGGGTGCTCGTGTCTGGTCTGATACGCGATTGGATCCAAGTTCTACTCTCTATGTGGAGATATCCTAGCACACTTCTCCATGATAACATCTAACAATCCCAAGCCAAGATAGGTGTGCTATCAATCCTCACTGTTTTCTATACTGGAGGAAGCCCGAACGGCCGCTGGTCCACTTTGCAAATAGTGCCGGGCTGAGGGAGATCGCCAGTCTGGAAGTATCGGCGAATGGTCTCATGTGAGCACGATGAAGGAGCACTGATGGTGCAATGCTGGAAGATCTAGATATTAGGTCTGTTGATTTATTGGCAATCGAAACAAGGCACTTACCCCCACGGAATCCTGCTGCAACACGACGGACCTGGAAAATCCACGCGACATTTGAACGGCACTGGGAATGTATCAGCTTGCAACATAACACTTAAGATAGAAAAGCCAAAGGGGTCTTACTTGCGAAGAGGAGTGACCGGGTCATATGTGTTCCCGACGAATAGAAGCGGATGCGACGTGTTGCCGGCGATGGGCCCTAGATATTATTGATGAGACACGAAACACACTAGGAGAATTCAACTCACCATCAAATCGCCACGCTGGTCGCGTCTTCCATTTAATACACTGCAGACGCACCGTAGCCCATTCATCACCAAGGGTCTTGCTTTGTTTTCGCAGGGTCTGCCAGTATCGCCGGTACTTGTCTTTTGTAATCCCATCAATATTCTCTCCGTCGGTACAGATGATGTTCCCCTGCGCCTCGAACTTATTGTCTCCTGGAATCACCGTTCCTGGACACGTCTCCTCGGCACTTTGGTACTTGAAATCCGCAAACGACGATCCATTGTTGCGCGAGAGATCAGCCAAGAACTGCGCCATAGTCTCGAAGAAGTCCATGGGATCATAGAGCGCAGTCGTGATCGTGGTCTTGACATCGGTATAGGTGATCATATCCGGGGGGCGATCCGCAGACGCAGGTACCGGGACGGGGTTGGTTTTCAGGCTCTCAATCAGCTCGTCTACGCGAGCTTTGATCTCCTCCGGGCTATCGCCCGCGAGGGCACACTTCGTCGGTCCCGCTTCGTGGCAGTATTCCAAGAACTTGTAAAACGCCTGATCCGCGTCCTGAATATTCTTGAGCCAGTTTCCGGCATAATAGTCCGGGCAATCGCACACGCCGTCTATTACGGCGCGCTGGATCCGATCTGGGTGCATGGCTGCGAACGTCATGCCGAGAACGCTACCGTAGGATAAACCCCAGTAAAGCAGCTTCTCTTCGCCTTGCTTCCAGCGATTCCGCAGTCGGATTGCCTCGTTCTCCGGTGTTTGCCGAGCGGACTGCAAAAGAGTCTCGGTTTCACTCTCCCGCCACTCTCCATGTCGCTCGATCAGTCCCACCATATCAGCCACCACAGGGGGAGTGTTCATATGAAGACCGATCCACTCTTCGCCCTTTGAGGCAATAGCTTCCGAAGCCTGAGAGCAGATCATGCTTAACGCTGTGGATCGAGCCCAGGATGTATCGAAGGCGAATTCAGAGCTTCCTGGCAAACCTTCCGCAGCTGCCTGATCTTGCCAAACTTTCCGTGATGCCGAGTCTTTAAAGCAGGTAAATGGCGGAGTCGTATTGTTGATGCCTCTTGGATCGAAGCTGACGACATCGAAATATTTACCGCCCGCTGCCGTATGGTATATTGAATTGAGATCTGTCGGCTCGGGATCAACGATTCCTTGCATAAGCTTCCCAACCGTGAGAACCTGCTGTACTCCCGAATTACCCGGACCACCTGATCATCATCAGCCAGGATATACATTCAGGCGCCCAGAGGGGAAGGGTTACGAGGACATACCCGGGTTCAAGATCACCGGACCGCCATACCGCGCATCGGTAACCGGCACTTTGGCAGGGAGTCGAATCACCGCCAGGGCGATCTTCGCTCCGTTCTGGTCGGCACTGTTCCAGTCCATTGGAAGCTCCAGACGAGCACACTGATAGGTTTCAAAACATGAGTGATACACTAGGTGCGGAGTTGGAACAATCTGGCGAGTTTCTTAGTATGCATATTTGGAATATTTAGACGCTGATGCGCACGCTTTCCCATTGAAAGGACGAGGTCTCCGAGCGGAGTTCCAGCACCGGTGGATCCATCTGAGTCACGGCATCTTCAAAAGGGTATCCGGTCGCTGGACCAATTGCGAAAGCGACGATCGTGAACCAGGTCGTTAGACTGACGAGTGTTTTCTCGAGAAGCTGCCTCATCGTTGACGGTGGTAATTGCGAAGAAATGTCGAGGGTTGCGAGCGATCGTCGAAATTGCTTCAGAAGTATCAAAGGAGAATCGCCATGGGGCGTAAAAGAGATCTCTTATACCAACCCACGGACCATAGTTTTTATCCCTATCGAGCACTAGTCGAGAGTAGGGACACAACGCCAATGAAGTCTTACATCTGCCCAGCTCTTACCAGAAATGGGATCTGGGTAGTGGGCGTTTAGGTTGTTTGCTGGCTGCTGCTTGCCGTATGTCACGCGGTGTCGGTCTGACAGTCATAGAAGCCGGTCTTAAGACCGAGTCATCCAAGTGCCTCACTGCCTACCTAACCAGTGACCCATCTGGAGAACGGCAGGTGCACCCAGTGGGATCGGCTTGTCAAACAAACCAACCCCTGCATGGAACTGCACCTGGGCGTCTTTCCGGCGAGCGGGGTGCATCCCTCCTGGAGACCGTGGAGCAGGGATGAGCAGGGATGTTCGCTGAAGCGATAGCTTGTTCTGCAACACACTTGTTGGTCTGACGTAGCCTCAACATATGGCTGTCCCCATCCATGCCTGAGGCAACCTCGATCAATTATACGGTGGGAATGTATCCACAATTTTTGCGTAATTCCCACTCCTTCGAAACAAGCATTGTTGACTTAAAGCTGTGATCTTCTCTCTTATTGGAGGCGGTCTTCTTTTTTTCTTTTTTTCTTTTTCCCCCATGGTGTTCCGATCTCTCCTTGACTCTCACCCAAGTTGAATGGAAATATGTCTGCATTTGCTTAAAAGACGTACTCTACTTTCTAACGATAGCATGGATGAAAGTCACATTGTGGACGTTGTTAATCCAAAAGTTCGGCCACAGAGACGTCCTCTGACTGGATCAAGACCCAAGACTGAGGCATTTCTTTCGACTTATGGAATCTGGGTTATAGCTAGGATGGTCGCCTCCGCTCCTTGGCATATGCCGTGCATCGATTCCTGTACTAGAACAGAATGACATAGCTATCCACCTTTAGGTTATTGTCTCAGATGCAAGTTCAGATATCCCAAGGCGCACAGGGAGCTGAAACCAAGCAAACATTATCGAAGAGGAGTGCCCATTCAACCATTCAAATTAGATATCCCACACGATACTATGTAGGCTCCACCTACTGTAGTATCAACGCAATCATCTAGCTATTCATCTCCATACGTCCATGCATTCGAGTTTCTGACCACAACAGCGCTGAAATTAAAACCCGCCCGTCCAACAACACACAGCATCCCCTTCCTTTCCTTTTTCTTCCCTCCCCCTTCTCGCATGTTCTCGCCCCATCTAATCGCGCCACCTTTTCCATCGGACATATAGGAATCCGTCGGATGCTTACTTCCGTAGGATCCATGCAGATAGCAAGAAGAAGAAATTCCCGTCCCCAACGCCCCTGTTGTACCTGCTTTCGGACGGCAAGCTCTTGATTGGATGGGATCTGTGTGACGGCGCAGCAGGGATGGAGCATTCGTAGTCTCGTAAGACATACATCATGAGAGCAGAGACGGCGTGTACAACGGTGTATGTACATAAGATCAGCTCAGCTCATCGCGGCACCAAGGACGTGGGTGGCGCGACGCCCTGTTCTAGAACCATTTGTCGGTACGAGCTGAGATGTAGATGTGATAGGTTGATTCAATTGGTTTGTAGGACAGATCGGGTGGTGGATGATAACACGTCGGAGGATCATTGGATCGTGGACATTGTTTGTTGGTATGTCTGGAGGTCGTAGTGGCGTTCAAGAACTGGGTGGCCTTGCCTATCTACCTACCTATCTACGTGCGTACCTCAGGTTCTGACTGTCTCAGGTTCGAGCCGTACGGGTGCGACGTAGATAGGTATGTGGTGTGTGTGCCTGTGTGTGGCGACGAAAAGACGAGAGATGCTCAGTCCGACCAATGGTAGTTCCTGGAATATTTGATCCTGGGTAATGAAGAATTAAAAATGACGGGATAAGGCTCGACAAGATGAGACTGTACATCCAAGGCATGCTTACATACATGTCTGGGTAACTATGTCTGCATGTATGTACTTGTGTTGGCTCTCCGGGTTCGTCGGATTTGTCGCAAACAGAGCAGCATGTTGAGAATCAGACCAACGATGCGATGGAACTATCTAGATAGATAGCACCACGGCATCTGTCCAGACCTGATAGATGATAGAGCATATGCAAGATGAGAGATAGTGGGGGAGTTGAGATATCACCGTTGCATATCGGACGCAAGTCGCAGGCCGCGATGGAATCTGGCTGGACAGCTAATTCCTTGCAGTGCATTGCATTGCGTCTGAGCCCGGGGTATTAGACAACACAAGGGAGAAAATGAGATGGTAGATTCGTAAATCGCCACAGTTGATCTCATCTCACCCCGATGGCCGGACTTGATATGGATTGTGAAACCAAGCAGTGTATAAATATCTCGTCTTGATCGCCCTCAGGAGCTGATTTCGGATCATCAAACTGATCTACCAGCCGGTTCCTACACATAGCTTCTCTATATCTCTTCTCAACCACAGTCTCGCATTGTCTATCACTATGCAGCTCTTTACCACTACCCTCCTCATCGCAGCCCTCGGTCTGAGCACCTCAGCTCTCGCCGCAGCCATACCAGACCCCCAGCCAGCGGTGTCCGAATACCGCTGGCATGGCTGTGCCGCGGGTATTTCCGTATGCTTCTCCTTTCTCTCTCTTCCCAACACAACTTTAGAGTCAAGCAAGTTCAAGTAGAAGTACTAACCAGCTGTAACAGTGCACTGCAGATACCGACTGCCGCGTTGACGACGGCTGTCTGTCCACATCTGGCAACGTATGTCCTCGCTCTTTCTTCGATCCCGACACCCCAACTGATAGATAACTGACTGCATCTCAGATCGTCTCCAACATCCACTGCGGACAGGCTAATCACCCAAATAGCTGCTGGGCTGTACGTTACCTGAACTTTCATTGTCGTCTAGGACTGCAGATTGCTGATCTTTATGTGCTCGATAGGAATGGTACACTTGATGTTCGCACTGTGGTATTGGAGCCACCAGTCCAGTATGACAGTGGTGCAGATCAATGGAGGTACTTGTTTTGCTTTTTTGGCTTGATTGATCTTCCAATTTGATTTGATTTGATTTGATTTGTTTTGTGTGAAGTGCAGAAATAAACAAAAGCAAGAAAAAAGGCGTGGGACGATAAGATGGTTGAGTGAGGCATCGTGGAAAAAGTTTTGTGTACCTCCTGTGGTGCTCCTACTTATGATCGTTTAATGGCTGAATTGTGTTATTGTACTTGTCTGTGTTCAATTAAGAGTAGTATGTAAGACTGGGGTTTTTTGAGGAGACAGTGAGTCGGTCAAGGCTTTGTCTCTAAGTCACCTAAGTTTGAAGGCTAGGTAGGTAACTAATCTTTCGAATACCCAGGTACCTTGGGTGGGTACGTTTCCCGTCCTCCAAAAAGAATTCTATTTAGTACTTACTCCCACATCCTACTCTCGGCCAACAAAGGCGTTTCTCTCCATCCACCAAACTCCAAAGATCCAGGACAGGACAGTCCCAACACCTAATCCCACCCTACTTACAACTCCCATACTCGCCATAATCAAGCCGTTCCTCGCTCAACAATCTTTACAGCTAACCGCCCCTGACGCATCGCTTCCGTGGCACAAAATCCAGGAACAGAGACATTCTTACGAACTCCGTGACACGGGCGCCAGATGCGCTTGGATGTCGCAGAATATTATTCCTAAGACCTATTACATGTATAGGTCTGTGAGATGGGATATCCTTGTTCTTGGAGGGAGGGGATCCTGGTTGAATCTGTTGGTATGGAGCAGGGTTGGGGTTAGTTATACTGTGAGTAGGTAGCACAATTAGGTGTGGAAGATAGGACAAACAATTAGTTAAGACGAGGGGACCGAGGTGTTTGTTATGCAGTTGTCGTTTCGTGTAGTGTTCTTAATTCTGTCGTTTGTGTAGACTAGCTAGGCATGATATGGCTCGATGGAGGAACGATCGGCCATCAATTGACGTGAATAGATTGGTCAATAATTGGTTTCCCTGATCGTTAGGGTAGGAGTATGATCTCATACCTACTAGTCCAAGGCAACTAGGACCAAAATTTGGTGCAACCGACATGTGGAACTCGGACTTGGGTACTGATCGCGACTAGACCCGAAGATGTTATTTATGGTGCTATATTAACTAGCTTAACGATGATGTTCATTGTGTGATGGCGCTTTGGTCTATGCCATTGTCATCATCATCATCATCACGGAATATTTGCCGTAACGGTGATGGATCTTCGTCGGTGATTTGGGCTGCCTCTTGAGGATTTCTCTCCGAGAGAGAATTGACGTCGTGTCACACCTTCTGAGCGTGATTCCGTGACATCAATTTGCTATCTATTGTCTTTTCATGTGATTATGTTCCATCTGATGTTGTAATTTTTGACACCACGTCTAACTGCCTCGTACGAGTAATGAACTACAGTAGGATAGATCGACATTGTGCGGCCCGTAAACCGGTAGCCCGCAGCCACCTGCCGGGGATATTGTTTTGTCGCCGAGAGAGTGTTGATCTTTACCGGTCGCGATGTTGTGCATAATTAGTTCTACGATGTACTTATGGATTATTCGTTGTACGGTGTACTGCACACTCACTTCTATACCGACAGTTGTATCCCCGCTCAATATCAGAACACCAAGGTCATCAGCTTAATGCCCTAGAGTCTCTCGGCAATGCTTGCTTGTAAGAAGATGACGGTGCTATTTGCAAGGGACAACAATTGAGTTTTTTTTTTTCGGACAAGCCATTGGAGCTAGCAACTTTCGACCCAGCGTTGAGTCTTCCGTTATCCGTAGTAGGTCTAAGACAGGGCGCAAAATCCCGACGCCCTAGGGATGGATCAGAAGTCAGAAGCGATAGAAACTGGGGCACAGTCAATAGAGGACGGACGGAACCTGGTGACTGGTCCCTTATCCCTTCTCCAAATCCAACAGGCGAAAGACTAATAGCAACCAACAATCAGAACAATCGGGTGGAGAGCTCCTAGTTAGCTCTTAGTCTTAGCTAAAGGAAATCCTTCATTGAGGTAGCTTGGCCCTTTCTCGATCAATCAGATGCGAGGATGGAGACTGGATAGAAGACCCTGGACTCCTAGCGAGATCCATGGCGTCATGAACATTGTGCGACCCGACGAGCGACGAACAAACTGTTGAGTCTTGATGGTGAGAATCTATTTATTGCTGCGGGCAAGACAAGATTTCTATTTCCGAGGACGCTAGTGCCAAGCCTTGCTGCGCTAGTCCGCATGCGGTTAACACGGACCCTGGGACTGAATCCTGACCAATCCGGGACGACGACGGCCACACCCGTCGTCCAAGAATAGCCTGGTCCCGTGACCTGGCTGGCTGAGTCAGAACCTTGACGGTCGGTATTGTCCGAATGCGGAACGCGGAGTCTTCGGGCAGATTCCTTTCCTTTTGTCTTTTTGACTCTTTTGCCTCTCGCCGTTTGCAAACTTTGCGCTCGCATGGACTGCGCCGTGGCAGCGCTCTCGACGGACCAGGGATGTGGCTAGGAACCAGGGGCCTGGGTCCCTAGATGGGAATCCTGCCGATGTTCCTGCGCATACGGAAGATTGTTGTGCTTGAACTGGAAGGATCTGTGCTAGGCGATACGACAGGTCAGACAGTAAATCAGTAAATCAGTAAATCGGGGTTGTGCAAGTGGGGAAGTGAGACTGTCTGAGGTCAGGGTGGTGTCATCCTCGGAATACGGGGGTCTTTTCGTATCGGCTCTCTCGGCTTCATCCCGGTTGACAGATTTATTTATTGAGATTTCTGTACGGAGTGAATTTGCCTGCTGGTCATGTTCTGTCAGAAAATAGAACCGACGGACCTTTTCTGCTCTCGTCCACTCCGTACTCCGTCCACCTTACGGTCCTTACCTTGGTGGGACACAGGCAGTGCTTCCCGGCAACCACGGTGCAACCCAATGCTATCGGGCTAGTCTATCTATAGTGGCTGCTAGTCGCAAAATCTCCTCCAACCTTCTAGCGGATTTCCATCGGGGCTCCACTCCGCTGCCAAGTTGGCCCACGCCCATTCGTGCTTTTAGCCTTTAGGCAAAGATCCGTCCTTGATTTGCGACCGACAAAAAGGCACGGATTTCCCTATCGCTTGCTTTTCCTCTCGGGTCTCGTCCTTGCCTTTTCTTTCCTCCGTTGTATTTATTCCTGCCTCCCTCCCCGGAATTCACTGTCTCGATTCCGTCTCACCTTACTCTCTCATTCTTCATCCTCGGAAGGCTACTAAACCACTTCACCCTCTTCAATCTCTTCCGCCCGAAAGTACGACTCGTATCGGAGTTTAGGCAATCACTCGTCTTTTTCTTCCTCTCTCTGTACATCACACAACTCAGCATACGCAATGGCCGTCAAGAATCGCCTCATTCAACTCCTCATCGCTTCGGCGATCGCGTCATCCGCTATCGCCGTCCCCACGGCCGAACAGCAGCCTCATGTGGATGTGATCGCTAGCAACTCGGCTTTCCACGAGGCTCTCACCAACGTCGATGAGAACTCCGTCCACAAGTTCATGCAGCTGCTCGATCAGTACCGCAGCGAGCACGCCGCGCACAGCACTTCTCCCATCGTGAAGATGGGCAAGCGGGACGGCGGTTCCTCGGCCGTCGAGCAGCCCAAGCCCACCACCGAAGCGGCGTCTGAACCCAAGACCACTGCTGCGCCTGCTGTCACCACCACTGAAGCTCCTGCCACTCAAGCGACGACCGAAGCTCCTAAGACTACTGAGGCTGCGCCGGAGACCTCCAGCTCGCATTCGGAGGCACCGCCTTCTACGACCGAGGCCAGCGTTCCCACCACCACGGCCGAAGCGCCTTCTACCACCGCCAAAGCCCCCTCCACCACCGAGACTCACGCCGAACCCACCTCCACCAAGGCTGAGACTACCCACACCACCGAGGCACCTACCACCCATACCACCGCCGCTTCTACCACTCACACCGAGCCCACTACAACTTCATCGGAGAAGACCTCAGAGAAGACCTCAGAGAAGACGACCACGCAAGCTCCCACTACCATCCACACCACCACCTCGTCCTCTTCCAAGGAAGACGAGAAGACTACCTCGGCGCCGGAGACGCACACCACTCCCTACACTTCGACCTACAAGCGCACCACGACTCTCTCCAACGGCGAGCAGAGCACCGTCACCGCCGTGACCGTCGTGCATCCCACGCGCACCAACCTCGCCGGCGCGACGGGCACTGGACCTGCTCCTGGCCTTCAAACCGACAACGCCGCTTCCACCAACGGTCTGGGTCGTGAACTGTTCGTCATGATGGGCGGAGCCGCTATGGTCGCCATGGCTCTATAGACATCTCCCCTATCTCGACATCATCTCCCCTATCTCGACATCATCTCCCCATCGGCAACCTTGAACCGAATTGTCCGATCTAAAAATTGCGCCTTTTTTATTTGAATTCATTCTAGCATACATACGGCGTTCATCTTCTTTTACCATTCACGTCCTTCCTTTTTCCAGATGACTTCATGTATCCTATTATACACACTTACGATCCTTATGCATTCTTCGCGGCGTCCAACGATCATGTCTCTGTCTCTCCTTTTTACGCACAAATGGTCCGGTCTGACCCGGTTGAGATTACACCTCAAAGCTCGGAGTTGGTTGATTTGATTTATTTTCTCATGCTGCTGTTATGCAGGCTGTTCTATGTTACATTACGTTTCTACTGTTTAGTCCAGTTTAGCCTGCCTATCTGGTTTAATCTAGTTTACATACATACAAGGTCTGGGGTCTAGACCCTGGATCAATTGATGCACATTGCAGTACATTTATCTTCACTTGTCGTAAATACGTACGTATTCCGCTCTTTATTCTTTCTCTTTGCTTCTCTGAATGGCTAGTGTCATGTCTTGTTATTTTGTGTCTTAGTGTTGCTGTTGTCAATGTCATTCCATATAGCCCCGCCGACTCAAAGCTCTTTGCCTCCGCCTCATAGAAAGGTTTGTATGTATTTCAATCTCTCATGCTGCAACGGAGCTGTCGTTTTATTTTTTATGGACCGTATATCTAAATCCCCTGAGTCCAAGTTGATTTAACACGAGGCTGCTCCCTTCCAGATTACATTAGTGTCTACAACTACGGACAAGACACCTGCATCTCAGCCTTACCCATCACCCTCCGATCGTGGCCCTCGTCCACTCTCATGCCGAATCTTTCTGTCCTTATCGCTCCATAGATTTCCTGTCTTCGATGGAAAGTACTAGATCAGAGATACGTACTTTCCCTCGCATTTTCACAATATCATAGCATAAACGATAGAGGCCGTTGGCGCTGCCGCCTCTATCATCCAACTTGATGGTTTGGCCTGAAGGTTGCGGAAGCCCTGTACAGCCTTTATGAGGGTCCCTCTGGTAATGAGCAGGTTAAAGAGCTATCCTTCTTCATTCGATCCACCTCCATGACGCTCGAGGAAGTTGGGAAGATCTTCGAGGAGGAAAGCAGAGCCTCAAAGCCGCTGATCCCAACTAATATGGTATCGCAACCGCCCAAGTTGTTGTCGACAAGTGTACCGAGATCCTCAAATTGCTCGGCAGAATGGTCGACAAGGTGCGAATCAACAAACTTAGTCTGTTGGCCTTTTCTTTTAAGGGCTCGCGTCTTCAAATGCTACAAACTCGACTGGAGCAGTCAAAACGGGACTTGTAGTTGGTGATGCAAGTCATCATTTATGCTCGGTTGAGGGTTCAGCCTGGGTACGTATGGCTTTGGCTATGTTGGACTTCTATTATTGGACTTACCTTCTTTGCCCTCCCCCAACCCATTTTTTCTCTCTTTCTGTGTTTGTAACTGCCGCTTACTTGTGCTCCAGCAATGCCATTCACGAGTCGGACCAGCAAGAACTCGTTAAAGAATTGATCGACGAACGCGTCGCAGTCTACCATAAGGATCACCAGGCTGACCATACGATCCAATATAATTTCAAAAGCGGTACAAATGAGTATGTCACGATTCAGGTATTTCTACGCATCCGCTTATAATGACTAACCTCACTGAAGCCTTTCAATTCATCCCTCCCTTTCACTTCTACACCGCACAAGGCTCTCGACTCCGACAGACCCAGAAGCTCTCACACAAAAGACGACCCCCCCCTCCACTCTCGCGACAGTACATTCACCCCGGGCGAACCCCCCGTCAACGAACGGGTCGGTTCAGTCCAAAAAGCAATCCACCTCCGGAGGGGAGAAGGACTGCGAATCCATCGACATTTCTTACTGCTCCGCGTTATACTTAGTCTGCTGCCCCTGCCTTGGTCGTCGCGAAACGGCCCGCTATTCATCGTCCGAAGGGGCCGAGCGTCATCCATTCTCCCGTTTACAGCATATCGACATTTCACCGGCCGCATATTCTTATGGAACTGAGTCGAGACCACCGGTGTATACGCATGGTCGCAACGCAACCCGCCATTCTCTGCTCTGCGAGCCTGGGGGTTTACGTCCACTAGGCACGTCCTATTCGTGGAACCCAGCGTGGGACTTGGAAGAGTGCCTGTCGCGTCCTTATGCACTGGGAGAGGATGCTCAGGACCTTGAACGGTTGCTTCATTTGTGGACGACATTGTATGATGCGTCCGCAACCACAAAGATATAGAGAATGTTGTCGGCGTGTACCAATCTAGAGACTGTTTTTTGTTCTAGGGTTTGGGTTCCTATCGTTGATGGTATATATTGCGTCTCTAGGTATGCTTTAACCGGAAACTTCGATCAGAAACACATTTACTTTTCTCGGGTTCTATGTCAAGATGATCGAAATGCTGGTGTGGGGTATTTTCTTTGGTATAAGTTTGTTAGAGTTGTGTTACTACCTACTGGTAAAGGACAGTCGAACCACTAAGATGATTCGGATTGTTTCAATCATTGCGTGAGTTCGTATATTTAGTTGTTCATGCTATTCTTAGGATGGAGCTTCAGCAACTAAGTAGACACTGCTCTTTCTAATGGGTTGCTTAAATCATGTGTTATGATGTAGTCGTGGTTTTATATATTGTTTGCAGGCCATTTCCGAACACAGAACATGGGAGACTGTGTAGTGTAGAACATATGTGAGCATAGATGCGTCTTTTGAAGTCACAAGGGCATCTTATACCTTATCTTCTCTGCTCTTTTGGTAGGAGAATGGAAAGGTTGAATACACCCTCGGTAGAACATATACTCATTACCTCTGGTGGAGTGGAGTGATTCATCAAATAAAAGCATATTTATAGTCAAATTGCGTACATATCATGATAAACACCTAGATATCTCCATCGGCATCTCCTCACCGCACCCCCACCCCAAAACTCCCACTCCCCTTCGTATCCGTCCATCGCTCCTCTTCCGTCCAGTACCGCACCACGCTCTCCCACGCCGGGATATCCCCGTCCCGCAGCAGCGCCGCGACGTCCACGTTCAGCGGCGAGTCCGGGCGCGGGTCCGTCAGCAGCTGGTGGATGGCCGTGAGGGTGGTGGAGAGCGTGTAGACGGGACTCCAGTGTTCGGTCGTTAACAGGGTCAGACATATCTCGCCGGTCGTGAAGGAGATATTCGGGTGCGAGATGCGCGTCGTGAATGTGATCTTGGGCGGCGAGAGGGGGTAGTTCGGGGGGAGGTGGATCGAGAGGGACCAGAGGCCTCCTGGTTTTTTTTTTGTTAGCGGATATAGAGATGGTGAAAGCGAGATGGTGGCGATTGGGTTGGGTTGGGTTGTGTAAGGGAGGGAGGGAGGAGGGGTATGATAGGTATGTAGCCAAGGTAGGTAGGTGAAGGAGGGGGATCGTACCTTCGTATGGCGTTCCATTGACGCCCTTCAAGACAGCCTCCCAATGGAGTAAATCATCTTCGTCGACGGGGCCGAGATGCAAGAGCGCTTCATTCGGCGAGTTTGTGTAATCCTTCAGTTCGCGGAGGAGTCGTTGCGTTGTTGATGAGGGGGGCATTGTTGTCGGGTACGTGATGCGGTCGGAATGTAAGATGGTATGCAGGTGCAGTAACTATGCGTAGACAGTGCGGAGTGCGCTCTGGAATTATAGATTGGAAGGAGATAAGATGATGGGAAAAGCGCGTTATCAATCAATCAGGCTGGGGTATATATGCAAGGAAGGAGGAACGCAAGCAAAGACGAATGGCTGGTAGAGAGAGGAGAGAGGAGAAAGAGAGACGGTCTGCACCGAGGCTTAACGATCGGGCCGTGCGGCGCTCCAGTCGGGGAGTCTCAGGCTTGGCGTGGCCCGTTAGCGCAACCTCACATGTGGCCATTCATGTGAAAGATAATCGCATTACCCATCATCCGTTGCAACTAGGTCGTGCTTTAATGGCCCATTGGTGAATACTTTTCACATATTTAAACAATTACCACCGCCATGCGCACTTCGCGAGCTTCTAAAGATACGGCTAAAGTCCTGCAGGCCCTGTCCCCCCCTGGACGGCGCCAAACGCGCAGTGCCTCTGGGGCAAACGCTCTGCGCGAATTTGCGAATAATGGGGGCACAGCCAGTGCTGAACCTGATCCACCCAGTAACGACGATGATCTCTCGTCCCTCTCGTCAGTGGCTACCGTTGATATGGAGGATCTTCTAGAACCCCCTGCCAAACGACGGAAAAGCAAGCTCGCCAGTGTGGCGACAAGCGGCTCCCGGTCTTCCACGAGACGAGTGCCAGAAAGAAAGGTCGAGAAGCCGGTGAAGAGTGAGCCGGTATCTCCCAAACCTAAAACTGCAAAGACCGCTCGGAAGGTTCCAGCCCGAAAGATTAAAAATGAGGACGGATCGCAGACAGTCGAGCCGCCGTCGAACTGGGAGACAATCTATGACATTGTCAAGAAGATGCGGGAGGAGAATCCGACCGCCCCTGTCGACACGATGGGCTGCGCGGAGCTATACTGGCGCGCGTCTTCACCAAGAGACAAGCGTTTTCAAACCCTGATCGCGCTGATGCTGTCGTCGCAGACTAAGGACACCGTGACGGCGGTAGCGATGCAGCGATTGCACACAGAACTTGGAGAAGCACCAGAGGTAGTCAAGCAAGAAGACCCCGTCATCAAGCAGGAGGAGGATATAGAAAAGCCCACCAAAGACAGTACTCTGAATCTGGAGAATATCCTGGCTGTGGCCCCTGAACGTCTGAACCAACTCATCGGCACCGTGGGCTTCCACAACAACAAAACCAAGTATATCAAAGCGGCAGCGCTCATCCTGCGAGATCAGTATGATTCGGACATTCCATCGACAGCGCCAGAGCTGATGAAGCTCCCGGGAGTCGGACCTAAAATGGCGTTCCTTTGCATGAGCGCTGCGTGGGGCAAGCATGAAGGCATCGGCGTGGACGTTCACGTTCATCGAATCACCAATCTCTGGGGCTGGCACAAGACAAAAAATCCAGAGGAAACGCGTATGGCGTTGGAATCCTGGCTACCAAAGGACAAATGGCATGAGATCAACAAGCTGCTAGTCGGACTGGGCCAGACGGTCTGCTTACCAGTAGGGCGCAAATGTGGTGACTGCGATCTCGCAGGGATGAAGCTGTGCAAGAGTGAGATCAAGGGATTGGTATCGAAGAAAAAGAAGCAGGAGGACACAGGCGGTGTTCCCAAGGCGGTGGATGGCGAGGCCAAGGTTAAGATCGAGGGAGAGGAGGAGAAGGCTAGTCATTGAATGCCCCAGGCACAGGCACAGGCACATGGGCATCACAAGATAAGGAACTCTCGACGCGAATGTTAGCGCTAGCGGGACTTGCATCTTCTGTTCATCTTGCTTGACTTCTGCCTTTCGACTGCCACGAACCCCCCTCCCCTCCACTTTCTTATCGAATACGCCTCATACAAGGGCTCCTTGCCCAACGTCAACACCACTAGCCCAAGCTTATACAGCACCGCTCTCCAAGCCGCCGCCATCACAGGCAAACACGAGATCATCAAGTACCTCGTCAAGAAAGGCGCGAACGTCAACGCTCTCGAGTCCCTGGTGTTTTGCATCCTTCCCCGCCCAACCTACCACCCCTCCTGCCATCCAATTTTAGGTAGTGTCCTCTGTTTAGTCTGCGCGGATAAAACCATTGTATTTCAGAGATAGCCAACGACGCGAGAAATTCTGGATCAGCTTTTTCACTTAAGTTCACCAAGGTCATTCATTCACTTTCTCCTATACCCCTCTCGCGTAAAGTCTTACGTATCCCAAACTAACGCGATGTCCTGTCAACAACAGAACCAACAACAGAACCAACACCAGACCATTCATGGACTACCTCGATGACGAGGAAGCGCCCTTCTCTCCGTTCTTCCGAGAGTTGGAAGGGCTGCTCCAGGACTACGGCGATTTCGAAGAATGGGAGCCTCCTGTCGAGAATCCGGACTCTGAGATTTGGGTCCAAATAGCCTCCCCTCCCAGACCCAGCCTTACCCTCCTGGATCTCCCCGAAAACGTCCTGATCAAGATCCTTCAGTATGCTGGACTATTGAGGCATTGCGTGGTCGACGTCAGTTTCGAAAAGTATCGCACAAAACGATCCAGCGCAGAAGACTGCAGTCATAGCCCCATGCGCCAAACTCGTGGTCTTTGGACCACTACTGTTGAAGGTCTCTGCAACCACCCAGGTCTGCCTTTAGGACTGCTTGGGGCATCTCACAGCATGCGTGACGCATTGAGTTCTCTCTTTTTCAAACATAACAGGTTTACTGCCTTTCTCCCCACGAAAGCGGATTTCAAAACCTTTCGCGCGGCAACGGCGTGGGGTATCGAGAGCCTGACATCTCTGCATTTGGACCTTGGGCCTAGAGAAAACCGCAATTTGAAACTTGGCGGGGTGGGAGCGCACCGCACAGCATTCTGGGTCTGGGTGGAGTTCTGTGAGCTCGCTCGCGAGAGAATGACCGGGCTTCGGAATTTCAGTATGAGATGTCGGGTCAAGGAGGTTGATGTGGCCCGTCGGCTCATTTGCCAAACAGAGCCTTTTCCAAAGCTCTCGCGCTGTGCCATCCATTTCAGCACCGTGCAGGACGACGAGATCAGGCCCATACTCAAGAGGGCTGTGTGGAGATTGACCGGCAACCTGGAAGCGGCTCGGCCTGCGTTTCCATTCCACCGTCTTCCTAAAGAGGTGCAGTACATGATCCTCGAATATGTCCTGATTGATCGCTCCGATCCCTACATCCCCGCGGCGGAGTGGTCAAGCGGAGTTATCACCCTTCAAGAGCGCAAGCGCCCACGAATCCCCGTTTATCCTCTTACCTGCTGCGGGACCTGCTCGCCTATGCAACAAACAATGTGCTTCTGCCATGCGCGTCAGACGTCATACTCGTCAACTTGTAGCTGCTTCACCTCTCCTTTGCCCTACTTCCTTGCCAGCAGAGGCTTCTACCATGACGCAAGTCGCATCTTTTACTCCAAAAATGTGTTCGCATTTGTGGAGGAAGACCCAGAATTCATGATGCGTTTCTTCCACACTATCTCTGATTCAACATTCAGACTCATTCGCCACCTGACATTCAAATTCCCGGCGCTGCATCGCGGCCGGCTCAAAGGCGGACATCGGCCCGAAGAATCCTTGCTCGCTTCCTGGGGCGTTCTGCGTCGCTTTATCCGCGAACATTTCTCCATTCCCTACCTCTCGATCACTATCATTGATCTCGGTACGAAGACTGGTGACCTTAGCATAGTGCAGAGCCGCAATCGCTATTTGCGGAAGCTGGTCAAGGCCTTTGAAGATGTTCGACCGTTGCGCGATTTCCGCGTATTTTTGGCCGACGATAGTATATTCGAGATGCAGGCTGAGTTTGCCGTGTTGGGGCCCCTTGCCCATAGGCGCGAGAAGGCAAGCAGCTTGCCATTCATTGGCCGGAGACATTATCGGACTCAGGCGGCATTTCGCTAGACGGGGGGTTGGTTGATGTGCAAATGGGAGGGAATATGTCTTTTCTTTTCTTTCCTCTCTCTCATTCTCTTATCTTTTCTTCAAATTTTAGCCTGGCGTTCGGCATTTACCACTGCCTTACTTTCTGTAATTAATTAATCAATCAATTAATCAAAATGAGACGTAGCCAGCTCCTATCGTTCCTCTCTACCGTCGTCCTCGTTTAGATCAAGTCCCTCTAAGAGAGTGCTGGGTTACGGAGCCTCCTCATCTTCTTCGTCACCAAACGTGGCGACGCAGAACTGCTGAAGGAGGCCTGCTCGTTGCATAAAGTTGGCGACGTAGCGAACCGCCTGCGGGTGGGTCATGACTGCATCGTAGTCCTGGGTACGCCCACGCAGTCCCTCGATAGAGTCGGTATTCCATCATTATCCTCCGACTACCAACGTGCAGCAAGCAGCTTTGCTTTCGTCGTCAAGTCTTCAACTAGGCAAATGCTGGCTGGCGAGCTGATGTCTAAATGCGAGGGACTGTGTCTTTTCTTCAGTTCTTGGCGGGGCGTTGGGCATCTATGTACTGCTTCCTTTTATTTTGTTCACATGCATTCATGACGAACTTTATTCCTATACTCGATGTCTTGTCGCCTCTGGTGGACTGTCTTGAGACTTTGGATGAATCTCAGATTTGAACTCTTGGAAGTAGATGTACCAGCTGAGTTGTTCAAACTGGGACGAAGGAAGTTTCGGTTCGTAGTTGTTGGATCCATAATTCTTATCCGAAGGTTGGGATTCACCTGAGGACGGCCCCTCTTCTATACAGACATTGGGGTGAGGTTTGATTGAGGAATGCTCAGTATTAAGTGATACTAGAAATATGATCCCAAGCTCAGATACCAAAGTGCACGAATATAGTTGTCAGACAAGAGTTGTCTTGGATAGTTGAAGAAGTAGGTAGAATAAAGGACTGTCCCTGTAAGTCATCTCACCTACTTGAAGAGTGTGATGGATAGGTCCTTCAGTTGGTAGGGGATAAGAGCAGCGCTAGGTAACCATACTGTAGACTGGTTATTCACTGAGAGCCATCCAAACCAATTGGCCGCTGGAAGTGGGCGGCGAGGGACGGAAAGATGTGAAAGTAGGACAGAAGAACATAAAGAATAAACCAGAGCCAAAGAATCTCAGTGCTTATGCCTATGCCTAGCTCAACCACGCATATGACCCTTCCCCGAAAGCAATTGTTTCATCCTCATCCACGTCTCCTCGAGACTCGAGGCCAGACTGTCCGGAGGCTAGGTCAGACACTGCATGGAAGGCAGCTAAAAAGCCATTATTTGTCACTATTCTATACCGTTCTCTAGCGATCCAATATCACACGGGGCTAGTATGACCCTATGGATTAGGGCGCGTTTATAGACTAGTTAGTTAACTAATAGCGACGAAATTACGGGTGGCTGGGTAGCCCAGTGGCCTCTATCCCGGTGACCCCGAAGAAACGTCCAAAATCGATTCCGTTTCTACGTTTATAACAAAGGGTCATGGGTAAATCCCGCGGTTGCCTCTCCTATAATTTCTCCATCACAATCAATGAACCCTTGGCTGGTAGGAGCCTTGATGGGCGACCATTCGATGTGGTTGCCCGGCAGGCCAGCGCCAGGCATGGGTGTCAGCCGTAGCAGAAAGATGCTAGGATTAATCGACCTGTGGTGGTGATGGCAGCGATGATTTTCGTATACCCCTATGGACTATGAAGTATTTTGAATGCGCGCGGGTCCCTGTCTATTTTGGCTCCCATTTATTGTAGGGCTACACGAGAGTCACTAGAAAATAGATACAGGCAGTATTTTATCATATGGGAACCCCCAAGAGATCATAATTTAATATAAAGCATAGGTATAGTTACAAGCCTCTTGTAGTTATAGACCATGGCTAAGCCAACGTCATCATCTAGCCTAGGCGGAGATAATGAACTCCTTAACCCCGGAGAAGCTTTAGCGCTGCAGCTCTTCTCTCTTCTCCCCGCCTTTTCTTTCTGCAGCCAACATACACACCTGACAGACACAACATCATCAACAATCCCACTCAGCTTACGATATCTCGGCTATTTTCCCATTCCCTCAATCTGCAACTACAACCACCGGATCACATTAACTGATCAACCGCCCCAACTGGCCTGCAGAATGCCACCCCCAAACCCAAACCCGACCCCCATCCCGATCCCCGCCTTCGCCCTCACCCAACAATCCCTCCTGTTAGACGAACACAACGTCGAAATCTCCTCCTCCTCGCTCGCCACCACCGCCGCTTCCGTGTCTCCGTCTACGCGCCGAACCTTACAAGCAACTGGCTACGCGCTGACGGGACTTCTCCTCTCGCAATGTCGCATTGGAACGGGCGGGCGCATGGTCGGCGAGTTCGGTGCTGACGCGGCGATTACGCAGAAGGGGGGTGATGGTGACAAGGGAGATGGCGGGGAGCCGAAGTTAGGAGCGCATGGGATTAGGGTGGGGGATGTGGTGAGGGTTAATGAGATTGGGTCGGGGCCTACAGGTGGGAAGAAAGGGGGAGGAGGAGCAGGGAAGGATAAAGCGGCGGGGAAGGAGAAAGGAGCACCGGAAGGTGTGGTGACGAGAGTTGGGGAGAGGAGTATTTGGGTTGCGTTTGGGCAGGTGGGGGGTGGGGGACGGTCGAAGGAGGATGATGAGGCGATTGAGGAGCTGTGGGGAAAGAAGCTTTGGTTGTATGTTTTCTCCCTCACTTTCCTGTGTCCTATGTTTGCTGCTTGGGCTGGTCGACGGTCGAGTTGGGTGTCTCGGATAGATGCTGGGCTGAGGTGGGCTAACGGGTTGCAGCATCAAACTTGCAAATGATGTGACACATCGACGGTAGGTGGCTGCCATCTCTCTTCTGAAATCTGCTGGATTTGGCTAACTCGACGTAGGATGAAGATGACGATGGAGAAGATGGCCAAAATGACAGAATCCGACCATACGCATTTCATGCGAGTTGCCTTTGGGCATGCGACGCCGCTGCAGCCCGACTACGAAGCTATTGGGCCCGTAGACTTCCTCGACCCAACTTTGAACGATTCACAAAAAGAAGCCATCCGGTTCGGTCTGGCTTCCCGAGACATCGCGCTGATCCACGGCCCGCCGGGGACCGGAAAGACGCATACGCTGATCGAACTGATTCTCCAAATGGTCCAGCGGAAGCTCCGCGTGCTGGTGTGCGGACCGTCGAATATATCGGTGGATAATATTGTGGAACGGTTGGCACCCAAGAAAGTGCCTGTGGTGCGCATCGGCCATCCAGCGCGTTTGCTACCGTCGGTTCTGGATCACTCGCTGGAGGTCCTGACCCATACATCGGACGCAGGCTCCATCGTGCGCGATGTCCGTAAGGATATTGACCAGAAGGTGGCCAGTATCCGGAAGACGCGGTTCGGCCGGGAAAAGCGGCAAATTTTTCAAGACCTCAAGGAACTACGGCGGGAGTTCCGCGACCGGGAGGCAAAGTGTGTGGACAACCTCGTGGGAGAGAGCAATGTGGTGCTGGCCACACTGCACGGGGCGGGCGGCCATCAGCTCAAGAACCAAAAATTCGACGTGGTGATCATCGACGAGGCGAGTCAGGCGCTGGAAGCGCAATGCTGGATCTCGCTGCTGTCCGCGTCCAAGGTGGTTCTCGCCGGTGATCATCTGCAGCTGCCCCCTACGGTGAAATCTACCCCCCAGAAGACCAAGACGCAAGGGGCCGCCGGGGAGGATCCGGCCGACAAGGACAAGGCGGGGATTGGCCGGGTTTCACTCGAGACCACCCTGTTTGACCGATTACTGTCGATGCATGGACCCGGCATCAAACGGATGCTCACGACGCAGTATCGCATGCACGAGTCGATCATGCGATTCCCGTCCGACGAGCTCTACGAATCAAAACTGATGGCTGGCGACGCGGTGAAAGCGAGACTATTAAAAGATCTGCCGTACGACGTGGAGGAAACCGACGACACCAAGGAACCCGTAGTCTTCTGGGACACGCAAGGCGGGGATTTCCCCGAGAAGGCAGAAGACAAGGAAGTAGGTCAGAAGGAAGCACTGCTCGGGGAGAGCAAAAGCAACGAGATGGAGGCCTTGGTGGTGGCCAAGCACGTGGATAATCTCGTGCAATCAGGGGTGAAAGCCGAGGACATCGCGGTGATCACGCCGTACAATGGCCAATTGTCGGTTCTGTCGCAGATGCTGCGGGAGAAATACCCCGGTTTGGAACTGGGAAGTGTCGACGGATTCCAGGGTCGCGAGAAGGAGGCCGTGGTGGTCAGCCTCGTTCGGAGCAACGAGGAGCACGAGGTCGGATTTTTAGGCGAGCGACGACGGCTGAACGGTATGTCCTCCCTGCATGGGTGGTCGGGATCTGATCCCACCTGATTCTAAACTAATCTGTATTTTGTGCAGTGGCTATGACCCGCCCGAAACGACATCTGTGTATCTGTGGTGATTCAGAGACCATCAGCAAGTGAGTACCCATTTCCTTTCCCCCTCCCCTCTTCCCTTCCAGGCTGAGGGTGCATGGGGAGACATCCCGCGTCTTTACGCATGGATCCACAGCCTCGGAAGGAGATACGAGGTGGGACGATGACGTGAATTGCTGAACTCATGATTTTCCCCACAGAGGCAGCGGCTTTCTCAAACGCTGGATGGGATTCTTAGAGGAACATGCGGATCTACGGTACCCGGACGCCGGCGAGTTACTATAACCAGAACTCCGTAACTATACCCATGCCATGAGTAAGGGCAGACGAAAGATTTAAGACAGACCTAATTTTGAGTCTGCGAAGTCCCGTTCCCACTCCCGAAGGAGGGAGGAGATAACTCGGCAAGTCAATCATAGACTTTAGACGATCACGGCAAAGATAGAACTCTCGTCGACCTGACACACAGACTAATTGAGTCCATTGGATTGACTATGGGGCAGAGCCGTGGCTCCATCACCCAAACGAGGAAGATCGGCGATTGCAGAGACAGAGAAGTAGAAGAGAACAATGGGTAGGACATGGAGAGGAAGGTCTTTTCGGAAATCCAAATCTGATACACGTCCTAGGTGGCATTCACTTTTCTCACCCTCGCACGGCCTGATAATTTGGGATGGGATTGCCTGCCCGGTGAGCGGTCCAAATAGGATACCGATCGTCAGGGTGTCTGCGGTGTAGGTCTGAGCGTTTGCAACCTTGCACCGAGGGATGCTTTCTGACATGCTACTGTATAGTGGAACTTGATGAGGCCGACGTGGTCGAAGGAATGGAACGACATCGAACGGTCCATGGGCATGCATGGTTGCATTGGCTTTGAACAACTCACGCGCGCATCGTGTAGACAGGAGACTAGACTGTGTAGAAGGATAGTCGATCCTTTAAAGCTGCAAGTCATGACGATGACGGTGATGCCGTTCCCCACCGAGTCGACATTCGAGACGCTTTCTCCTCAACTCTACGGTGTACTTTTCCGAAGGTAGACTGGGCGAGAGAGGGGGAAATATTAATAGAAAAACGATTGGCGGTTTCAGCAGCAACTAGCGAGGTTAGGTGGAGACCGAGACGACTCCTGACGTCAAGGACGGAGAAGAGTTTAGAGTAAAAAGGAAAATGTGCTCAGGTTGTGCTCATGTTTTATGCTCGTCGCGAGGATGTCTTTGGTCCATTGCTGACGGGATGCAAGGCAGGCACTTTTATTATGAGGATGATTCTAGCGGTGAGTGCATACGAACAGCCTCATCCCCAAGAGCCTCTCGTCCCCGTACTCCGTACTAATGGACTAACTCTTTAGTATGGGGCGCAAAACAAAGCACAGCGTAAGCAGGTCCATTTACTCCATACTCCGACTGCCTGTCTACGGTCCAGGATTCTGTCAGATGAAGCCGCATCGACGCACGCCCACCCAAAACCAAAAGGCCAAAAAGGCCAAAACCCAAATGCAGCTGCCATGTGGAGCAGGAGCCAAAAAATGGGGGCCACTTGGCGCGTCTCAGAATCTGCAAGCTTCGGCGCGGTCGAATCAGGAGGGCAGCTGCGCGGTCGCTGAAGCAAGATTTGGGGGTCGAACGCCTGGACAGGGAAGAACCATGTCCAATTTTAATTCATCCGGTCGATGACAGGCGGTCGCGTCTGACTGGAGGGTTCGGGGGCATCGTATGACGGGGATATTCATCCTGAGTGAGTTGTTCATCTTGTCTTTTCACTAACTGTGGTTCTCACTGTCTGTGAGAGTAACCGACCAACGGAGGATTCCAGTCGAAGGGACGAGGCAGAATCGATATGATATTCATTGCGTCAGTCGATCGGAAGGAAGATTTGGAATCATTCTGGAAGCAGAGATTCTTTGGGGGCCGAGCATCAGCCGGCAGTATTGATGATCTCGTCTGTTGAAGGCCAAGCCGGGTCTTCTAGAAGATCTGATTTATTGTGTAGATTGACTCGATTGATTGATTACGGAGGATTCGGATCTTGACTGCATGACGGCGACACCGACAGTCTTGCCTTTCTGAGACTGAAGAGCACAGAGGAGAACAGAGGACAAGGACAGAGGAAGAACCCCCTGAAACACGAAAGCCGCATGGACTCCCGGCCAGTCCGACCCACTTCGCCCGACTTCATCCTCTTTTCCTCTCTCTTTCTCTCTCTCTCCCTGTCCGGCTTCCTCTCTCTTCCTTCCTCCGATCCGGGAAACTAGTTTACTGACTCGACGCTCACTAGCTGCAGTAATCCCCGCCGACGGTTGGTCGCCATGTCTCGACTCCATGTTTGAAGCCCACTCATTGCCTTTCTGCTTGTTCCCGGTGGAGCTTCCCTCACTCTCTTAGACTCTGCCTCTCTCCCCCGTTCCCTGGATCTCTCCTCAGGCTCCGGTTTCACTTTGTTTTCGTTCATTCTTTTGGGTCTGTCCGCCGACAAACCATGTCCCTCGTTTGATCCTCTCTGTCTCTCTTTAATTATATGCCATGCTCGAGCTCTCTCGTCTGCTCATCGGCTACTAATCAGCCTTTCCTTCTTTTCGCTTACCTGCGAGCCTTCTCTCTTTCTCGGCCTTTTTCAACCTTTAAGCCAAGGTCAGCCACGTTTGTTGTCTTGTTTTATTTTGATTTTATTTTATTCTCTTGCAGGGATTTTTTTGGGGGTTTTTTTTTTTTTTTTGGCCAGGGGATTTCGCTGACTGGTCGAAGATATTTTTCCGATCGTTCGATTCGAGATAGATTGGATCAGAGGACAGCCTTACTATACGACGACAACCCGTCACTTGCTTTGTCCTCGTATATCTCGACCCACCCACCCCTCCCGATCGATTCCTTCCTCTCTTTCCTCTCGATCGCGCATACCAGTCGCTCTTTATTCCCTTAATTTACAATCTGATCTAATACCGCATGTGCCCGCTCTCTTGATCGATCGCCATCATGTCCGTCAGTCCCGGCTCCGTTCCCCGCCATGCCGAGATGGACGACACCGCTCTACCCCCCATGAGCACCAAGCAGCTGGTCACGGCCAGATCGCGTCGTCAACTTCGCGGATCCGAATCTTCTATCGTCATAAGCAATCGCGCTGCTGCCACGTTGGGATACGGCGCCGCAGATTCGTTCTCCGGCCTGATGGGCCGCGGCGGACCCGGCTCGCATCGGCGCACGGGGAGCACGTTACGGACGGTGATGAAGAAGATCTTCACTCGCAAGCGAGGCAGTCAACACGACGGGTTCGATTCCGATTACAACTTCAGCAGCGCCAACTCGTCACATCCGAGTCAGGTCAATGGGATGGCGGGCGATCCGTCCTACTCCATGCCCAATTCCTTAAATTCAAAACGCAGCGGCGGATTGGCGCAGAAGGAGATGGGCAACGGAGGTCCCATGACGCTGAACGATGCCCTAGCGAAATTGGAGATCCGGCCGCCGCGACAACGCCGAGCGACCCTGCCCAGTTTGATCTTCTCCGACGACGAGTCCCGCGATGCGCTGGATGACGTGGTCTCCGGTCTACCGGAGGGCAATCGCAGCCGTAAAAACTCCCTACACCCGAATCCCGACTCGCTGGACGATCGACGACGAAAACGCCGGTCGAGGAGCGCGGGACAACTGCGCAGCATGGCCCGGGACCATCGCATGTCGCCGATTCAGTGGAGACGGCGGAGCATCGAATCGTACGTTGGGTCGACGGCGTACACTCACGTGTCGGACAGCGAGATATCCATCCGGCCCCCGACGAGGGCTACAGTGACCAGCCTGCCAAAGCCGTCTACCGACCCCTCCATGTACGACGAGGTGACCGAAGCCGAAACCAACGTCCAAGTGGAAGCCGAAAGTATCGCGCCCAACGCGGGTACTCTAGTCAACGCCATGCAAGACAGCGAAAATGTGTCCATGGAACAGCGGCTAGCCACCCTGGAAATAAAACTGATCGATCTGGAGTTTGCCATTGCGCGCATGCAAACGAACCAGAGTAGTACATCCTCGCCCGCAGCGACTCCAGTCCCGGCGAAGAAACCCGAACCGACGACAGCCGACCGTCGACACAATCGCAAGAAATCCACGGCGCGTTCTCCCCCGGACACGTCCCACTCTAATCAGCAATCCGACCGCCCCGTCAGTACGGGTACAATCCGTCCTGGCACCATGAACACAACTAGCACCAGCGCAAATGTGCACCGCTCGCGAACGCTGCAGCCCCCATCCTCCACCTCCCTTAGCGACACCAACTCCATCTCCATCGAGCAATACAGCGCTCTGGTCATGCTGCTGCGTCGCGAACAGACCGCCCGACGGAACCTCGAGGGCGAAGTCTCGAGTCTCCGCGACGACATCAAACAGCTACAGTTCATGGCTCGGGAGTCTGTCGGCATCGGAACGATGTATCCCATCCGCAGCGCCGACTCGCAGGAATTTATGCGCATGAGACAGGCTGGTCGGTCAGCGACTACGTCGCCGGCTCGCACGGAGGACAAGTTCGGGTGTCCGTCGCCGTACGAGAGCGATTCCGAATGGGATCGGCCGGAAATACCGGCCAAAGATGAATTCTATAAACCGAGGTGGCAGAACCGGAGGGTTGAAGTTCCGGGGATGATCTAGCCTCATAGTACGGGAGATGTGATGTCTTTTATGCCATCTTCCATTCGCACTTCTTGACACTCCTTGACACTACCTTACCTGAGTTCCTCACCACTCCTTATGATGATCCTTCTTTCCCTCCTTACACACATACTTCTATCCTTCCTTCCATTCTTCCCTTCGCCTTTCTCCCCATTGAATCTTGAAATTTGACATTTCGACTTTCCACGAATTTTCTTTCTTTTTATCATTCTTCTTATTTGTCCTGTCTCATCCGCTCATGCACAGTCTTAGATTGATACCACTCCGCCACCACATCTGGAATTTTTTTGTCTATCTGTCTCTTCGCATGGCGACTGTGTTTACTGGTTATTGATGATTGGTTTTAATGACTTTTACTTCACCCTGGAGACCCGGACCTGCCTGGGCATTTGATTTTATCTTTTTGGTTGCTTTAATAGATATAGAGCTTTACTTTATTATATTATTTTTGCATATGAGCACTGGTTGCACTTCAATCTTCTTTCCCAATCTTTTTCGATTCCTAGGTGTGTTTAATCATCAGAGTTGATCAGGACTATGCACCAAATCTTTTTGGGGCTTTCCTGGCTGAGTATATCTTATTCACCGTCTTCATTTGAGCTTTGTAAAATGTCTGGCCTCTCTTAGACAGTTGTAAATCTTATGAAAAATATCCTTGAAGGTATTCTTGTGACCCCGAATGCCACGTCGTAGCTAGTGTTCCATCCCTCGTTGCAGTCATGGCCATGTCTGCGGTGCCAGATCTCTAAGCGTAGATCACACAGACGAACGATACGAGGCAGAGACAGTCCATGAACGTGCCGTAGATCATTTTGTCAGTGATCAGCTCCCGGGTAAACACTCCATCATTGACGATTCTAAAGAGAAGCAAAACAGTCTCCCCTGAGCCTCTTTTTAACTCCTACTTACATCAGTGCGTCAAAAGTGATTCACGCAAGCAACGCCTACGTTGCGAGTACCCTCCCAGAATACCACAAGAACATCATTCCCTGCAAGAACATACGTTGCCGAATCGCCGTGCTAGAGCCCGATATGGCCCTGAGGGTTCACAATTCATACATCATCAGAAAGCAGGACGGAGCGTTGTCCTACCTGATTCCTCGCCCGGATGGCAGTATCGTCGTAGGCGGGACATCGGCAAAGTCCCGACTGTTTCGAGATCAATGGTATAATACAGTCGATGATGGAAGTCTGATTGCGTATCATACTTTCCCTTAAACACATATTTGCAGCCATTCATAGTCTTATCAAAGGGCAAGGGGATCGCTTCATATGTTACGCGCACCCGATAAAAAGACAACATAAAGAGTGCAACTGAATCGCCATCTAAAGCTTTGTACTGCCCAGTTTCCCAAAACCCAGGATATCACCATCTATCTTCGTTCCATGCCGTTTCTGGTCTATGCGAGTTTGTGTCATTTTGAACAGGCGAGGAATGGCAGCCTCAAATGAAACGTCGTCGACAACCATCTTTGCCAATTCCTTCGCCGCCAGCCAGATAACTGGCATGCCGTGGCCATTGGACCCAGCAAGAATAAATTCACCACTTTTCCCAGGTACTTGACCAATATGTGGCCGGGAGTCGTATGAATAACCTATGATCCCCGTCCAGATCATGGCCACACTTGCAGGCACGCTCTGCCAACCGCGAAAAGTTCCCTGCATGAAATCGGTGTAGTAGTCCTTCGCGGCATCAAGGGAACAGTAATCTCCTAGTTACAAAAGGCCATGAGCAAGAATATGGAGTATATTATCAAGGACCGTACGCTCCTGTTATAAGATTGACATCAGTGTGACTACCTAAAAAAACAATAACTGCTAAAAATATCCATCTCAAAGGAATTTTAATCTTTAGTAAGACAAGCATTTGGGGAACGATCGCAGAATACTATGGAACGTTGTCCAGCCATCTACATTCCGATCCACGTGAAGAATGTTGGATGCCAGGTAGGGATGCCGGGCAGCGTAATCTGTAGAAGCTCTGGAAACTTGAGGGCCTATTCCGCTTATTTTCCTGACTCGAGTCGCACACGCGCTACATGAAGTCTTGCTGCCTCGTCATCGATCGTGAGCGGGCAGTTCCACAGAGCCTTCTACATTCCAAAATCCAGCATGTGGAACTACGGTATGCTGAGCTTCAGAGCCGCATTCCTGGTGCTTTCTCTAAGGGTAGCAGAACGTGCCAGAGCCCTCAGTTTATAGATTAGACTATGTGACTGCTACCCTGTCTCGATATCAAATACACACTCTCTCCCCATATTATGGCGTCCAGAAGTGCAAATGATAGCATCCTGCATAGTCCTGCCGCAACGCCCCCGCCAGGAGTACAACCCAACTTGGACAATCCGCCCAACCATGGGACTATTACTCGCGCTATCATCGTCACATTATGGATTGTCTGTTCGTCGTTGGTTCTAGCTCGCATGTATATCAAGAAACCGTTGATTCGGAAGGTCAGTCTGTCGGATTGTAAGTCGCCCTGACATTCCCTTTGACTGCCACTGACAGGGTTAGATGCGATCATTCTCGCATGGGTATGGGGTGTATATTCCCAGACAGTCTAGCTCATACTGACTCCCCAGGCGATCTTCATGTCCTATCTTTCCATCTGTTGGCTCTTCGTCGAAGAAGCCCCTGGAGTCGACCAGTGGAATCTAACACTCTAGGACTTTTCCGTATTGCTCTACGTGCGTCTTCCTTCTCGCCCTAGCGAATGTAGATATAGCTAAGACCGACCGTGCTTGCACAGTACATCCACATCGCGGCGATTACCTACGGCTGGTGCATGATGTTCATCAAAAGCTCCATTCTTCTCCAGATCATCGAAGTGTTTGTCCCGATCCGTCAGCCTAACTGGTTTTACGGCATCTGTCTGGCTCTGATTGTCGCGAATATGATCTTCTACATCACCGGTTTCTTCCTAGAGTTGTACTCCTGTCAACCCAGAGAACGAATCTGGACGCTGTGGATGGAAGAAGGCTCTTGCTTGGACATGATTCGGCTGGATCTGATCACTGCGTCTGTTAACTCGGCGTCGGATTTCATCATGCTGATCTTGCCGCAGCTGCGTATCTGGAGACTTCATATGTCGTGGCTGGAGAAGGTGAATGTTTCGGCGGTGTTTTTTGTTGGGATCTTGTATGTTCTCCCTTTCCTTTGACTAATCTTAACAGACAAAATATCGGGATTGACCTTTTTTGTGTACTAAATGGTTCCCAGGGCCTGTACAGCATCCATCCTCCGTCTCTTCTACGGCATCCAATACGCCGACAGCAATAATGTCTCCTATTATTGGTTCACCTCTGGGCTATGTTCCATGATCGAGTTGGCTGCTGGCATCATCGTCGCGCGTCTGCCATCCATGCCAAGACTTTTTCAGAAAAAGGGTCTGAGTCAAGGCTTATCGCGCATCAGGCTCTTGCTGCATGGTGTCTTTTTGTTTTTCTCTAAGCTGGACATGCGCCCGCGCTTTCATTCTATATTTTCTTCGCCAGGGAGATTAATGCGAAAACGAAAGGTCCGGACAGAGAGTGTGAAGAGTCAGGCAAGCCAGACGTGCCAGAGGATTGCTGAGTCGGATCAGGAGCTCCCGCCAGTGTCTGTATCGAGGGAAGAGAGGTGAGGTGCAGTGGTTTGTTGAGGACTTCAGATTGGGTTATGTTGAGATTGAATCAGTGGTTTGATCTTAGCGCTGGAAGTAGGGCTAAAGAAATCTAAGATTTGGAATCGAAAATGAAGGACTAATGTATCAAGGGTATTAATTCTCCGCCCTTATTCCATGGGATATTCGATTAGTGGGACTCAAACTACGCCGTACATCTAGCTAGACCCTACTTAGATTTCATCCTAACCCAGGCAGCAACATACCTACGGGTGCTGTGCAACCGTACCTAAATTCAAGCCAACTCAAGCCGATAAGACATGATTAAGTTCAGAGCTTGCATGGACAGGGGCAGACACAGGGGCAATCAACTCAAGTAACCCGTGACGCACCACGAACCACGAACCAGGAAGGACCAAGGGAACGGAGCAAGGGACAAGACCCAAAAACCAGGTCCAGGAGGCAAACCAAGCCCGACACGTCACGTCATTCCATACCAAGCTCAGCCAAGCTTCTTGGTGAGGAGCTTGGCTTTAGGGTAAAGTTCGCTGATGGTCGGGAGGCATGTGGCGCGGTATGCAGAAACATACCGAGTTTATGTGCCGCCTTAACTAATTTGGGGATTTTCGTTGGGTGAAAGGGGGATTGAAACCGTGGGTCGGATGATCGGGTTGTTTTGCTCTGATCGGACTCATGATTCAGTTCTTTGGATGGGTTGATAACTACCTAGGCATCGATGGTAGGCAGGCATTAGTAGGAATAGTTGCAAATCATGCTCTGTAATGACCAGGGGCCGAACCGGGCGATCGGGATGGTCTTCTTTCTATCCATGTCTCCCTAGGGCTGCTTGGTCCAGGATCAGTGGTCTTGAAGATGATGTATTGGTTGTCGATCTCTATCGGTCTGTCAGTTTATTGTCAACCATTGATTCCCAAAGGAAGAAAAGACAGGAACAAGATTGATTCCACAATGAATCATACCTCTCCAAAAGGTTCCACAGCTCCATCTCGCGTGTCTGCCTATTCCCATAACCCAGGGTTAATCAAGCATGGTAGCACGAACACAGGAACCGGGACCGACTAGACTGACCAGACCGACCGGACCAGGAGCAGAGGAATTGCGCGTCAACCAGAGCGTTCGAACGGCGACCTTCTTTTTAAGAAAAAATAAACTCATCGTGGGTCCGTCGATCGCGATTCCTCACTGTCACTGGTCAAGGCCCGACGGAACCATCGAAAGCTGGTCGACACAAAAACGATGTCGCAGAGCCATGGACAGCGATGATGCTGGGGGCAAATGAAGTGGCAGATGATGGTCAGCTAAGATGACTGATTGAATTCTCCGAGTGCTGGTCTGGTCTAACTTGACATCATGGCCACATGAAAAGGACTGGAAATTGAAAATCCCGCATTTTGCGATCTGGCTATGCACAGCCACGAGAGGGCGCGCGGGAGTTAGTGAGCTGCTTATTGCTTAGCTTCAGGGTATTTTGGAGGGGAAGCGTTCAGCTTTCATTTTGTTATTTTCTGTGCGGTGGTTTAGTCTGGTGTTTTGTGTTCAGTTCTCCCGGGAATGAGCAGGGCAATAACATGACCCTACTTAGAGGATGCGAACAAGAAAAGAAATCCCCCCCAAAAAAGCAAGGAAAAGGAAAGGAAGAAAAAACAGATAAGCTCACCGCCTCAGCCACAGGTTGGCCTAAGCTCCCTTCATTCCCTCTTCTCCTTCCTCTTTCTCACTCTGGTTACTCCGTCAGTCGATCTCACTCAGGGACGAGGATCCACCCCCGGACTAGTAGGCAGCCATTTACTCCCAATCTATGAGGCATTTGCCATCCATCTCCTCCCTTAGTCTCGCTTAATTTCAAACCGTCCTGAAGAAAAAAAAAATGTAACCGAGGGAAAATGCCGCATGGAAAGTGAAAGCCACTGACCTCGTCCCGTGTGGCGGTGCCTCGTACCTCCTCGAGTATAAATCCTGCTCTCCCTCGATCCTGTTCGTGCATCTTATTTCCTCGTTATCCTGTCGCGACAAGGTATGCTCATCGACGGCGAAAAGTGGGCTTGCGAAGCGTGTGTCCGCGGCCACCGTGTGACAACGTGTAAACATCATGGTCGGCATCCCTTGTTTCGTTGGCCTCCTCTTCTGCCCTCAGGATCTCACTAACCATCTCCCATCCACAGATCGATCATTAGTCCGCATCAACAGAAAAGGCCGTCCCTTCTCGACCTGCTCTGTCTGTCATCACACTCCCTGCCCGACTCCCGACGAGCACACCAAGCTCCGTCGCGAGTCCGAGGCCAAATCTTCTTCAAAAGTAGATGTGCACCACCGCATCCTCCTGCATCTCCTGCCCGCCCGATAAGAACCTCCATACATACACTGTTTGAAAACCATTGTTGTGCTGATGATGGCTTTCTTTGTGTCCTTTTTTCCCGATCCCCAGATCAGTAGAGTTCCGGGCAGACGGCCCTCTTCTACTCGTGCTCCCGCCGCCTTTATCCCCATTGCGCCGCGTCCGGCTCCCTCGTCGGTGTCGTCGGTGTCATCTGCTTCCTCGTCCTTGGTGCCGGAGTCTGGCGCGCTTCCAGGCCAGAGGTCGAATTCCGTTCCGGGTCTCAAGTTGGAGGATCTACAGTACTCCCAACAGGTTGATCCAGCCTTGAGAGATGTGCCGATGACGACCGCCATGGGTGGTGGTGGTGCTTCTCTCGCTCCCTCGGACTCCTATGTCCCTCTCTCCTGCGCGTCGCTTGCGTCCTCTCCGCTCGGCTCGCTCGCCGAAACTCCCCTGTCCGTCTCGATGTCCATGTCGATGTCGATGTCCATGCCGATGTCGATGGCCAGCGGCGCCTGGGCCACAGATGCCACTCCGGCGTATGGGGATGTCAGCCCGTTCACGCTGGAGGATATGGATGTTGACGTGATAGGCGATTGGACTTGGTTGTCGCAAACGGTATGACATTTGTGGGAGAGGGGAGATGGTAGCAGGTATTGGGCTTTGCGCCTTATATGAATGATGAATTATGATTTATGCGGTGGCTGTCGGTGCTTGCTTTTTGGTTGTTTGTGGGGAGGAGTGTTGTATGTACGTCGCTAAGGTTGTATATATTCGAATGGACGTACTTTACGATGTGGAGGGATTGAATATATAAGATTATAAAGAAAAAATTTATATTGAGTCGGCATTCTTTTTCTGATTTTGTTTCTATACTCGTCCCGACTACCTCAAATCCCACACAACCTACAGCATTCGAGGTCCAGATTCTGCAACCCTAAATATCTAGACACCAAACCCCTGCAGCCCTCCCAGTTCACAGATATTCTACGAAATTCCACCCATCTACTCCACCCCAACCCTCCCCACTAGCCCAACCAAAGCCAACACGGCAACCATCAGACACCTCCCAAACCCACGCCTCTTGGCGAACGCACCTCTACACTATTGAATCCATCTGCATGCACGTCTGGGCTGCAGATTTAGTTAATGCATACGCCATCCAGTCCTCTCCGATCATCCGAAATGATCTATCTCTTATCTATCCGTCCCGTACGGTTTGTTGCGGAGTGCCTTGCCGGATATATGATCTCTCACAAACTCACAAACCGGATAGACTCCTCCGCGCACTGGATTTGGATTTGTCTTTGCCGAGAATCAATATTGGATGAATAATTCATGCAGGTTGGGGTGTTCTTGTCTATTCCGTGTGGAGTATCTGGAGTATCCATGTGGATATGTGGGTGCGTGTACACAGAGTATGTCCAGTAGTTACCTTGTTCTGGAGTAGGGTTTGACTCGAACAGTAACATGCCTCCCATCCTGTCTAAGTACTCCGTGGGCCGCTTGTCTTTTCCTGTCCTATCCTGTCCGTTTTGCATCTGTCTTCTGCATCTGTCTTCTGCATCTGTCTATCTGCATGCATCTGTCTCTCGTTAATTGACCAACTAACTCACTGTCTCACTTTCCTACTGTCGCCCCCAGGCTCCAGAGTTCTACTTCCAGTTTTAGTTTTACTTGGCTACGGTGTCACTGACTGGTTAGCTAGGAAGGTAGGTTGCTGATGGACCTGTTCTTAAAAGAGTGGATTCTCCTCGTCTTGGTCGGTTTTGTGGTTCTGTTTGTTTGCCCTTTTTATCTCGTTCGCTTGTGGGTCGGTTTCAGTGAGAGTGAGCGTGAGAGTGAGAGTGTCTCGACTGGACGGATACTGGATACCTGTGCTTGTTGAAGACTGTGTCTAGTCCTGCTATCAGCCATCATGAGGCATCTTGTGCTGCTGTTCCTGTCATGGCTTACCCTGGGGGTCCAGGTGGAGGGTAAATCGGTGTTTGCGCATTTCATGGTATGATTCTTCTTATCCTTCTATTACCATCACTATCACTACTATCCAGGACTACTCCTAGACAATCACCCATGCCCCCCATACACATCCCCATACAAACGCACTATACCCTCCAACCTATTAACACCCATCCCCTAAACCAGCTCGGCAACTCCGCCAACTACACCACAAAGGACTGGGAATCCGACATCAACCTAGCAAAAGCCTCTTCCATTGACGCCTTCGTCATAAACATGGCCCGCAACGAACGCCTCCCCACCCAAATCTACAACGCCTTCCAAGTCGCCGCAGACACGTCCTTCAAAATCCTTTTCTCATTCGACTACGCTGCCAACGGCTCCTGGCCCAAGTCAGACGTCTTGAACCTTCTCAATGAATACTCCACACATCCGGCGTATTTCACGCACAATAAGCAGCCATTGGTCTCGACCTTTGAGGGCGCAGACGCGTGGAAAGATTGGACGGATATCAAGGAGAAGACGAATGCGTTTTTTGTGCCCGATTGGTCCTCGCTTGACCCGCGGAAAGCGGTCAATCGAACCGTCGTGGACGGGTTGTTTAATTGGGGTGCGTGGCCCGAGGGACCAAGGGCGATGAATACCTCAGGCGATGAGGCGTTCCTATCGGCCCTCGATGGAAAACCGTATATGATGCCCGTCTCGCCGTGGTTCTATACCAACATGCCCGGTTTCGGTAAGAACTGGGCGTGGAGGGGCGATGAGCTCTGGTTTACGCGCTGGGAACAGGCGATTCAACTGGGCCCGGAGTTCGTGCAGATCATCAGCTGGAATGATTATGGGGAGTCGCATTATATTGGGCCCCTTGGGGCGGATGACGGGGTGGATGTCTGGGATGCGTTTTCGAGGGGAAAGGCGCCGTTTAATTATGCGAAGGAAGTGCAGCATGATGGTTGGAGGACGTTCTTGCCGTACCTAGTGGACAGGTATAAGCGGAATACGACCGATGTGGAGGTCAAGGGGGAGGATGAGAATGTTGTCACTTGGTATCGGTTGAGTACGGATAGAGCGAGTGGGTGTAAGGATGGGGGCACGACGGGGAATACGAAGGCTCAGGGCCAGAAGGAGTATAAGCCGGAGGAGATTCTGGAGGATCGGATCTTTTATTCGGCGCTGTTGGCGAGTCCGGCGAATGTCTCGGTCAAGGTTGGTGGGGAGGCAATGGCCGCGAAGTGGCAGGTTGAGCCGAAGGGGGGAAAGGGGGTGTATACGGGCAGTGTCGAGGTGAAGGGCGAAGGTGATGTTAAGATTGTGGTGCGAAGGGGGGATGACGTCGTGGCGAAGGTGGACGGCGAGAAGATCAAAGGAGATTGCAAGGATGATGACGGGTACAGGAATTTTAACCCGTGGGTTGGTACGTCGGGAGCGGACATTGCTCAAGCTGGAGGTGTTTTGGGGATGGTGGTGACTGCACTGGTGGTGGGTTTCATCGTGGGTTGAGACTCTATAATGGGTATGATATTGATGGAAGATAATATATTGGATAATGATAATGGTAATACTGGCAGACCAACTAGACAGTACCATGGATGCGGTATGCGTCCAATTCAACTCATCCAAAAAGCACCGCTAATCCCAAACCTGGCTCCATCATGCAATCCTATCTACATGCTTCCTCATGCTCATGCGAGAATGTTACACCTCCTGAATGTAATTGGCAGGCACACTCTTCGTCACGCCGCCTCGTTCGACTTCGGCCCATCCGTCGCCGCCGTCTCGAATGACCAGCACGAATCGGTCACCCTCCACCATGTTCCATTCCATGTCGCTGCGCGCCTCGTAGTCGTACAGCGCTTCCACGTACTGCACCTTCTTGGCCCCACGTCGAGGAGCCACCGCCGGTCCCACACGCTTTCCCGCTGCGCCGGCGCTACCAGCCAACGACGCCGATGAGTTCGAGTATACCGATCCCGGTCGATCTGTGAAGCCGGGACTGGCGGAGACGGGCGACGGCGCGGGTGCCGCTTCCACATAGGCCGTCGGGACGAGACCTTCGGAGCCTCCGGCGCGGACACGCATCCATCCTCCATCTAGTAGAATTAGCATGGCTGTAAAGAAAGGTTTTGTCGAAAGCTTACCGTCTGGTTCTACTATGGCCACCTCGTCACCCTCGTTGACGGTCACCTCGTCGGCTCCCCCAGCTTGATACGGGTATAGCATCTTCCCGCGTTGCTCGCCCGGCTTAGGTGTCGGCTCCACTGGCGGCGGGCTGACGTACTGTGCCGGAGGGGGTGCCAGCACTCGGTTGCGTTTGACAGGCGGCTTGGTCTCCTGCACCGGGGCGGGTGCCGGAGAGGCCGGGGAGGGAAGCTCCGTCGGCGATGGAGATGTGGGCGCCGCCAATTCTGACGGCGGAGGAAGACTGGCCGCATTCGATAGCGATCGATTGGCACTGACGGCGTAGCCCGAGCTCAGCGAGTTCATTGTGTCCTTGCGCGTGAGGGACGGCGCGGCCGACGGGCTGGACGAGGGCTCCAGGTCCAGCGTCGGCGTCGAACCGGCCTGTTCTTGCCGTTCCGTCTTCAGTTTCTTCTTCTCCTCCTTGCTCTGCTCGCCGGGACACTCGGCCGGCACCTTCATCTGACACTTGCTGTGACAGGTGTATCCGCAGTCCCGGCAGTCGAATCCCTTCGCCGACAGTCCCCAGATGCGCTCGCCGCACAGGTCGCAGTTCGTCGGGATTTTGAAGGTTTGCGATTTGAAATTATGGTTCTTGGCCCCGAGAGACAGATCGCCGACGACGCCGATGATGGTGGACGTCTCGACTTCGGCGGTCAGCCGCTTGCGATCGGCCTCGTGGAGACCCTCCTGCAGGTAGAAGATGGACCGGACCACTTCCACCTCGTTTCGGTTATCTTTGCCTTGCTGGATGCTGACCCGTATCCGCTTGGCGTCTTCTACCGTTCGACGTTTCTGATCCGACTCCACTCGCAGCTCGCGCACCTGTGTTTTGCTGTTGCTGAGGACGTTGCGCAAGAACACCTTGGCGGAGTCGTCCGTGATGAGCGCCTCGTCGTCGTGCCAGATCGGACTGGGTTCGAAGCCGAGGTTTGGTGGTTCCTGCGACTGCGTGACATTGTGCCGCAAGAACATGAGGGAATCAAGATGCGGTTGGTTGCGGGGGATTTCGTTGATGAGGTTGGCCATGTGATTGACGCTGTTGGACAGTGAGTTCTTCTCTAGCTGGGCCGCATGCGACCATAGCGTGTTCAGTTTGGTGACTCGGGTTTCGTTGAGATCTTGCAGGCCCTAGTCTAATCAGTAACAAAACTCGGGCAAGGGTCGAGCGATTCCGGAATACTCACGTCTAGTAGTTCGGGCACGTATTCATGGTAGAATCGTTCCTTCATTTTGTTCGTCACGTTGATGCTGATCAGGTATGTGTTCTGTCCCGTTAGCTCCGACCGAAGATATAGAACCGCTGCAAACTCACCTTGACGTTGTTCATTTCGAGGATTTGTTGCTGGTACGCAGCCTGGGCCTTGGGCTTCCCATGGTCGAACGAGTTCTCCATCTTCTTCCGTTTTGCCTCCACTTCCTGACACACTCCGTCGTATTTCCCCTTGGCCTTCTTGAGATCGCTATATGACGAGTCCCTCTCCTTCTCCAATTTCGCATGGAAGTCCACATGGCACTTCCGCAGCTCTTCGTACTGCGTCGCCGCCTGTTTCAGCGGCTCGGCCACCTGTGCGACGAGATCATTGGCGAACTGATCGCGCTCCGAGGCATGCGACTCGACGGCGGTTAATTGCGTGGTCCATGTGGTGAGGGAGGCGCTTTCCAGCGATCCCGGCGTCATGCTGGGGGTGTCGCCCACGCTCAACGTGCTGATCTTCTTTGCTTTGCGGTCATAGTACTTTTTGCAGAGCCCCGACAACTTCGCTGCGTATTCTTTCTCGATTGCGCTGCGTTCTCGGTAGAACTGCTGTATCTCGTCCAGCCATGATATACCATTGAAAACCTATCCTCCAGTCAGTCTTCGCGGGACTAGTGTGCGGTAGCGACGGCGACGTGGCGGGCTGGGGGGTTACGTACCCAATTGTTGACGGGTTTGAAGGAATCCTACTCCTATTAGCTTTATCCACGCCCCTCAGGTCGATCACCCACCTTCAATTCGGCTCCAAAATGAGGAGCGGCTTCCGGCGTTGCCATGTCGGGTGCTCAAGTGCGGCGCATGCGACTGAGATGTGAGAGGGGCGGAGATTAGGCTGCAGGAATAGCGGGTGACCTACCTCCACGCGGGGACAGGACGAACGGCACCAGCAAGACAGCCCTCTCGGCAGACAACAACTCGTCCTATAATCTGGACTCAGATAGTGATACTTGGAGAAGTTCCAGGAAGGCAGCGAAGCAACAAGCGGGGAAGAAGAGGCGTGACAATACCAGACCGGTTGTCAGGCCACGTTCCCCTTGCTTTGCCCCTTTTGGGCCATGTTTGCCCCGTTTGTTTCCCCGGCGCTCCGTCCGATTCGCGTCGACGTCATCCGCTAGTCTCCTTTGGGCACCCCCCCTGCCGTACGGTACCATACCCCACCGCCTTCCATTTATGGTATTGCATCTCGACCCAAACCGGCCTAGCGTCTGCCGGGCGGTTGACTCGATTTTTTGGTCGTCGCGAGTCTTCTGCGTTGCTCGGTGCCTGTTGTTCCCTCGTCAATCAATTGCTCCCTTTTATCATCACTAGAGTGTGCGCTGTGCATTCATTCACCAGTTCCTTCAAATCGCCTCTCTCCTGCGTGCCGTTCTCTCTCTCTAGGCACCTCGCGCCGATCCTCGGATACCTACTCACTTCTCTCTCTTTCAACTTACCCCGCCGTCCCTCTTCGCTTTCTCCCCCGTCTCCAACCTCACCCTGCGCGTCGGACGGGACTCTCTTTTTCTTTCTTTCATCTCCATATTAGACTATCTGACCTTCCATCCGTCATGTCTACCGAACAGCCTGCCGAGGCGCCGTCCAGCGGCTCCCTCGCCGATCGCATCTCCAAACCTGAGGAGTCACAGCCCGGTACGTCTTTGTTGACGTGAACTGTGAATCGTCTCTCGAGGTCAAATGTCTAACTATTTCAGAACAACCCACGAAATGGGCCGATGAAGCCGATGAGAACGATCAGAACGATGGCGCCACGCCGCAGCAGGGCGGCTCCGACCTTCAAGAGCCCGACTACACCGTCGAGGTCAAACTGAGCGATCTCCAGGCCGACCCCAACAACCCGCTTTACTCGGTCAAGAACTTCGAAGATCTCGGATTGTAGGTGACGATTCGGCTGCATACTACTTCGATCCAATAACTGACGCCATCACAGAGACCCCCGCATTCTGCAAGGTCTCTCCGCGATGAACTTCCGTAAACCCTCAAAGATCCAAGAACGTGCTCTGCCCCTGCTACTCAGCAGTCCCCCCAAGAACCTGGTCGGTCAATCCCAGTCCGGTACCGGAAAGACGGCCGCCTTCGTCCTGAATGTCCTCAGTCGCCTGGATCTATCGTCGGAACAACTACAGAAGACCCCGCAGGCGCTGATCCTGGCTCCGACTCGTGAGCTGGCGCGCCAGATCGTCGGCGTCGTGCAGGTCATGGGTCAGTTCTTGGAGGGTCTGGCTATCGGGACTGCCGTGCCCGCCGACACCAACAGCCGTGTTGCGAAGATGGAATGCGCCGTGGTCGTCGGCACTCCGGGTACCGTTATGGATATGATCAAGAAGCGCGTCATGGTGGCCAACAAGCTGAAGGTACTCGTTCTGGACGAGGCCGATAACATGCTCGACCAGCAAGGTCTGGGTGATCAGTGTATTCGTGTGAAGGCGTGAGTTTCCTTCTTGCACGGCTCTTACGAACTCTACTAAACCCCGCAGTCTACTGCCGAAAGACATCCAGGTCGTTCTCTTCTCCGCCACCTTCCCTGAACACGTTCATGCCTACGCCTCCAAGTTCTGTCCGAACAGCAACGAAATCACTCTGCAACACGATGAGTTGACGGTGGAGGGTATCAAGCAGCTCTACCTGGACTGCGCCAACGATGATGAAAAGTACGCGCATCTGGTCAAGCTCTACGGTCTTCTTACCGTGGGATCTTCTATTATTTTCGTCAAGGTGAGCGCCTCTTTCCAGTGGCTTGCTTCGATGACTCTAACAATGTAGACCCGTCACTCTGCCGCGGAGATCGAGAGACGCATGGTCGCCGAAGGCCACACCGTTGCGTCGTTAACCGGTGGTATCGAGGGTTCTCAGCGTGACGCCGTCATTGATCAGTTCCGTGCCGGACATGCCAAGGTCCTGATTACGACCAACGTCCTTGCCCGTGGAATCGACGTGTCCACCGTTTCGATGGTTGTCAACTACGTAAGTTGCCCTTGGATTATTCGTCGACGGTTGGTGAAAACGTGCTAATTGAAATAGGACATTCCCGAATTGCACCAGCCCGGACGCGAGCGCCAGGCTGATTTCCAGACTTACCTGCACCGTATCGGTCGGACCGGACGATTCGGTCGTGTGGGAGTCTCGATCTCGTTCGTGGCGAACCGCGACGAGTGGAACATGCTCAACCAGATTCAGAGATATTTCAATACGGACATCCAGCGGATTGATACCAAAGACTGGGACGAGGTGGAGGACATCATCAAGAAGACTATTAAGAACACCCGTGCCCAAGCCGGTTTTGGGCGGTGATTTGAATGTATCGAGTGGATCAGTGGAAGTCGTTAGCAACCCAAAAACACCGCCAGGAAAATAGGTATTTTAATAGGGGAAACGGTCTTGCTCGAGTATTTCAAAAATCTACAAAGTCTGAGTCATTCTGCAACTGTAGTTGTTAGTAGTAGTAGTAGTAGTAGTAGTAGTAGTAGTAGTAGTAGTAGTAGTAGTAGTAGTAGTAGTAGTAGTAGTAGTAGTAGTAGTAGTAGTAGTAGTAGTAGTAGTAGTAGTAGTAGTAGTAGTAGTAGTAGTAGTAACGTAATGCTGTCTAACATAGCGAATGTAGCTGTTGGTTCTTCACAGTGTCAATTTAGTCCGATTCCTACTCCTTGAATAGAATTATTCTGTTCATTCAATTCAAAATACTCATCACGGACGTTTTGTACTATAATTGTTGATGCATTTAGAGCTTTCCTAAATCAGACACTTCAAATAGTGGTGACTGAAGTTATAGTCTAATCTAGCACAATTTAAATTTATACAATTCAAATATATTCCAAAATAAATAATCAGATAGCGTAGTTTAACCAGATCAGCAGAAAGCGGCATAGATATGGCTTGTTCCAGGTACTAATATTAATTATTATTAGCACCTAATGCTCCGCAATTCCTTCAACATCCTCAGAATATCCGAGAGAATTTAAGCTGATTTTCAACACTACTTTCCCAGCAGCAAGACAAAACGTATTATTTTCCGACAAAGGACATAGGATCTCTCCCTTCAGCTTCCAAGCATCAACAACAGGATATGTGTCACTCAAGTATGCAACACTGTCGGCTGTAAGCCTTTCAATACTGTACATTAGTGGTGTTTTGGTAGAGACTGATCCACATTCAAGGCCAAGGTGTACTTCAAGGGATTCTGTGGCAAAGAGACGAAAGGGTCTGTTGTGTTTCATATGCCCATTGACCGGTTTCCCCTCAGGTGGGTATATGATAGTAGATGAATTTTGTGAAATATTCCTGGTGCTTGAGAGTTGGTTGAGTACCAATGAAGGACCAGATTCTGGTGAGCTTTCTGACAGAGTGATAGTAGGCGAATCCAATGAAGAAATTCCACTTTCTGGGGTCTCCAACGCGTGTTCCACTGTCGTTTCCGATGCCGATAAGGTAAGAAGGGTGCTTTCATTCGGAGGCGGACGGGCAGGCAACTTCCCTTGAGCTAAGCCTAGCGAGATAGTTTGCTTAAGATTTGCGATGAGTTGCTTATTGAGATCCTGCTGGAGAGCTCTGAATTGTGGAAGAACTGGGAGTCTCCAGCCGGGATAAAGTCGACCATGGGTTTTAGGAGTATGCATACGTCCGTATAGCTGAATGAACGTGTTGCATAGAAAACATGCGTCCTTGCTTGAACTGACCACTCTTGGAAACAGTTGTGGTGCCTGCAGTTCACAGAAGGCGATGACCTGAATCTCAGCATGGATCTTGGACCCTACTAGAGCCTTTTGAGCCCTTTCATGTCTTGCACGAGCATCTTTCTCGTTGAGTTTCAAATTGTGACATAACTGGGACATATCATGTTGTTGCCCCTTGAACCCAAGCCTGGAGGAATATGAGTCCAGGTTAGAGAATTCATTGGGTTTGATTTGACTTTCGAATGCCTTTGGGAGTAGGCTTGCTAATTGGATTTGCATGTTTCGAACGAGAGGGAATTTCTTTGCTGTACGATAGAGTGTCCTGGCAGCTTCGCAATATCTAGAGACCTTTCTGACGATGTTCACAAGACTTGCTCTTGCTGACGGACCCATATCTTTGTTCGAAATCGATTCGACCAACTCGTACAGGCGCGGTATTGTCTGTTGCAAGTGATGTATCCCGTCCACAAGATCACCCAGCTCTGCCATATTTTGGTGTCTCAACCATCGATCAACTAGTCGTATGACCTTGTCTGCCTCTGAGATGAACAGCGATGACGTTGCTGATAGGCCTTTACTATGAAGCTTCTCGGAACCAATCCGACGGACACCAAATTTCGCCTCTTTCAGTAAATCTTGAATGGACGTCTTGTTTGCGTTTCGCTTGACTCGCAGTCGGTGTAGTATCCGCGGTGAGCATATCGAGATGATCGACACAAAAACTTCTTTTTGGATCTCAGACTTGTCTGGAAATGCATTTTGTGATTTTAATAAAGTTAATCACTAAATCCAGAACCGTGATAACTGACCAAAATTTGAATGATGAAGGATGTGAAATAATCCGTCAAACTTCATCTTCAGGTCTTGCAGGATGACATTCCCATCAGCCCATGTGGTTTTGTTAATGGCTAGAATTACATATAGAATCGTTCCCGATGAGTTCTGTTGAACGCAAACAGCAGGTATATGATCCCAGCCATCCTTGGTTTTTGCCAGGAATGCAAGAACTTCGGTTAGCTGACGCTCTTTAGAGAAAGGCAGGACATAATCTTTCTGGTCTTTTGAGAACTGGTCAGCTGTATTTCGACTGGCTGAAGCAGGAACCTCGTAAAAGAAGGAGCTGAGAGCTATGGCCTCAGCACACGCTGTTGCAGGACCTTGGATTGTCTTAGGCATACGAACGAAGAGTAGGGAACAGCTCCTTAGTCCAGAAGGAACGCTCTGATGCACTGAATGTCGAACTTTGTCTTATAAGCTGGTTGAGGGGCTCAGCAAATGGTCAGTACTACCTAAGTATCCTAGAGCGCACACGAAGCACCCCACGTGCCCCCCTCATAAAAGCGGCGGCGCTTATATCTGGCAAGCGGACAGATCTCGCAGCAAACACACTTGCAATTATTTGTAGTTAGATGCGAGAAGAGATACTCTATACATATACTTCTGTAAATCCATAATGAGTATTCATTTCCCATTCGACTACGGAGTACATTGTACTCCGCTTGAGGTTGTCTTTCTCTTCATAGACCCACTTCACTTTGTTGCCTGAGACACAAGTGCCAAGCCGACGGGCCTTTCTCGTAGGGCATTTCCTAGAGTCAAACCATCCATCTCACCCATTTTATGATCACCGTCGATCCCCCGGGGGCCATCTGGTAACTAGGACATCTACCAGAATCCATAATAATGTTGGTGGGTCATCAGTTGCTACGAATCCCCTCTACCTACCTAATCATGAAACTGCCAGCTCAGCGCGTGGCTGGAACAAGCCGCCTGCATGCGTTGGCTTCACCGACCCAGCGATGACCGTACTTTGCCAAGGCAGAGAAACAATTTGGGAACTTGGCTTGCGTGATGATATTGTACGTGGGAAATCCTGTGACCGGGTTTGCGAAGAGAATGCCTGATAGATGCCAATTTCTATGTGGTGGTCGGGGAGTATGAGAATCCACAGTAGGAGTGGCTGACAGAACAGCAATGCGTCGGTGCTTCGACTCCTCGTCTGGATTCTTAACAAGCTCGGTGGAATGCCGTATTCACTATCCATTATCTAACTCCATCGTCGAGGCTGTTCATCCGACAGGCGGGAAACACCCGAAGCGTCCCTCGGCCTGATTCCCGAGGCAGCGAGGACTATTATTGGCAGGCGCCGTGAGGGGTCGAGCCAGACAAACCAGACAAACAGCGTCACTGGACCCCGCCTGTATCCCTTCCTCAGGCCCCCAGGCACCCAGGCACCCAGGCAACCTGTCTTCTCCTCTTCTCCTCTTCTCCTCATTCTCTCCTGCAGCATCTCCGGTTAGTACGACAGCGCACAGATCGAGGTTATCCATCTGTACTTATTGGGATGAGAGCTGGACGTCTCTGGAATGGACATGGTCAAGGATATGTAGGAATAATTCCCAAGATAATAATATGAGGCATATACTCCTCCCAATCCAATGAAGGGGCGCAATCCTCGCAAGTTTGCCTGCCTGAAGGCACGAATGGATACCTAAGGACCATACTTTACAGGTCACATGCAGCAACAGGCATTCCCTCCTTCTCCTCTTTCTGGCTCTCTTTCTCATCCTCTCCTCCTCTCTCCTCTTTCATCCCCTTCTCTGTCTCTCGTGTTTTCTACCGTAGTTCCTAGGTAGTATACTCGAGACTCAATCAACCATCACCATGGACTCCTCAACGACTGAAGCTCCTGCCCCGGCCAATTCGAGGTATAGCACCCACATCGTGGTACGTTTAAGTTTCTCCCCGATCCGCCCACCAGCCCACTCAACCACCCACTCACTCCTCCCCAGTTAACCACCTACCCCGGCCAAAGCGGCATCGATCCCGTCCCGCTGGAATGGGGCGCCCCCGACGCCAAAAGCCGCGGCCCCGTCGTCGTCTCTCGCAGCGGCACCCTGTTGAAGCGACGAAATGCCATGGGCGCCCACGGCGGCAGCTACAGCATCTACAACGCGCTGGCCATCGCCGCGGGGGACCTGGAACCTGATTTCCGCCCGGACTTCCGCAACAGCGAGCCCACGTTCGATTTCCAGCGCCAAGACGCCTGGGGCGATAAGAAGAAGATTGTCTCCATGGATCCCTGGGGCCATGATATCGTGAACCAGTTTCGCGAGGAGCTCGATAAGGGCTGGGACATCCGTCCGACGATGGCGATCACTCGGGCGAATATGAAACTGGCGGAGATTGGCGAAGCCGTGCGTGATGGTCTTTTGGACGTGGATGGGTCGATCGTTGTCGATAAGTCGGGCGAGGTCCGCGTCACCAAGGTGGCTGTTGAGCCGGTGTGGTATCTCCCTGGTGTGGCTGAGCGGTTTGGCGTCGATGAGCCGACGCTGCGTCGTACGCTGTTCGAACACACTGGTGGTAGCTATCCGGAGTTGATCACGAGACCGGATCTAAAAGTCTTCTTGCCGCCGATTGGCGGGCAGACCGTATACATCTTTGGCCCGCCCGAGCGTGTTTCCGACGAGAAAGTCAAGTTGGCGCTGCGCATCCACGACGAGTGTAATGGTAGCGATGTGTTCCAGTCGGATATCTGTACCTGTCGCCCGTATTTGGCGTTTGGTATCCGCGAAGCCATCCGCGAGGCGCAGAACGGGGGCAGTGGTGTGGTGATTTATTTCCGCAAGGAAGGGCGCGCTCTGGGCGAGGTGATCAAGTATCTGGTGTACAATGCTCGCAAGCGCGGGGGAGACACGGCTGATAAGTATTTCACTCGGACGGAGAACATCGCGGGCGTGCGAGATGTAAGTGGTCTTTCTTGCCGGGAGGGACGGTGCTAATGTGTGTAGATGCGCTTCCAAGCCCTCATGCCTGACATCTTGCACTGGCTGGGTATCAAGAAGATCGATCGCATGCTGTCCATGTCGAACATGAAGCACGACGCCATCGTGCAGTCTGGAATCGAGATCAAAGAGCGCATTCCCATCCCCGATGAGATGATCCCCAGCGACTCGCGGGTGGAGATCGACGCGAAGATCAATGCGGGATATTTCACCACGGGCAAGAACTATACGATGGAGGAGCTGGCCGAAGTGCGCGGACGTGGATGGGAGAAGTGGGAGGACGTGACGGTAAGTTTCCCGAAGTTTTTCAGTTCAGGTGGATGCTAATGTCGGTTGTAGCATTAAACTGTGGAAGGCTTGCGATGGACAGATTATCAATGGATGGAATTATGCATTTAGTATGGAGTAGAAGAGACGAGAAATGAGAAATGACGCATGAAAGATCTCCAATTCTACTCATAGACTCATAGACTCGGGACAGCAGCCGAGATCGATAAGATCGTGTCGGGAATTCCTCCCGAGGCGGATACTTTTCCTTCCCCCGCATCGACAGATATAAGTATACTCCCCCTTGGTTTTCCTTTCGATATCCTCTTCCCAATACTACACAAACCCAATTTCCCTCTCATACCCTTCTACTTATCCCAGACACTCATCTCCCAAATAAGTCACTCAAAATGGGCTCCCAAACCACGTTCCCCCACGTCCCCGCCCCAGGCGTCTGGTGCCCCGCAATCACCTACTTCGACCACTCCACCGACACCATCGACTTCGCCTCCCAAAAGAAATACTACTCGTACCTCTCCACCACCGGCCTGACCGGCCTCGTCATCCTCGGCACCAACTCCGAAGCCTTCCTGCTCACGCGCGAGGAACGCCGCGCCTGCATCGCCGCGGCCCGCGAGGCCGTCGGCCCATCATACCCCCTGATGGCGGGCGTCGGCGCCCACTCCACCAAGCAAGTCCTGGAACTGATCGACGACGCGGCCTCGGCAGGCGCAAACTACGCGCTTGTCCTCCCGCCCGCGTACTTCGGCAAGGCGACCACGATGGGTGTCGTGAAACGCTTCTTCAAGGACGTCGCGGCGAAATCGGCCCTTCCTGTCGTCGTGTATAACTTCCCCGGTGTCTGTAACGGCGTGGATCTTGACTCGGAGACCATCACGGATATTGTTCGGCAGAGCGCGAGCGATCGCCCCGATGGAAAGAGTAACGTCGTCGGCGTGAAACTGACCTGTGCGTCTGTGGGCAAGATCACCCGGTTAGCGGCTACGTTCCCGCGGGACGAGTTCGCCGTGTATGGCGGACAATCTGATTTCTTGATCGCCGGGTTGAGTGTTGGCTCTGCGGGCTGTATCGCTGCGTTTGCGAATGTGTTCCCTCGTGTCTCGGCGCAGATTTATCGGTTGTGGGACGCCGGCAAGAAGGATGAGGCGATTGCGTTGCAGCAGAAGGCTGCGTTGGCGGAGTCGCCGTGTAAGAGTGGTATTGCGGCTACCAAGTATGCTACGGCTGTGTTTACGGCGCCGAGGGCTGGGATTGAGGGCGCTGAGGAGAAGTTGAAGCCGAGGACGCCGTATGAGGAGCCTGCTGGGGCGGCGAAGGAGGGGGTGCAGAAGATTATGGGGGGTGTGGCGGTTTTGGAGAAGGACCTTTAGGATTTGGATTGAGGGGGGTTTAGGTTAATTATGTGCTCTTTAGGAATTATGTTTATAGATATGAATACATGGTTTATGCATAGATGTATGACGAGATTTCACTTCCCAGGCCAAGACAACTGGAAGTTCAATATAATACCGACGCAGTATTGTATGCCACTTCGCAGTCAAGATTAAATCAAATCGAACCCCTTGGTTCTTCAGTTGAATGCTCAAGAATGTGGGTAAAACCCGCTATTTTAATCAGTTATACAGATCTAGGCCTACCAGGAGGGGCCTGAAGAGACTATACATACACGTAATAATGCTCCCATGTGCGATGTATCTTTCCTTCTTCGTAGTTTTCTGCCTGTAATGATTAAATTAGTATAGAATAAAGCAAAATAGAGAGTGAGAGAGAGAGAGAGAGGGTTATCCATACAAGAGCGTCAACAGAATAGTCTACCAGTTCATTTTCCTCCTTCAACCATTTACTTTGACGTGGCGTCAGTTGATCACATATAAACGTTCGAGCACGGTCAAACTCAATCTACAGAGCCCTATATGCTTCTTGTTGAACCATCATATTCCGCAGAAATGGATCCCCATGGTAGACTCCGGCCTTATGGATCTCGGCAAGGATCTGGTGCAGCTTATGGATCCTATCCTTTGTAAAATTCGATAGGTCGATCTCCGGTAAATTTGGTATGTATTCGATTAGGACAGCATTAGGAAGGAGTTCATTTTCGACAAAATCCTTCAAATGTGGCAACCATTCTTTTGGGTTGATATTTTTGATCAAGCCAAGAAATCAGGGACGTGTCCGGACTCGCACAGACCGTGGGCTTTCAGTCGGATATAGGCGTTGCTCTCGCATTTGAAGATATCAACTTCACGGTTTGTTGGTTCGGCAGCGGAAACTGATGAACGATGGTACTGAGAATACCTAAATGTTAGGTCTTGAAGATTTGGGGGACTTTCCAGTCGCATACCGCTTTTAAAATGCATTCTTTACCGCGCCAGCGGGTGAGGAAGATAGATGAAAACTCCGATTTGTTGACCTTTCCAACGAACACTATTGTCGATAAATCGATTTCCATGGTATCTAATATTGGTAGATGAGAAGGAGCAGAAATGGAGATGTGAAATGATGCCAGCAGGGACGAAAGGGAGCGGGAGGGGTAGGCAGAATAGAGGTAGTAAGGGGGAAACGTGCATGGATTTAGTATGTAGACGTAGTGGTAAAAGGTATGATCTACGTAGTTGAGGATACTACCGGTAGATTTACCATTAGGAGTTGATTTCGCCGGTTGGTCACTGTAAGGAGAGAGCCCCTCCGTAGAACAAGGCGGCGCGATGACTGCGCTACTGACTTATTTGCTATAGATTTACAACTAAATTGTAGTAAGTAAATAGTAAAGTGGCCCGGGCGCGGCACCTTCGTTCAGCGGGGACGACGGGTTGCACGTGACACGTTGGGCAGTGACGCGTGACCCCGCGACTTAACTCCAAATGCGGCAAGTCCCAGCCGCTCCCCTTTCCAGTTCCTGTCTCTCTCTCAGTCTCTCTATCCAACCCACTCTCCCCTCCATCCCTCCATCTCCCCGTTCCCATTCTCGCTGGCTATTTCTATTTCTTCTTCACCTTCAGAGGTCCCTCCAAAAGCATTATCCTGTAAAGGAAGTATTTGCTCCTTGCCGTTCTCGCCGCCAGCCCTGCCATTCCTGTGTTTTCATAGGACTCTCCGATCTCACTTGTTGACTTCGGATTGGGCACGTGCTCGTGACCAGGCCGCAAGAGCTCTTACCACTTTACTCTTCATTATTCATCTGAAATTTTACTCGAGTCAGGGCTACTCATCGCTTCTGCAAAGCCCGGGTGGGAGGGCTACTCGATTCATCGAGGGTTCTTCTTTTTAATCCCGCAGACCTTGCAACACAATGACCACATCGCAAACCCCGCCCTGGGTCTTGAAAAAGGCAGTTCTTGTTCACTCACCTGATACCGATGTTTCCTGTTTTGCTCGTCTTCGTGTTGCCCATGATATAACTGCCAACCAAGGATCCATCTCTCTCATCATTACGGCAGCTCTCGCTAACCTGAGCAGCAGATCACAGGTGTTGACGTTGAATCTCCCTCCAGCAAGAGTCGAAACATGTGCACTCGCCCGGATAAGCAATGACAGCCTCTGTTCGTCTAGTTTAGTCTCTATGCTCCAAGCGCCTGTCACCAATGTTTCGGCCGTCTCAACATTGAGTCTGAGACTCAATACGACCGGCATTGTTCTTTGTCCATCTGACGTGAAGACTCTGTCCCCAGCTAATCATGGCGACTCGAACTTTCACGCATTCGCAAAAATTTGTCAATCCAAATTTCTACGTCTACACTTTTCCAGACGACAATTTGTAAATAAAGAACTTGATCGGCTGGAAAGCTTCTCCTGTGCTCTGCGAGAAAGATATCTTCAGATAGAGTCTTTTGACCACGCTCGCCAGGGCGTGGTCCAGAGAGATTGGCGTGCCTTTAATCTGTCGCTCGATCCACCCCCATATTGTGAGGAGCCCGTGTCCGAGCAGGTGAAGCAGGTGGATCCACCCTTATATTGTGAGGAGTCCGGGTCCGAGCAGGTGGTTGGAAAACGGCACAGAGGTATCTTATCTTCCTGTCGTCTTATGTACTTTGTCATTCAATATCTCATCAATACTATCTATCTAGACCCATGGTCAATACCACCTGACGATGAAAAACGAAAAAGACTACTCCTTTCATCCCCTCAACCGATAGATTCTCCCACCGAAGTAAATACGCCGAGTACTCTTTCCCCGTCACCGGCCTCAATTCGCCCAACTCACTTTACGCGTGCTTCCTCCCCTGGCTGCAGAGAGCGCACTAGGCTTATACGTCTTGAATATGAGCTCCGTGATATTTCCGATGACCTGCTTCGCGAACTGTTAATTCGATCAGGACGCCAACATCTGCTGGCTATACCAAAAAAAGTGGACAGTGACTTGCCATCTGAGGTTGAAATGATTGAGCGCCGCCTCAAACGATATGTTGATGAGACGATTGAGCGCCGCCTGAAATCACATGTTGTCGACGAGATTGTCGGTAGTGCCGTGAGCGAGTGTCGTGATCAGGTCTTCGATGATTGCAAAATGCACGAAGCCGAATTTCGTGAACAGGTTGACGATGCTAACTGCGAGGTACGCATCACGGCCAATGAATGTATGAATGACATGGAAGAACAGGCGCAAAAGTACATGGGTGAAATAGACGAACAAGCACAACAGTACATGAATGATATCAAGGATCAGGGAATCGAGGTCAAAAGATCTGCGAAAGAAAGAGTCGCAACGCTCAAGCGCTGGTTCGATGCTTCTGCCCAGTCCTTATTAAGCCCTAGCCCTGTGCTGGGTACTAATGCCAGACGCAGTTCCGTTTGAATTCGGTACTAGGCTTAAGAAGGCCTTGCAGTGGTTGTGGAACGATCGGACATGCTATTCGGGGCTGTCCTAGTAAATAGGAGTAATTTCATATATTCAATTAATCGGTTCTAAAAAGATTCCATCCATACATCATCGTGAATCCCATCCCAAGAAATCATCTAGAAACCCATCACAGCTTCTCCATCCCCTATCCAATATAGATCGGCATCTTACTATTACACCATTCCGCTGGAATCAATTTATATGGTCTTCCACCGGCACGCGCCGGACTCTGGAAGATATGCGAGCGATTGAATATCAACGCTCGGAAGTTCAAGATATACCAGGCTGCTTTCACGCTCTCTTCGAAATCCTGGATCTTCGATGCCAAAGAGGAGGTTTCGATCTGGTGAATGCGGCTGGGGCTGATGACGCGGCGGACGACTTCCCTTGCAATTGTGGGAGTGTTGTCGAGTTGGAGGTTTATCACTTTTAGGGTTTAGTTTTGCATAACTATTAAGGGGCTTGAGTGAAAGGGCGCTGGGTCAGGTACTTTGGCAATAAATAGGCCCCTCCGGCCATCCCATCTTCTCGAGACCATACATCTCCACGGGCTTGCCCTGGGCGATATGGTCGGCCGCCAGACCCCAAATCTCAATGGCTTGGAGCATATGCACGCGCACAAGTTCCCGGATTGGCTGACGGTCCGGAGAAGGGCGGTAGTTCGATTCAACCTGATCTAGGGTGTCGTCGATATCCTGCAGGAATGTCTTGGTCCAGGCTTCTAGTCGCGTAGTGCATTCGTTATGGACTCGAGACATCGTCGCGGCGAGGGTGACGGGGTCGGCCTTTTCGACTATTATGGCTGGCTCGAAGGCGCCGTGGATTTCTTTGGGGATCGCTCGCCATCGATCCCAGATCCATTGGGCGTTGGTTCGTAGGTCGGGGGATGTGGCGCTGGCGCTGGTGCTGGCTATTATCTCCTTCACGCGTTCGCGGAATACTACATAGGCTTCCATCACGTATAGGACGCCGTAGACTGCTTTACGATGGGGCAGTCGGACGCGGATCAGGCGGCAGTTAGACAGGAGAAGACACGGCGAGATCAAGGACATGAGCTGGTCGAAGCCGGTTTTGTGGGGGTCGGATGTCTTGAAACTATTGTTCATTATTTGCCGCGCTTTTGGGTCCAGCGAGGCTATGTAATCCAGACAATCTGAGTCTGTGGTCGCTAGGACGTCATTCAGCCCAAGTCGCTGATCGCCGGGGATGATGCCGAAGGCGAGTTTATCGGCAGCTGTGGTGGGAATGGGCATGAATGCGTTTGTATAGGCAGATTGGTTCCCGCGATCTCGTTCGTCGTGGAAAAATGTGATCAATGTGCCTAGGCCTCGGATGTCACTGGAGCTGATGATGTTGCCGTTGTCGTCTTGCGCTTGAAGAATCCCTTGTAGAGGGTCAACGGCCGTCCAGTCTAGGCCGATCCGATGGCCGATAGCGAGTAGATCGCCTAGAGAGATGCTGGCGAAGGGGCGTAGGGCTTCGGGCCTGTTGCTTTTAATTGAGGATATACATGAGGCTGGCGCCAACTTACGGCATAAAGTCCCATGCAAATTCAGTCACTTCGGCCGCTGGAAGTGTCATCCATTCTGATTGGGAATCATTCTTGAGTGCAGTGAACCATGCGTTCAGATTCGAGGAGCTCAGGTCCCATATCCTCGCCTCGACATCCGCTGTACCCCCCTTCTCGTTTCCTAGACCGAGTTTCTGCGATGTTAGACTCCCATAAATAGCACCTTGGTATACCCTTAACTGCTCCAGAAGCCCCAGCCACGATGCCCTCAGGCTAGGAGGAGAGCTGTCATGTCTCCGATCGAGCAGAAATTTCCATTTATGGGATTTTCGATATTCGAGATATCGTTGCTGGTTTGGCAGCTCATCGCTACCAACGAAATACTTCTCCTCGGGCAGTGCGGTCGGTGCTTCCAACGAGAGATGCGGACTCTGATAGACAGTTTGAAAGCGCACTTCTCGCGGGATGAAGCGTTTTCTGGTCCCTTGGGCCCAGGCGCCCATAACGGGAGCTTGGCATCGCCGGTAGCCTTCTGCTGTGGAGATGTACTGTTGGGTAATTTGCCCGATGGCAATCAATAGGGCGACTGATGATATCGAAAGAGCAGCGGCTGCGATGATGGTAGCTGCGAGGTCTGTGGCGCTCGAGTCAGACATCGCTGATTAGATTCATGGTATATCTCGACATCTTTGATTTGGGTTTTTCCAGGTGGAGCCTATCATTTTTAAAGTAAGTGGCAGCCTTGCTGTCAGATTGAACTTATGTTTGACGGCGATGCTGATTGGCATCTTCGTAAAACGTGTGCTGAGCGTGGCTGTTTAATACGGGAGGCAGTGCTCTTGTTGCTTTTTATGATGACGTCCGTGGCACCGTTGATGTCTGCAGAGGATTGGATGTGGAAGTTGGCGAGCGATGATCTTCGACTAACATGAATCTACTAGGATGCATCACAGGTCCGAAATCGGTCGTAAATTAAGCACAGACGAGTCATTGAATCTTCATTGAATCTCATTTAAATTTCCTCTTATCTTTCATTTTTCGAGTGCATCGGCCCGAGTCATCATCCTGGGAGCCGGTCTGAAATCACTATGCAAAGTACCAATATCCAAACAATATCAATATCAAACGATCTAAAAAATGTCAACATAAGGCTATCAATCCCCTTTATCAGGAGATCCTCGGTGTTGCCATCGGCACTCGCAGTGGATTCAGGTGGATCATCCAATCCCAATCGCGATCCACTCATTAAAGCCAATTAGCGTGATAAGGCATGTTTCAAGCAAGTCCCACGACTCCTTAATATCGATCAGATTGCTCCCTTGATTGCCTTGCTATTCGCCGTTTCACTCTGTTTCACACAGATGGAGCTGCATCGAGATTAAGCCGCGTCTAACTTGGAATTTAAGAAACTGGGTGTTTGCTGTTAAACTCTGAGCTTGTTTTTATCAATCATCTTTCGTTCCTTTTTTTCGGGTGTCAATCCAGTCGCTCTTTTTCATTCTTCATTCTTTAGGTTCAATACCGTACATTCTTTTTTCTCGACCTTTCTGTGAAAATGGTTTATCTTCGCGATGCTGTTGCCCTGGCGGCGCTTTCTCTCGCGACTTCGGTCTTCGGTCTCCCGACTGAGTTGACTTCTCGGGCGGACTCGGTCAACCTGTGCGGCGTACAGGATTATAAGATCCTCATGGGAACTCCGTGGATCGTGTATAACATGCTCTACAACAAGGACCAGATGGTCGGTACCCAGTGCACCGGGTATGACAGCACCAGCAAGTCGAGCAGTGGCACTCAGCAGGTGCACTGGAACAGCAAGACGGATATCGACTACGTGAAGGCCACGTGAGTTTGACGACATCGCTGCAATCAAATTACGCGACTGTGTATTGACTCGCGCAGGGACAACGTCCCCAAGGGATACTCGTTTGTCGGCCTCACTCAGAACCTCGAGACCAAGCTTTCTGCGATCAACTCGATCCCTACGTCGTACAGCTGGACCAAGACCAACACTACTGCGTACAAGGGTATGGGCCTTTATTTGCACAATCAAAAAATAATTCCATCTGACGGAAATAGGAAATGTCTGCTTCGATTTCATGACCAACGACAAGAAGGGCGACTCGACCTCCTCTTCCTCGCGCGAGCTCATGCTCTGGCTCCAGTACGAGGGCGGCCAGCTCCCCATCGGCTGGGCTAACGGAGCCGTTGCCACCATCGACGACCTTTTCGGTACCTCCTGGAAGCTGTATGAGGATGTCAACGAGGATACTGGTATCACCGTTAGCACTTTGATGCCCGAGAAGCAGTTCGAGGGCGAGTTCACCGGTGATCTTAAGGACTGGCTGCTTGCCCTGTCGAAGCTGAACCGATTCACCACCTCCACCTATGTCAATGTTGGAAATGCTGGGTAAGTTTTCGTCTCTCCATATGGGGCTGTGCTACCTGCTAACTATTTCTTAGAACGGAGTTCTTCTACGGTAACTCGGTCATGAAGTCCACCCTTTCTTTGCAGATTGATCTTTAGGTGGGCCATTGGGTCGACAGGGGACTCTTCGGACTGCGATGAGGCATTTAATACATTGCATGATGGTTGTGTCGGTGTGCTAGCTGTAGCACTGCTGCATGGAATCGTCATTGAATAGGCGGAGAACCGATGATGTCACCCGTCCGATTCTTCTGAACACTTCATAGCACTAATTCCATTCTATCCTATGTTAGTTGAGCTTCATGCCCCTCTCGGCAGGTCTGTAGAAAGTAAATTCTCCGAAACCCCTCTGGAGTAGCCGATGATGGGGAGGTCGAGGGGTAAGGTTTTGTGGATACCCCGACAATACCCCGAGCTCTGCTCCGAGCTTCGGTGCCAAGCGAGCACATCCCCCACACGATGCATTTCACATGTTGCAGTGTCAGGATATCGTTGGGTCGAGAAATTCGACATTCTCGTTCAGTTGGCTTTGGATGGCTTTGGATGGCTTTGGATGGCTTCCGGGGACATGAATCAGGAAGCCGTCCGTGTTTCCGATATGGCTTCACATCAAAATAGAATCATGTCGCAAGATCGTGATGGTGCGAATGAGCTTCATCGTGACATAGTGCGCATTTCCAACCCCGCCCTAAGACGAACGAGCAAAATATTCTTTTTGTCTTAATAGTTCATCGGGCTCATTTCCCCATTTGGTTCTCGGCTTGCTCCATTCCTGTTGCCAATAACGTAGCAGGTTTTCGGCCTGATCAAGCCACTCGTAAAAGATTTCCCGGATATGAGGGGATAGCATATAAATAGCACCTCCCCGGAGGTGCTGCACTGAGATGAGTTGAGCATCCATGATCAGATCTGCAAGATGTTTCTCAAGTCGTTGGTTTTATCTTCCCTGCTGGGAATTGTGCGGGCAGCCGATTACTCTGGAAGTCTTCGGCCTCAGGTCCATTTCTCTCCTCCCACCAATTTCATGAACGATCCGAATGGTCTTTTCTTTGACAGTCAAAAGGGGATATATCACCTGTACTATCAGTGTGAGTTGAGTTTTCCTACCGGCTACAAGGTTCATTTCTGACAGAAGCAGACAACCCTTTTGAGACGGTGGCGGGAAATCAACATTGGGGCCATGCGACCAGCCAGGATTTGTACCATTGGACAAACCAACCCATCGCGATATCCCCTAGCCACCCGGACGAGGGTATCTTCTCCGGGTCAGCAGTGGTAGACAGCGAGAACACGTCCGGTTTCTTTCCGAACCAAACGGATGGCGTGGTGGCCATCTATACCGTGGATACACCGGATCTCGAGACGCAACACATTGCGTATTCCAGGGATGGCGGGTACACGTTCACCAAATATCAGAAAAATCCGGTCATCAACAGCACGTCCAAAGATTTTCGCGATCCCCAGGTGACTTGGCACTCCGAAACCCAGCAATGGGTCATGACCATCGCGTACGCCAAGGACCTGGTCATCGGCTTTTACACGTCGCCCAATCTCCGGGACTGGACTCATGCCTCGAATTTCACGCAGCCCGGCCTGCCAGGATCGCAGTTTGAATGTCCGAACCTGGTCAAATTTTCCGTGGACCAGACGTCCGGCGAAGATAGCAAACACGTGCTGTTCATCTCGGTCAATCCCGGAGCCCCGCTTGGCGGTTCGGGCACTTACTATCTGGTCGGGGATTTCAACGGAACGCACTTCACGTCCGAAGATGAGCACGAAACTTTGTATGATTTCGCCAAAGACAATTATGCCGCGCAGTGGTACTCGGGTCTTTCAGAAAAATCTCCCGTCTCGATCGTCTGGGCCAGCAACTGGGACTACACTGAAGAGGTCCCCACTGGCCCGCTTGAGAGATGGAGAAGCTCCACTGGATTGCCACGAGTGCATGCTCTTATCAATCTCGACGGAAAGTGGACCGTTACTCAGGCTCCTTTTGAAGATCTCTCGCCAGTGAGAGGGCAGCGACTCGCTGAAGATAATTTCGGGAATGACGAGGCAAGCGTGAATTTTACCGATGTGTCGTCCAACGCGATTTCATTCAACGTGAGCATCGACGGTATTGTGGCGACCGACCCGGCTGGAAAGGTAAACTTCAACTTCACCTCGTCCGCGTCGGGCGAGTATCTCGACGGAGGGGTGGTTCTCGACACCGGTCGCTTCTGGATCAATCGAGCGGGAACTCATGGGTTCACCAGCGCAGACAATGGGAACTTCACGCCCCTTTTTAACACCACCGTCTCGTCCTTGGAGGGCGGGTCGTTCAGCTTTGGCGGTGTGATTGATCGGTCGGTCTTCGAGGTCTTTCTCGAGGACGGGGTCCAGGGAGGAACCATGGCGTTCTTCCCTACCGCCCCTCTGGATACTTTGACGGTTTCTGCGGAGGGACTGGGTGAGGACACTAGCGTTAGCCTGGATGTCTGGAGTCTTAATAGTGGTTGGGAGAAATGATCCGCGCGTTCATTGCCCGCTCCACCTCTGCAGGTTGCGTGGGAAAATGGAGTCGATGACGTGGAGAGGAGATTAGATGCACACCGAACGGAGTTAGTCTGCGTTTTCAGCGAAATGCTTTCAATGAAGCCGTCACCAAGTAAGGCAGTGGTGAAAAGGACACTGTTTGAAGTTCAAGGCCACGCACCGCCATGGTTGTCGCACCGTCACCCACAGTTGCACTGTATATATTTGAATATGCAGCGGTCAAACAGGCGGCGAATCAGTCATATACGGAGTTATGAATCAATGAGTCAAATGGCAGTAGTTGAGAAGATCAATGATAATTCTAAGTAATATCCGTAATGCAGTTCCATCTGAATTGTGCAGAGAAGCACCGTAGAGCACCTCGAGTACACTGTTTACTGGCAAGTTTGCCCTGTTTGTCTGTCGCAACCCGTGATGTCACGGGATCTGCCTGCGGTCTCCATTTCGATTGGTTCCTCTAAGCGGAGGGTATCTTACCCGGGATGACCATACCAGACGTCAATCCCTGCCTAGATTACACCCAAATCCATCCAAATCCGCCCCATCCTGCGTTACCACCATGACCATACCAGACAGCTCCAGGCCAGTCGGCTTGCCGGAAATCGAGACCCGCGATCATACGACGTTCTGCCGCCGAGAGATGCCCGAGGCTCCCCTTCCATTCTGCCTCTGGAACGACGCCCGTTGCAGCCATCGACGGCCTGCCATGCATCTTTCCTCCCCCAAACTCCAATCATCCCACCCCTCTCCCTCCTTCATCCACAGTTGCACTTACACAGTTGCACACGTCCCCTGCAGTCTGTTCTGTTGTGACCCTTACCACTCCTCTTCATTCCTCAATATTCCCAGGCGGAAGGTGCGGAATTAACTGTGGATTCGTCCCGTTCCATGTGAGCAGACTGAACCACGGCGCTCGTTTGACCCAACCGCCCAACAAGTTCTGATAAGATCTTAGCAATCAGGTAATCTTTCCCTCCGCTGTTGCCCCTTGCAGCCTTTGAAGACCATGACTGGAGTTATCCCTGACAATTCTCCCAGCTCTCTTCCCACGCCAGTCAACCATTCATCTTTTTTTCGTTCTTTTGCCATCTGGGAATTTGCCACGCGAAAAATAGAGCAGCAATTCTCTTTCCTAAGGAGACGGGTAGACGCCTAAACCTTACTCCACAGTTCAACTTTTAGCCTCCTTAGCGCACTCGGTTCTGGCTGATCATCAATCACCTTACAACCAAGCCCACCTAGCCCGGTCTGCAACTTTCTTCCTTTCTCATCTCGCCAGGTACGCTGAGACGTGACTTCATCTGCATCATCAATCCAGAGGGGTCCTGTATGCTTTGGTTACCATCATCGTTGACCTTCTGTCCCGTATAGAACGGCAAAATTTCTCAAATCCCGCCAACCACCACCCTCGTGCGATAAATCGCTACGACATCATCTCGCCCTCCCTTCTCCTAGCCAGTGTGCCTTGATGGTCCATACCCAGGCCGCTGGACAACATGGCTATGCCCAACATGGGTAGTGATTTCCAGCTCTTCTCCCCCGACCGACGAGAGTCTCGCTCTGAATCTATGTCCTTCCCTAAATCCGGCTCGGACGACTCGAGTCAGGATTGGACGCAGTGGATGCGATGGGACGATAATGCCTTCACCGAATCTACCAAGGAGCTGTCCCAGTCGCCTCTTGATTTCCCCTTCACCTCGCCCAATAAATCGGTTGGACAGCAAAGCGTCGACATGTTTCCCAAGAGCGACTTCTCACCCGACGTGTCGCTGGACTGCGGCAACTTTCCCTTTGATTCTTTCATGGGCCAGGATTCCGGCGAGAGACTCCCACCTCAGACTTGTTCGCTCGGTGGGGCTGATTTTCTGTCTGCAAACTCGACGACATCCAATTCCCCTATGTCGCTCGAGGGCGCCATCAACCGCAAGCGCAAGTCAGGTAGCGATGACGACGGTTCAACGGTTAGCGGCGCTGTTCTTCCGAATGGCAAGAAAATGCCCGCTAAGAAACGAGCACACAACGTCATCGAGAAGAGGTATCGCGCCAACTTGAACGAGAAGATCGCTGAACTCCGCGACAGCGTTCCGAGCCTGAGGGGCTCGAAGAACGCGAACGGTAACCTAGTGGAGGACGACGATGCAGAGGGCGCGACCCCCGCCAGCAAATTGAACAAGGCATCCATCCTGTCTAAAGCGACGGAGTATATCCGACACCTCGAGATTCGAAACAAGCGCCTGGAGGACGAGAACACCGCATTGAAGAACCGCCTGCGCCAGGCTGACAAGGCGGTCGATCAGACCCTGACCTCGGCAGCATCCGTTTCATCGCCGAGCAACTATACTGTATCGGGCGAGTCCGGCGCCAGTTCGTCTCCCAGTGTGTTTTCTCATAGGGAAGACTCCCCCGCCAGCGATCACTCTCCGAGCTCCAGCTATCCTCCCGAAGGTCTTATGAAGGTTCCCGATGCCTTCAAGCGCATGCGTGCCGCACCGCCAAAAGACGATGCGTGGTCGCAGTCATACATTCAGTCCCCTAGCAGCAACAGCGGCAATTCGGCGTCTGCTGGAGGACGCAAACGGTCTCATTACCCCAACAAGTACATGCTCGGAGCTCTTGCCGGCCTGATGATTGTGGAGGGCCTAAACAGTGAGAAGGATACAGAGTCTTCAGCCAAAGGCCTTCTGGCCGTCCCCATCAATCTTCTCAGGCATCTTCAGTTGCCCTCCAATGCCCCTTGGGCAGACCCCCTTCGGAGCTTTTGGTACTCTTGGCATGCTCGGGCCGTCTCCCATTTCCTTGTTCTTGCCACGCTGGTCGTCGGAAGTGCATTCGTGGTCTTCGTTTATCTCTTCAACTCGGGCCAAAGTCGGCAGAATCTCACACCTAAGACGGCCCCCAAATCCGACGCCACCATGTCTTCGAGCGATTACCGACGCCAGGCCTGGCTCACAAGCATTCAGCAAGTCGGCGTGCCGCGCCACACGTTCTTCCATGAGTGGTACGTGGTCACGTCGCGATGCTTTGAGTATGTGCTTCGTTGCTTCATGGGATGGCAATTGTACTCCTGGGCAACGGGCGTTACTGAGGACGATGAGAGAGGCCGAGTGAAAACCTGGGACATTGCCATTGACGCTCAACTTGCGGGTGGTGATGCCGAAATCAGCAAGAGTCGCCTCGTCCTCACAATCTTTGCCGCAGGCACCCTGCCCAGAAGCCCCATGAGGATGATGCTGAAGGCCCTGCATTGCCGTATTTTGATGTGGCGTGTTGGAGTACCTGGCTCGTGGACTTTCAATACATCCAACGAGGTCGCTCGTAGCCTGGCTCGGTATCAGTGGGAACTCGCGCGAAAAATGAATGCCTCGTTGCCGAAGGATGATCCAGATGCGCTTCCTAGCCACCTCGCGGCTTTACTGAAGCTTGATTGCGAGGTCGTCATGACCGACAGCGTCGTTCAAAGAGCCGCGAATCTCACTTGGAGTCGCCCCACGCAGGAAGGTACCGACGACGACGAGGCCCTCCTGGACGTGGTGGAAGAAGACCCCGCCATTCAGTCCTCCTTGGACGCCCTGGCTGCGTGGTGGTCGAGCCACCTCCTGCAACGTGCACTGCTCAATTATTTCGAGGCGAGCTCTGGCGGACCTGACGCGAAGAAGAGTCGTACTATCTTCAAAGCAAAGATCAAACTCGCTCTGGACGTGGCCCCTCAGCCTTCTGCTGCTCATACCCGCGCTCTTGTGATGAAGGCTGTGTTCTTCGAGCAGGATCGCGTTGATAATATCGGATCGGTCCTTTCTGCGCTCCCGAAAGAGAAGGGCAAGAATAAGTCCAACCAAACCTTCAAGTTCCTCGATTCTTCGCTTCCTGTATCTGTTCGTGAGGAAATCACGATCGCCGTTCGCTGTGCCATGATCGCCGCCGTTTTCACAGCGCGTGCTACAGGCGACACCTCACTTCCCGCCTCGTTCACAGTTGAAAAGGCCACGAACTGGTTTAACAAATTGCCCCTGGATCCGGTGGAGCTGACCTTGGTGGGCTTTGCCGCGGTCTATCACCTCCTCCATGTTCTTGCCTCCGACACCGATTATCTATTTTCCTCGGATTCATCCTCCCCGTCGTCTCCTGTATCCAAGGCGCTGTCTTCTTCCGATGAGGCGGACGACGAAGAGCCGGTCAAGCAAATCCCAACGCAATCCATTCCAAACCTGGGCCGTGTGGCATCCGAACTGATGTACTGGGCTCGCAACGCCTACAATCCCGCCTTCTACGGTTTCACCGCCAACCTTGTCAAGGTCATTGAATCCGAGTGCACTTCGCTATGCCACAGTGCAGGCGTTGACGTCGCCGATTATTCTTGTATACAGGAAGAGAGGAGCAAGGCGAGAAAGCAAATGAAGAAGAAGAGATCGTCAAAACGATCGAGGGATCTTAAGGCAGATCTTCCAAAGATGAAGAACTTACCGGCTGCCTTGGGAAATGATGAAATTGCGCACGAAAGTCTTGACGCGCGCCCCACTGTGCCTGACAAGACTGAGACATAATCACCAGAAAAGGCCAAAAAACAGGGCAAATACCCATTTTTCTGTTTTACTACGAATTGTTATTAGTATCTACTTAGCTACATTTTACTATACATCATGTGGGATAAACTGTGCTTGTTTGGAAAAGCCAGGTTTCGGTGGACAATGGGAACATGGGATTGGCGATTGACTATTTCCGCGGAATATGGCGTTACGGTTAATTTATCGGCCTGTTATGTATCTTCCCTCCAGGTCTCAATATCAAGTCGGATCAGGATCCAACATCTCTCGTCTGGTGGATCGCCTGTCTATAGACTAATAATGTGATGTCAAGATGCACAGTTGACAATTCCCTGTCACTTTTTGTTATGTGTCTGGTTCACTTGCTCCACTTGATGATTTTTTTTTCTTTACTGACCTCACGACTCATGATTGACCCTGACTAGAATCTCTTACGGAAGGCCTGTCCTGTTTATTTGTTCCATCGTGCTCCACGCAGTGGGACGGCTCCGAATCTCGACCTAGCGCTGCATGCAGTTAAAATGCCAGGCCTCAAGTTCTAGGCCCTTGTTCTAGCCCTCGTTTCTAAAAGGCGTGGACACAAAGCCGCAACTGACGGCTTTTCCCACGCGAGTTTCGGTGCCATGGTTACGAAAAGAGATCAGATTAACCCCTTTTGAGGGAAGAGTTGCCGGTTTCTACAGGAGGATGAACCCGGCCGGATACGGTCGTTTACATTGACTTGGTAGAGGTTTGCAACCCACTTTTAAATTGACGAAGGTTAAACATGCCATCGCAAGGGTAAACCACTAGAGTCGACTCGCTCGCCGGCTAGTCAGGAGTGGCTTACATGTCAAATTTAGAAAAGAAGGTTAAAAAGGAACCAGGTGGAGATGGCCATTGTCCGCGGTGAAGCTTAAATTTGAGTGAGAGGGTTTCCCATCGGCAGCCCGTCGATAGAAGGCACGGTGGTATTGGGATTGATCCCGACCAAGGGCACCTCAGGATCAGGCCGGAACGGCCAGTTCTCGTTTCTCCACCGGCTGAAGCCAGTAACTGCCTTTCGGTCTGCTTCTCCCCGATAAAAACCTTGACCGTCGATCCGGCGCCGTAACGTTACAATGGGCTCTTGGCAGTCTGATATGCCCCTGCATCATCGGTTGGCCCTGGGATGCAACAATATCTTTAACCTTGTTTTGTCTTTCCGATGTTGTATAGACGAGAGGCGCGTCAAGGCGACTTGCGCAATCCATTGTTCATCGAGTTGATGACGTCCGTCTCATGATGGTTTCCTACGAGTTATTCTAGCGACTTACAAAATCACCAGTTCACACTGATCAGATTTACCTGATTTTTCACCCGGTGCAGAGGCTCATGTGGTCCTCCACCTGGACGATCTTCGAGCCGGACACAGGAATGTCGAATCAAGGGGTATATACGGGGTGGGATAAGATTAGCGGGTGTGATGGGTTCGCAACAACTGACTGACTTGAGAGTTATAATTCTTTCGAATTCAACTGCGAGAAGGAAACCAGTTTGATGTTTCTCATGACGCACTAGATCCCACGCGACAACGGTGGATGCTTCGGGTTTGGCGGATGGGGTTTTGCTCCCCTTTTTCCGTTTCCGGCGCTGCTGTTTCATCGCGTTCAGTCCCAGACGACGTTTCAACCACATCCATTCAGGTCTACCGCTCTATGCTCACAGAAGATCGTCAGAACTCGGCCGATCTGCAAGAACGTATACGGATCTTTCTGATTTCCCCCGCCGCGTCGAGATAACACCCACCGGGATCGAGACAAGTCCATGACTACATCCCTCACATTCCAACACATCATTTCCCCACATTCTCCTCCATTGCACGCGCCCGGTTGCCGTGGGGTTCCACTTGTATGGGATAAACATGAGGACAAAAAAAAAAAACTTGGCAAGCAGTCTGCCCCAGTGTTCGCCTGGGGCAAGCTGTTCACAAGCCCGGGACTGTCAACGGAGTGGATGACGCATCCCTAGAATATATAATAAAACTGTATGGGGCACGTCATTACCAAGTGGGCTTTCCTTATATTATTTTTGAATCTTTGACAATTTGTGCCATTTTTTTCTCTTCCCTCTCTTAGATGCGTGTCGACAACCTCTCCGGACTCCTCCCAGTGGCTCGGACAACACGGCCAAGTTGAAGCGGATGTGTGTGGCTTCTAGCCCCTTTTTACGTGCCTACCTTTTCTCCTTCACTTCAGGATCCTACCGAAATTGATCCCAAAGGCTTGATATCATGGGCGTAGAGCTGCTAAAGCCGGGGGCGCACCGGAACCCCAAACACCACCCGCCAATGAACCCGGCATTGGCGACACCGTTATATGTTCTGGGCGGCGTGTTTTTTGTCCTGTTCATAGGCCGTGCCATCATTCGACTACGGCATAGACGACGCCGGCAGGAAGCTCTGGAAAAGAAAGACCAGTCACGATTCGTTCGTTCCTCTCGATTGTCCGCCTTCGTCAAGAAACATATCCTCTATGCGCCACTATTCACCACCCGTCACAGCCGCGAGTTTCGCCTGCTGGATACCTTTCACATGGGCGTCGTCCCGCTAAGATTGGAAACATTGCTATTGCTGGGCTATATCGCACTGAATCTGATCTTCTTCTTCGCCCTGATTGACTGGTGGGCCGAGTACAGCGAGATGATGTACCAGCTGAAGTACGCGGGCGGCCACTTGGCCGTGATGAACTCACCGGCTCTGGTGCTGACAGCCGGGCGAAACAACCCGTTGATTTGGCTGTTGGGACTTCCATTCGACACGTTCAACCTCATGCATCGGTGGATCGGACGGCTCATGGTTGCAGGCGGGATCCTGCATGTGATCTGTGTGGTGGTCGGCCAGGCTCAAAAGGGTGAGTGAGATCTTTTCGATGGCTGAGTTTATGACAATACTAAGTGAAGCAGAAAGCATGAGCAAAATTACCTACCTCATCTGGCACACACCATTCTTTGTCGCAGGGTTGGTTGTGAGTATTCCCGCTGTTGGTGCGCGGGCCAGAGCTAACTGACTTTGCTTGCTAGGCGCTTATCGCATTCGTCGCAATCTTCCTCCAGTCCGCTTCGCCCGTCCGTCATGCCTTCTACGAGGCTTTCTTGCACCTACATATTGTGTTGGCAATCATGGCATTTGTGGGTCTGTGGTACCATCTCCAGGGTCTCGCCCAACAATGGGTTATGCTGGCGACCCTGGTCTTATGGGGATTAGATGTGAGTGGTTGAACCAACAAACGCGAACTGTCACTGACTCAGATGCAGAGGGCTGGACGACTGGGTCTTATCCTCTGGCGCAACTTTGGCCGCAAGATGACGAGAGCCACTGTGGAGCTGCTTCCTGGCGACGTAGCCCGCGTGGACGTGACGATGGCGCGGTCGTGGCAATTCAAAGCCGGTCAGTACATGTACCTATACATCCCGTCACTGGGACTGTGGACCTCGCATCCCTTCTCGGTAGCGTGGAAACTGTCCCAGCCGCCGGGTATGTTGCAGAAACGCGGCTCGGGCGATTCCTTGAACGCGTTGCTGGGAGAGCCTCAGCAGGCTGTCATGTCGTTTCTGATCAAGCGACGCGATGGGTTTACGCATAAGCTCGTTGAGAAGGTGAACAAGTCTCCGGACGAGAAGTTCACGGCTCGAGCGCTCGCCGAGGGGCCTTTTGGTATGTTACTGTTACTCACGTCACTTGGTTGAAGCATTGCTAACTGTATAGGTGGACTGCACTCTCTCAACTCGTACGGGACTGTGGTCCTGGTCGCCGGCGGGATCGGGATCACACATCCTATGAGTTACATGCAGGAGTTCGTCAGTGGATTTGCGGCGCGGATGACAGCAGTTCGGAAAGTGACTTTGGTCTGGGTGGTTCGCAGTCTAGGTATGTTCGAACAGAACATGGTCGATCCAATGTGGTTACTGATAAGTCTTAGACCATCTAACATGGATCCAACCATGGATGACCACCCTCCTCAACCACCCGGCTATCCAAGTCCCCAACGAGCAGAAACAACACTCCTACTTTTCCCTGCCGGAATTCTCACTCTCGGTCCAGATCTACGTCACCCTCAAGGAAACTAGCACGGAAGATTTCAAGACAGGCGAGAGCCCCTGGGCCAACACGGTGCCGCCCACCGTACCTATTAGCCTGAACTTCGGCAAGCCAAGCTTTGATCACATCCTGGAGACTGAGAAAGCAACGCAAGTGGGCGCGATGGCGGTGAGTGTCTGCGGCCCGGGAGCCATGGGCGACGATGTACGAAAGACAGTGCGTGAGAAGCAGGGCAGCCAGACGATGGATCTCTACGAGGAGACCTTCTCTTGGTAGGATAGAGCCATTAGAGAGGTAGAGGTAGGAGCAGTAGATGTCGCAGGCGAATGTCACTGATAATGATCTGGAGAGCCCATCTTGACTTATACTTATACTTATACTTATACTTATACTTATTAGCTTTCTATTCCTGATGATAGTTATGAATTTCTAATTTCTTCTTCCTTTCTTCTCTTCCACCTACTACTACTACTACAAAACGCTCTTAACCTGCTGCGTCTTCGCCTGCTCCACCAAATGCGCATTCACCGGCGTCAACGCCTTCCCCGTCTTAAAAAACGCCTCGATATTCTCCATCGCCAACCTCTCAAAGCCCACATGCGTATCCACCGTTCCCCCCGCATTATGACTGACCATAAACACGCGCTGATTACCCGCCAACCGCGGATGCACATACGGTTCATTCGCATGCACATCCAACCCCGCCGCACTAAGCTGTCCCTCCTCCAATACCTCAACCAAAGCATCCTCATCGACCAACGACCCGCGCGCAATATTCACAAACCGTCCGCCCTTCTTGAACGCGGAGAACCGTTCGCGAGTCATCAACGTCTCTCCCGCAAACGGCGTCGCCACGATCACGCAATCCGACGCCCCCAACATCGCATCTAAGTTGTCGAAGAACCGGGCGCCGATGCTTGATTCGATGGAGGGCGTCTTTCGGATGATGTCGTGGTATAGGATGGACATGTTGAATGCTGCGTGGGCCTTTTTGGCGATTGCGTATCCGATGGCGCCCAGGCCGATTATCCCCAGGGTGCGAGCGCGCGGGTTGTAGGATTGCAGAGGGGAGTTTTTGTGGGCGTCGGCGAAGGCGGTTGGGGAGAGGGAGTGGGCGGCGGAATGGGACCAGCGGAGGTTGCGGAATGTCGAGAGGATGAGGATTAGGGCCATGTCGGAGACGGAGTCGGATGAGGCGGAGGCACCGTTGCAGTATGTTATTCCTTTGGAGGGGTTAGTTTTGAAAGAAGAGTAGGGACTGTCGATAAAGGGGTATAAGGGTGGTAGTGATGGGTGAGGGTGGGGATGGAGAAGGAAGAGATGGGAAGTAGGTATAGATAGAGAGGGATGGAGAGAGATGGAGAGCATGACACCTCTCTCCTCTCTCCCTCATCCCAACTAATCCAACACCTCCCTACCACAATGCAACAACCCAACCCAATCCAAAAGCAAACGAAAAGAAAACTCATAAAACTCACCCCTCTTCGCCAACCCCTTCACATCAACCCAATCATACCCAGCCCCCGCACTTGCCATAACCTTCACACTGCCAGGAAGAAGATCAATCAACTCCTGATCCCAATTCCCCATCTCGCCGCCAGTATTCCAGAACGGACGAAACACGGCGTGAAAGTCGCCCCATCGGCGCTCTTGCAGGGCGCGCTTGAACTCTTCTCGAGGTAGCTCGGAGGGGTTGGGCTGGATGATCTCGAAGGTGGAGCTGAAGCGGGCGTACACGTCCGGGTTGTATTTTATGGGGGCGCCGAGGTGGAGGACTTTTTGTTTGGGCATTTTGGTTTTTCTGGTGTTGGTTTTTCTGGTGGATATACTGTGAAGTAGCTATGGGTAGAGAAGGGGGGAGATAAAGTGGAAGAGAGTATTATGAATTCAGTTGAGAAAGGGGTATGTAAATTCTTTAGATATACATCTTCCATCTGTACAGTATACACCTAGGGCTATGATGTAGATCTACATCGATATCAATACCCGCTGTTCAAAACCCGACAACTCCAGCATCATATCCCAAGACGGACTAAATCTCCGTAACCGATACCTCCTCGAAAGCCGCGGTGGGTCAGGAGTCAATAGCCGTCTAGGATCCGCACATTTGTTCGGGGGAAAAGCGCGGAGAAAGTAGCTCTTCTGGGTCTGTTGTGAACTGTACTCCATGCGGTTTCTGTTGTTGCTTCCTCTTCGGTATTGCTGATTTATATTGCATGTGGTCTGGTCGGTCTGGTTTCATCTGGTGGTGTCGGCTACCTATTGAATGTGCGCTCATTTGGTTTAATTTTCCCTGATGGACCGCCACTTCCATGTCGGTATGCTGCTCTGAGGTGCGTGTATACTATCTCAATGCATTGTAGAGTATGTTTTCTAATCCTTACAATGGCCAGCTCAGGCTGTTTGAAATAGAGAAAGACGTCGGCGACTGACATTACCCAAGCCGGCGATAGACCGCGCTATTCCTATTTCGGACTCGTTATTGACTGGCGGGCCAAAGAATGGTTTCCGCTCCGCTGGGGGATTTCGTATGCGTTGAAATAATCATTGGCAGACGTTTGTGTCTGATTCTTGATTGGATAGAGAAATTGAAGTCGGGAGTAGATTATTAAATGCACTGGTTCTGGGTAGGGAGCTTGTAGACAGAATGCTATCGGATTATGAGCGGAACTTGTTGAAGCCACACGGTCAGTAGTATATATGTTCTAGGTCATTGAAGTGCGTTTTTGCTCATGACTTGCTTGTGCTTCAAAGAAATTGGGACATCGGAATACAGGTAGATATGTCCAGGAGGATTGAAATGAAGATAAATTGGAATAAATGGGGTGATCATGGGGATCGTTGCTGACGAAAATGTCTTCCAAAGTGTTGCGCATATTAGAGGGCTTGGCAGTTCGATCGAAAGCATTGAAAATATTTATTAGACTAATTCAATATATTACAAATAGGGTCTTGTTATCTTTCATATGAAGATTTAGGTGGCCTGGCATAGATGATTGTGAATGTATTCGATGCATAAGGTGTAATCTGCCCAGAATTTTGCTGTATGTGATAGCCTCCCCTGCTTCGATATCGTCCTGAACCCTAGCCATATCGATACTCTCGTCCGATAATCCAACCCCAGTCTATCAAATACCTTAGATCTATTCCTTTTTTAAATCATAACACTATCTCCTCCTTCCGCCTTCTAATAACCAACTTCGCTATCGGGTTCGACACCAACGCCGTACCAAACTCCAACGAATTCGCACTCGAACCCTCAGCCAGACAAAAGTCATACTTGAGCAGAAGATGACACAGCATGACCTTCATGACGGAGTCAGCAAAGAACCGACCCGGGCACGCGTAACATCCATGTCCGAACCCGACGTGCTCGTTACTCGTCGCGACGAGTTGGTGTGCATTCTCCTGCCCGGGCTCCTGTCGGAGCTTGTAGAAGCGGTATCCGTCGAATTGGTCGGCGTGTGGGTATACCGAGTTGCTGAGCATGTGGTCGGTGGAGAGAATGAAGGTGGTGTTTCTGGGGATTTCGAATCCGTCTGATAAGCGGACGGTGGCGCCGGCTTTGCGGCGCATTGTAGCTGTTATTGCGAGTTTCGTCAGTTCCGACACAAGAAAGAAGATTGATAGACATGTGCCTCACCTCTGCTAATTGGCTTCAAACGTTGTGTTTCCTTAATCACGCTATCCATGAGCATGAGCTTGCGGAGCGCCGGTCGTCCCCATTCCTCCTCGGTTTTCACGGCGATGATCTCCCTCCTTACCTCTTGAACTAGATCCGGATATTTTGTCAAGTTCAACATAACCTGCGTCATCAGATCCGTCATCGTATGCGTCGACCCCATCGACAATGCCAGCTGCACTAATGCCGGATCATAATCCTGTCCCTCGGCCACCTCCTCCATCCATTGGATCGTGTCGAAATACTCATCAGGTGGTTTCCCCTGCGCCTGAAGTGCTGCCTGCTTCTCTCGACGTTGCTGCACCGCCGGGGTGATGAACTGTCTTGCCTCTCGGACGTCGCCGCGCAGGATGCGACAGGAGGGCAGGAACCAGTGGACGAGAGGTCGGATGGCCTTGGGCCAGCTATGGAGCTTGTCGGCGGCGATGAACGCGTTCACGGCATTTCGTTTAACGAGTTCTGTCCAGGCGGGGCTCTGGCAGAGGTCTTCTCCGAGGAAGATCCGGCTGCCCATGCAGGTGTTGAGTTCGAGGATGGTGTCTTTGAGCGAGATTTCGTGCCAGTCTGTGGGTCGGGGTTAGCAGGCCTGTATCTATGGTCCGTGGGGAGACGATGGGAGCGAGCGGTTTCGTTGCAGACCTTTGTTGTCGGTCCAGAGCCGTTGGAGGAGAGTGTCGGCATGCGAGGAGAGGATTCCTGTGCATTTTCCTATATCATGTAACTTCTATTTTAGCACTGAGATCATATACTTGGAGTATATAATTACCCCGATCCCTGAGAACCGAGATCACTCACCAATCGCCGGCGTGAGCTTGCCATACAGGAACGATTCCAGGCTCTTCTTAGGCGGCAGCCACTCAGTAGCAAAGGCCTCAAAGCCAGGTATTTCTCGATGGAATTTCTATCCCGATGCGCGTTAATCGACACCCCAGCAGATAAATTGGCTATGTCGCAACGGAATAAGACCACTCCTACCTCCGCAGAATATTCATGCGCATCAAGCCTCCTGTCATTTCGAACCTCACCGATGTAATCGGGAGACAAGACTAAATCCGTCCCCATGTCTGTTACTGCGTAGAAGGCTTTGGGTGACTTTTTGCACTGCTAATCAGATCGCGTCCACTTATCCCAAATGGTCAATAGATGGATAGATAGCGAGGACATACCTTCGCAAATCCCGCCTTGATGATATTCGGCCCGTCCGCGACAAATCGCATCCGTGCTTTGAAGGAGGAGATTTCCCATTTTCTCTTGCCGTTTATCAGAGGTAGGGTCGACGCGTTTCGTGTTCTGCAGGTAACTGCTAGCAAGAGCGTGCTGAGCAGGAGCACGAACACGCCGGAGAAATCAACCCGCATGGGAATGATTTCTAAGGCGGCTGCTAGCATGGTGGGAGGACTGAACAGAAGGTATTGTCCACGACCGATGAGGGTTGTGAGGTGGGGAGAAGGAGAGAATTATCTTCATGGCGGTACTATCATGTATCCCTATCCCTATCCCTATCCTTATTATAGAATGCCACACCTACACCGCTTGCTTCATTCTCGATCGATAGGAGATATACATACAGACCCCCTTGCTTCTACTCCTTGCTAGTCTGCTCTTTCTCAGCATTCGGTTCGATCATAGCATTGGGTTGCGAAGCTTGTTGGAAAACGTCCGCCCTGCACTCCCCATTCTCCATTCCCGCCCTTACAGATAGATCGACGGCTGTTCGGGGATATCTTCAAAGGTTTGAGACATTTCTGCAAGAGGTTATCCAATGCAATTCATTTCAATTCAATTTACTAAGACTAAGAGACCACTAACACTAGCTAGATAGATCCATTATCAACATCACATCACTCAATAAATCATTCATTACCTATCAATATCAAACATTAACATTTCATTAAACGGTCTCATCTCATCTGATTCCTCAGTCATGTTCACTTCTAGATAAGTGAAATCAACCCTACATCATAATCATGATCGCACCCAGAGCCATCACACCCGCGAAAGTGGACTCGACGCTCTTGAGGGCCGCCGCACCAGTGAAGATGGGTGCCGTAGGCTGCGTAGTAGTAGAGGTCGAGGTCGTAGCCTCGGGAGGGGGGGAGACGGGCTCGGTCTTGGATGGCTCGTGCGGAGACTCGCCAGTCGGCTTGGTGGAGGTCGACAGCGTAGTTCCCGGGACTGGGGGCACGGCGGTGGTTCCGGGGGTGGTGATGGGAATAGGTTGAGTCGGAGGAGGGGGAGGGGGAGACTCGGTCTGAGGAGGAGGAGTATGGGTCTCTGGGGGAGGAAGAGTCTCGGTCTCGGTGTGAGGAGGAGGAGGGGGAGGAGGAGGAGGGGTGTGAGTCTCTGGTGGAGGAGTCACGGTCTCTGTCTCACATGGAGTAGTGGTTTCCACGGGAGGGTTGGTGGGAGGGACAGTCTCAGTCTCGCAAGGAGTGGTAGTTGGGGGCACCGGGGGCTCAGTTGGAGGGACCGGGGGCTTGGTTTCGGTCTCAGTCTCACAGGGAGTAGTAGGAGTAGGAGGCTCGGTGGGAGGGACAGTCTCCGTCTCGCAAGGTGTAGTGGTCTCCACGGGAGGGTTGGTGGGAGGGACAGTCTCCGTCTCGCAAGGCGTAGTCGTGACAGGAGGCTCAGTCGGATGGACTGGAGGCTTGGTCTCCGTCTCAGTTTCACAGGGGGTAGTGGGAGTAGGAGGCTCAGTAGGGGTCTCCGTCTCGCATGGAGTAGTAGTGGTAGGGACAGGCGGCTCAGTCTCCGTCTCACACGGAGTGGTCGTGGTAACCGGCGGCTCAGTGGGAGTTTCAGTCTCACATGGAGTTGTGGTAGTTGGCACCGGGGGTTCCGTTTCAGTCTCACATGGCGTCGTAGTAGTGGGAACTGGCGGCTCAGTCTCCGTCTCACAGGGCGTTGTGGTAGTCGGGACAGGGGGCTCAGTCTCCGTCTCGCATGGAGTGGTTGTGGTAGGAACTGGCGGCTCGGTGGTAGTGTCAGTCTCGCAAGGAGTCGTGGTAGAAGGAACCGGTGGCTCAGTCGTAGTATCGGTTTCACATGGAGTAGTAGTGGTTGGCACAGGAGGCTCCGTTTCTGTCTCCGTCTCGCATGGAGTTGTGGTAGTCGGGACCGGAGGTTCAGTAGTAGTATCCGTCTCACACGGCGTGGTGGTAGGCACCGGTGGTTCGGTCTCGGTCTCAGTCTCACACGGAGTAGTTGTAGTTGGGACAGGAGGCTCAGTCTCCGTCTCCGTCTCACAAGGAGTAGTAGTGGTAGGCACCGGAGGCTCCGTCTCGCTGTCCGTCTCGCACGGAGTAGTGGTCACCGGCGGCAGAGTCGGGGGCAAGGTCGAGTGAGGAGGCTTGGTGTGAGGTGGAGGAGGACGCCACCAAGTAGGAGTATGATGCTCCGGGGGAGTATGAGGAGGCTCGTGGTCACCTCTCTCGACAATCCATGGGTGTCGGTAGACCACATTGGCTGGCGAAGCAGCCACGCCGGTCAAGGCGCCCAGAGTGACCAGGGCAGAAACCGCGTAGAATTTCATAACGACTGATGGACTCGACTTGGACAAACAGACACGATTAACGAATAGTGGGGATTAAGATTATAATAGATATCGGGGGACACACAGCCCTAGCCCGGCTGAACAACAACAACGGTATCACGAATCTCACAAAACGAGTGTGGATGTGCGGACAGAAAAGACCAAGAGAGAATTTCCCCGGTTTGATGCTGTGGACAGGAAGTTTCTATTTAACACCGTTCTGACGGACTACATGCGTCATGTTTTCCTCTTCTTCCCATCCACGGAATCCCCCGAACTGATCCATTTTCGTCCTTATCGGGAGACTCTACTGGGAGGCGTTTCTTGGCAGACAGGGAAAGAAAAAAAGAACTAAAGTGAGGCCATCACATTTGATAACCGGATTTCTTTGGGCCTAATTCAGCAGGTACTAAATTAGTTGCTCTTGGTAAGGGAAAAAACCGAAGGGATCAGGGTTTCCCATGTCTTAGAGGACCGGCCTAAAAAGACCCCTGCTCGCGTGCTCTACCACCCACGCTAAGACTTTTCAGGAAGATGGAAAGAGCTTTGTTGACCAAAGTGGCGGACAGACAGCTCACCAGGATACAGAGTACTCGGCCTGTACTTCCTGTATACCTATCAATTCGTTGGTCTGGCTAGGGCTGATCGGCGAAGGAATTCCCGTCCGACGACTTTTCTCAACCAAGCATGCCCACGTTACTGACTCGACTGCCTAATCGGTTGCGATCCTAATGCACGGTTTCTGGCCGATCATAATCAATTGGTCTGCGAGGTTGGATTGCACCTGCGGGATTGAGATGGAGGGGAGGGATAAGGTCTCACTTCTCCTCCTCTACCGAAAAGCATGACAGGCAGACGGACAAAGAAGCGAAAGTTCGGGACCGATCGAAGACTCAGATAGCCAGCGAAATCGAACCCGTACCTACTCCGTACCCACATCTCCCAAGGCCAGGGTCTGCAGGTCCGAGCGAGAGCCCAAAATGCCAAAGCCAAAGGCCCTACGGAGGATGACGATGGGACGATTCTGGACAATCGGCGAGCCACGTCCAGCGGGGTTGTGAGACATTTTTCTCATCTATCAACTATCAGGACTCCACCGCGCCAAATCAGCGTCGGGCAACGACGGCAGACTCCCCGTTAGCGTTGGCAGGAACAAACGGGAGGTTGGGACTTGATGGGATGCGCTAAACCTCGCCGGTTGTTTAGCGTCTTGGGCCTCTGTCCTTTAGTGCGTCTGTGCCTGTCTCTTGCTCACCCCCGCAACTCATGTTGTTATTGTCTTCCGTCAACACGATGTCACCGTCATGTACCACCAAGAACGCCGCCCCTCCCGCATTTGGTGCATCGCATGGCTTCGCCTGTTCCGGAGATAAGTAGAGGCTGGGCTGGAAAAGGAGGCTGATAAGGCGGGATATTAAGAGACAGTCGGATTACGTCCATGGCAGCAACGACACGCCTCGTCAGCCGAAATCCCGTCCTCGACCGGGTGGCTAGGGAATTTACTCGGGATAACGGCTGCAAGTTACGCTCTTTGACATTCTTTTTGTGAGGGAACCTGCGTCGGCTGGAGCTGCAGTGCGACCTTGTCTGCGAGAAAAACTCGAATTTTGCGCGGGTTTGAGTTGGCTGCTGGGTTTATCTGCAAGCATGTCACTACTATCAACAAGAAGAAGAAAAATAATGCGCTAAATAATGATTAGAATGGTCTTGAAAATTCGACTAAAAATAACTAGCCGGATTCACTTATCACTTACCCAAAAGAGACAGCAGAGAAAAAGTGGTCACAATCCATGTCAGTCCATGTCTGTTGGTTGTGGTTTTTTACGAACACGATACTCTCCGTCATTAGCCATGTTTCGCAGAATATTCCCTGGCGGGCGACCATCTATGGAAGCACACCGAAAATCCTTATATTATCTTATATTACCCCCGGCGGCCACCGCATTGGGCCCTTTCGCCGGATGGAGTCTGGTAGGAAGGTTTTCCGTTTTCCCTGTCTTTAAGGTATGACGCATCGACGTGATGGGCAGGTTACTTTTCCTTGTGAGACACGAGATGGCTTGAAATGGGTGGTGTGCGCTCAATGGTATGACAGTCCTGTCACAGTATTAGTGCTGCTACCATCGCATTCACATGTGGGATGTTTCTCAAGTAGGACATGAGTCTCGAAAAAGAAGTACTCGAAATAGTACTGTGTACAATATCTATCTTAGGGCTCCGCTCCAGATCACGCGCTCATTCTTCATTGCTCTGGTTTTTCAGCAGAGTTAGATTGCTAGACGTGACTAGGCGTACCATTATAGATACGACTTAGGAATGAGAGAGTCATTATAGTACTCAACTCGTGGCGTCTCCTCGAAATGAAAATTGATTGAATGTCTCACGAGACGCTGATTAGTCCAGCCTCTATCAATCTATGCTGGCCGTGCCACAAACGTGACATCTCATGTCAGCCGGAGGGACGATTACTGCCGCTGTATACTTGCCACCGAGTTCTTTAGCTTTTGATCGTGACGATGATGTGAGTGGCGGGATAATTCAGTTATCTTCGTTGGAGTTCTGTAGTTGGGTGGTTTCGGTAAGCAATAGAATTGGTGATATAGGTGGCTCTGGTGTTTTTCAATAGTTTTCATCTATACGAACTCTGCTCTTTGTTGGACAGCCATATTTGCCGAAAAATCTTTCCATTTCCGAAAGACTGAGATGAATGATCCGGCAAATGATGCAGTGTTTGGGCCGGAATATCTGATATTTTCCGCGTCTCGTGCTCGAGATACACTTGTTTGCGAAAGCAGTGTCACCCCAAGAGCTGTTTCTTTATGAAGTGGTTAAGCTCAGAGGAATAGTGGAGTTCGATCGGTCCGATCTATACGAGGCCTAAGCCATAAGGAGAATGCAAATAAATGAAGTAATACTCTATCTAAAACGTAGCCTAGAGTACAGAGATACTTGAGTGCTTGAATGTTTGAAGAGGATTGTGGCCTCTGCAAAATATGAGCCTCGGACAGACAAATGTTGTTCCCGTCCTCCGGGCTAATTACATCTCATCAGATTAAGTAGGAGCTTCGCTCGGAACAAGCTGCACTCCATGCAGCTTATTCTTCGTCAATGCATACCTACGTTTCTTGAGGTCAGTGCCTTACACAGATTCTGTCCATAGCCTGCCAATACGCGCTTATACATCTCCTCTGCCTCCTTCAGCTTGCCTTGATCAGAGTAGAGATTTCCTAGCATATGGAAAGCGCCACAAACTGCGGTATCATTGGTTTCGTAAGTCATATGTTTTTGAAACAGATAATTTGCATGTGGGAGCAGGCGCCGCTGAGCTCTCGCATAGTCTCTCTCATCACTATCCGGGACCATATATCCAATGGAAACAAGCACAATTTCCCTTGACCGAGAGATATGGTTTTCTGTCGCAGCAACATGGGTACACCAGTCCTGAACTACTGGATGTAGCCTATAGCTTCCTCCTTGTGGCTTAGTTTCAATTAGGGAAAATGCACGGAGAGTTTTGGTCCGTGCCTTAAAGTCGAATTTTTTCCCAACTGCCATTTCGAACCAATCGGGGACATTAGGACAATGACGGCCACCCGCAATCAACTCATACCAGATGTCTTGGTTATCGAAAATTGACAGAAAGAGAAGCAGTACTGCAGCAGTTGAATCTCGTTTCTCAATTTCATGATAGGAGACTGCCCATGTCTGAAGGATATTACCTTGATGATAATGACGCGTGGGTAAAGATTGAGCCTGCAATTGGAACCATGATTTCTGATAATCCTCTAGGTACTCACTGATGCCTGTGCCAGTTTCGCGCATGAATGTGCCAGCAATGACAATTGCCAATGGTAAACCATCAAGCTGAGCCATGAGTCTAGCAAGATCTGAATATATTGGTCAAACCTTTGAAATAGGTCTGATAAATGCATACCTTGATCTAATCCCGCATCCATAATTTCGGACAAAGAACGTTCACAACTTTGTAAGAAGAGTTTTCTAGCATCTTTAGGTTCGAGTCTTTCGATAGGAAATGATTTTCCGAGTTCCATTAATCTCTGGAGCCAGGAAGTAATAAGAATAGACCCATGATCAGCATTTGGAAAGAAATCCTTGATATCATATTTACCATTATTGCTGGTCTGTAGGGGCGGATACTGATCAATATTGTCGAAGATCAATAACCAGTTTTGATTTTCTGGTACTGCAAGCCACTTTAGAACTTGGCTAGCCCGCTGTTCTGCTTCTTCCTCTGTAGCGGCTTCATTTGCCACGGCATACGTTTGTATACGTGAAAGGCAAGAACTCAAAGATCTAATCAGGGTATATCGATCTTTCCCACTTATCCAAAGGATCGCTGAAAAGCCATGTTTGTGCTCACGTGCAAATTTAATTGCGACTTGCGTTTTCCCGATTCCACCAAGGCCATGGAGGATAGCTACCTTGCGTGATGGTGATCCTGCTGGTTGTAGATAATGCCACAGGTACTTAAGGTCTTTCTGTCGTCCAATAAATTCTTCAATTGTGGGCACTGTCGTCAGATCAAATGGAACTAGAAATTTAGTGGCTAAGACATAGTCAATACATAGATAAAGATAGCTTGTAAAATCGACTCCAGGGGTGTACATACTTGTGACTGGCCCGGCGCACAAACCATCTATTGGGATGAGGATTCGCAGGCTTTGCTGGCCTTTTGCCGTCACAACTGGCTTGCAGTTGGATCTTCTCTCGGCAGTGTCGAAGACTTTCATTGCGGCCGTCGAGATGATAAAGCGCAGCTGCAAATTTCCTTGGTAGCACATCTTCTCTCCTGGGGAGAGAATCGTTCTCCGTGCGGTGGACGGCCTACTTTTTCTAAGACCGTCCGGCTCCGACTCCGAACCACTCGTGGTTTTCGCCTTCGGAGACACGAGGGAAGACGTACTGGCATCCTTACAAGCAACGCGGAACTTGACTTGGGAGGCAATTGCACAGCAGAGCTACGCAAAGAGTCGCCAAGTTCTAGGGGAACTGAAGCTCTCCGGGTGGAATCCGACGATTCATCAACTCCTTGAGCGCTCGTCGTTGGTGCTCGATCTTCTTACCAACCGCGAGACTGGGGGGCTGATCGCAGGCCCGGATGTCCATTCTGGGATTGAATCAGCTCCTGGCTACGCAGCGGTCTGGGGCAGTGATGCAGCGTGAACCTCGATCGGGGCTCTTTCATTAGGGCATAGAACTTTTGGCAAAAAGATGCTTTCCTTCGCGGTAGCAACGCAATCTCCCGAAGGACTTTGGCTTCATCGTCACCATACTGACCATTCCCTCGCCACTAGTTGGGGGCTGCATTAAATTGACGAGACCGTAATTTACCTTTTCTCTTTTGAATGCTACCTTCAAAGCTCTGGCGACCTCGAATTCATCAAAAAGAATTGGTCAGCAATCGCCAGGGCGGCCAATTTCCTTTTGTTCGTCAGCGAGAAAGAAGAATTTCCTTCGGTCGATCTGTGGGAAGAAAGAGACGGATACCATCTTTACACTGTGGCGAGCACAATAGCTGGCCTACGATCTGCTGCACATCTCGCGCTCGCTGTTCAGCTCACAGACACGACTCAAATCGAGCGATGGAAGACAGCTACCGAAGCCATTACAGCAAAAGCCGCCAACAGGTTCTGGGACCAGGGTCTCGGGCGATTTGTGGCCTCCGTGCAAGTGAGCTCGGGCCTACCCATGGTTGATAAAGATCGACCAGAGCTTTCAGCAAAGGTCCAGGATGGCCGCAATCGACCGACGACATCACTTCCTTCCTATCCGAATTGGCGCGACGCCGAAACCGAGACTACCAGCATTCGACATGATGTTTCTGTTCTCTCCATGGCTGTTCCATCCGCCATTCTTCCCCTCGACGACCCTCAGGTGGTTAGTTCGGTAGTCGCGTTGAAGGGCGCTCTGTGGAACAATGTTGTTGGGGGTTACTGTCGTTACGAAGGGGACAGCTACGACGGAGGAAACCCGTGGCCGTTGGCTACGTTGTGGCTGGCCATTTACAAGGGAGCGCAGGGCAATCTCAGCGAAAGTAAACAGCTGGTCGAGTGGGTTGCGGCACACACCACGCCTGCTGGCCTTGTGCCTGAAAAAGTTCATCACGAAACTGGAGATCCGGTAGCAGCAGTTCCGCTTTCATAGTCGCATGCGATGGCCGCTATCGCCGTAGCAGCAGCAAACGAAACGAATATTTGGAAGGTGCCATTATCTGCAAGATAGCAGCGAACTGGTTTTAATTGATTAGGACTTCCGCTTGAAATTATGTCAACAATGCAGATCTATCAGGCAACTGTGCGTGGTTGTGAGACTGACCGCTGATTTCCAACCTTGCATACATCAGAGCGCGAGATAGATCAAATAATGCGCGTGAAGCCCAGTTGGTAGCATCTTATCCACTTTTGGCCATCAGAGACTGCATTCGAAGAAAGTGAAGAAAGACATTTGTCTTCCAGTTGATGACGGAAGTCAGTCTGGCAGAGCTGCAATAGATGCAGACTTTACACGTGACACCCGAGGTTATGAATCTGCCCAAAAACTTATCCTTCATACAACTCTCTCACCCCGAGACGATCTTGTCAAGAACAAGACTATTCATCAATTCCCAATCATCCTCATTGCCCAAGCGACCACCCACAAGCAGTGGGGCATCTAGACTTGCCCAAAAGTACGAAGTGCCCCCGCTTCTACACCGTACAATGAATGCGTGGTCTCTAACAACATTCATCCCATTACTTCATGGCTGGAACAACTTGCGTACGCATCTGCAGGATAGGCGTGCTTAGCCCGGACGATTCGCCTATTCGTGCTCGACCCACCAATCCAATCTTCCGCTCGAGCAAGGCAAACATTTACCAGACAAACTTGAAACAGGCATCCAGCTCAACAACCACCGATGGACTGTGGAGCGGACAATTCATTCAGCTGACCGGGTCGGTCCGGTCTATCGAAAAGTAGCGCTTCAAAGCCTCCAATAGCCTAACATGCTGGCTCGATTGAGTTCTGATTTACTGATTGCTCGCTTGATCGAGTTTTGCTGTCTGCAGATCGCTGCTAAATCTGTGGGGATGATCCACAGAAGGTCTCCACTTTGGTTCAAAGCTGGCGGGGGTCAGCCAGCCGCTACAATGTAACCTATCTTGGAGGCCATTGAGATCGTTCGAATCAGTCGGAGGATGGTCCCGGCGAGCACATTTTTGAGGACTTTCTGCTGGATACGAAGCGGGGGTCTCGAAAATCGGAACAAACCTGTTTCGGTGGGAGGTCGGGTCCGTGTTCAGTGTCAAAGGGAAGGGAAGAATTGGACTACTTAAAGGGCGACTTCCTCGATTGCTGAAGTTAATTGTACCATTCTCAAAAATCGTTTGACTCTGAGAACTACTTTTCCTAATGACCGTGTTCCAAAATGTCTTCTGCGACCGAACTGAAGACCAAGGCGGATGCCTTGAAGCAGAAAGCCAGCGAGGCGGATCAAGGTATGTACCTTCGACCCTGGGACTACAACTGAGACTAACAGCACATAGCCAACCAGAATCAGACCCAAGCTGTCTTCCAAATTTACAACTATGATCCTCTGTCTCGCACCTCTTCCATGGAGAAGTTTGTCTCCCTTGGGAGTGTCAGCAACCTGGCTGGCAAGAAGCTCTCCGACTTGCGAAAGATGTTCATTAGCGAGGGCGTGTTATCTTATAGACAGTAAGTTAATCGTGCCATCATGGACAAGAGCATTTACTAATAACTTCCCAAGACAAGGAAGCCCATTCTGTAACCAGGAGGGTGCCGAAACGAAGGAGGACACCCTTCTGGGAGTGTATTTGAAGGGGGCCGGGAATAAACTGGTTTGTACTGCCCCTCGGTTGTAAGACAACACTAACGGGCAATAGGAGGTATTAGAGTCCAAGACTGAGGAGAAGGCTAAGACAGATGTGGTGAGTTACGATCACTCATGGTCAACGAACCCAAACTAATAGTTAGGCAACAACTGGGGGGGGCAATGTCCTCAGTCAAGACACTCAGTCTTTGAATGTGTACTTGAAGTTGAAGAGCCTTAAGACGGAATTGGATTCCGACACCAAGGAGTTCTTGAATTCCAAGCCCGATCTTGAGTTATCCAAGGTATGGACTTTCGCATGATGCTCAAGGCATGACTGACAAGATAGGCTCCCGGTTTACCCACCACTAAAGCTGAAGCAATTGCATCGACTTATGTTCACTCCAACTTCATGGCTGCGAAGGGTGGTGCTATCGTGTATGTTGTCCCGTTAGAACTCGGTGATGGTTACTGACAATTGTAGTTATCCGTCGGACATGAGCGAGAGACATTGGAACATCGTCTTCAGGAACAACTGTCTTCTACATGGAAGTCTGACAAGCATGTATGAGGTTGCTGTCAACAAAAGGGTCGAGCGAGCCGTCTATCCAGGTATGCCCACCAACCTACCTCAAAGGAGGGAGATGCTGATTTTATAGCGTTCCAACTGGCCAAGCGTCAATTCCAGGACTTTGAGACTTCTTTCGCTTCTGACATTCCTCCTCCAAAGGTATATTTTTCGAGAGTAATAATAGAACTTTTCTAACATGAATAGCAAATGCTTCGCATTCCTCGATTCCGCATTGAGGATGACTCCTACGTCGAAATGACTGAGACATCCAAGTCTGTTGCGAAGGCTATGGCGGACAGCTCCATGAGCCAATATGCAGCTGAATTCGCCATGTTTGTTTCTCTCCTTGCAGCACCCGTCAATTGCTAATAATTTATAGCGGTGGAGGCGCGCTTGGTGTGACTGCTGCAGTTAAGGGCGGATACTCATCCAGCAAGTCCAAAGCATCGGCGACTCAGAATGACACCCAAACGAAGGTGTTGACAATCACCTACAATGTAAGTGGATTGATCCAGAATTGGGAACACGCTGACGAGACCAGTTCCCTCGTGTGGTTATAAACCTAGATGAAAGCAGTCTTGAATTGACCGAGGAATGCAAAGCGGACATCAACCACCTGGGCGATACGTTGTCCTTGGCTGATTTCAATGAGAAATACGGTAAGCACCTCCCCCAAATACAACGCCAACCTCTAACGGTGCAGGCCACTTCTTCGCAACTCGAATTGAACTCGGAGGAAGACTTCACTCGTCCGAAGACTGCTCAAAGCTTCAGGAGTCGGATAAGACAGAAAAGGCCAATTCCATGAAGGCAGCTGCGAGTCTTTCGTTCTCTTCCCCTTGGGTCCAGGCTTCTGCAAGTGGTAGTTACGGTTCGGCCTCCAACAGCATGACAGAGAACAAGACCAGTTCGATGAATATGACCATGACCTGGGAAGCGAAGGGTGGAGACACATTGCTTTGCAACAAGTATGTTAAATCGGTGGGAAGTAGCTTGTTGGCGTACGCTAACTTAACTGTCTTCCAGTCCACCTGCCTGGTGCAACACAGTTGCATCCTATTACAACTGGCGTGTTGTTAAGGTATGAATCATATTTCCCTGTTGGCGTATCTTAGCACTGACCCCCGGCAGCAAGAATCTCTGATTCCAGTGACCGACCTGATTATGAATCTTCCCGGTGGTTCTATCCTTAAATCCAAGATTGCTGCCATCAAGAACCCCGGGGGCAAGACCGAGACCGACGGGGGTAAGACTGATGGAGGTAAAACAGGTACGTCGGACAAGACAAGCCTGCCAGTGAACCCAGAAATTCCTGTTGTAAACCCTGGAAAGACGGAGAAGCCCAACTCTTCTATCAAGCCGGACACGACATCTCAGTCCGGCAAGACCGAGAAGGTCGTGCCTCCGGTCAAACCAGAAACGACTACTCAGCGGGACAAGGCTCCAGTCGTCAAGCCAGTGGTAACTGAAAAACCAGGCACCACAATACCTCCGAAAGCCAAGACAATCAAGTCGAAAGTATCCATATCCGTAAATCAAGGGTCCCGGTATCTAGCAGGCAGAAATGAGGCGGGCATGGCTAGTAAGTGAAATCGTGAATCAATAATTCGAACGCTCGACACTGACAAAAGCGAAGTGGGTATTTTCCTTCAAGATCTTGACGGCAGCAGTGGTTCCTACACTCCGGCCCAGCAGAAATTTATCGCAGATCTCGACGTGGATAGCATGTTTAATAGCGGCTGCTCGCTCGTCAACAACGCCAGCGACCAGAAGTTTGAAATCGAGGTTGAACATAGCTCTAACGAGAAGCCACTGGTATCAAAGCCCTACTCCACGTTTCCCCTTTTGCTTTCCAACCTCCCTCTAATAATCCATAGCTCAAACGCAACGTCCCTTACCGCATATTTTCTAAGAAAGCTGAGAAATGGATGACCTCAACTCCAACCCTTCCGGGCTTTTATGACAAATCTCTCCTCTATCTGGAGTCCTCGGCGGCCAAGTCTGGAGAGGTAACTACCTTTGCGTTCGATTCGCTCCGACATCGCTCCGTGAGTAACATTGAAGACGGGGACACGATCTTCATCCGGATGTTCGACGCCTCTGGACGTAGCCTTGGTGCGTTGACTGATATTTCGTCGAACAATGGGAAGCTATCCGGTGCTATCGGTACTAAGGGAACTTCGGAGAAGTTGAACCTCACGATCAAGTATGCTTAAGTTTACCATGAGCACGTGGATACTTGCAGTGCTTAGAGGATAGTACTTTCGTTTAGAATTCAACGTATATTCATTGAAAATCATTTAAGTATTACGAAAGATACAGTCCCATGAACAATAACAATAACAAGAAATACCAAGCGACGTATAATGCTCCATCATATCATATCGTAACATACAATATCACATCACATGACATTCCTATACCCCCAGCAGCTAACAGAGGGACCTATCCCAAAGAAACGTGGTTACAAACACTCTTATCGTCGAGATGAACATTCAACCTAGATTGATTCCCCGTTAGCCACATCCCTCCCTCATCCTCTTCCTCCTCTCAAAGAAGGTAAATTCAAAAACAGGGGAAAGAGGGACCTACCGATCCTGGTTAAAATCCATAGTCTTCATATCACCACTTCTCAGGACCCGACTTGGCTGCGGGAGACTTGCCGACGTGAAAGACTAGAATCGAACAAGTGGTGAGTTATTAGGTCTGTGGGATCGGAAAGAGACATTAGGGAGCTCATACATCGCCACCGATACTGTCAGTCTCGCTCTCGACGAACTTCTTTCCTACGAGCTTCTTGAGCCAGTCTTCTGCTGCGGACATTTTAGCTTTTGTTTATTGTTGTTGATATGGGATATTGTTTTTTGTATGAACTGTGTCTTCGGAATCCGAACACTGAATGTAAAGATGGAAAGATGTAATGAGTTATTCAAGATGAGAATATCAACCAGGACAGGTTATCCCAGGGATATTTATACGCGATCGAACGATACCTATACTTCCACCGCGGGGCACGGTTAACCGTTGAAATGTTTAATATACGATGGGTGATGTCATCTCGCCGATCTCTCGCTATCCGCTTGACCATCTGATTAGAACGGACAATGTCATCGTGCAGGGGATCGTCGGTATATAGATTAGCGTGGAATGATCTGGCAGGTGTGGATTGGTGTGCATATCTTGTTTGGATGGATTGTTAGGTTCTAGGTTATGTGTTTGGCCGGATTGAGAGGTGGATGATGTAAACTATTAGATGATGTTTTTCGTAATTGTTCTTGGGGAGTATGCTGGGTTGAGGTGAGGTTGACTATTATATAGGTAGTATGTGGCAGGTAGTACTCTGTGAGTGGTAGGTAGTCTATGTTGAATTCTGATTCCATCATCTCATCTCATCATCTCGACTTCTTGCCCTATATTGATTCCTGCCCACCATGTGGGCTTTATTTCCGGACCATAGCCTGTCATACACAGGTCCAAATCTAGTCCAGCCCAACTCAATCAATCAATCACACCACCCTCCCTCAGCGCCCAAATCGTCATCTCAGTCACCTTCGCCGTCACAGCCTCTAACCGCGGTATCTCATGTCCACCATTATGATTGTACGTACGTCTCCTCCCCTCCTCACACAGGCCCGACAACTGCACGCTCGCTTCATACCGCGGATCCTTGTCCCCATACACATGCACCGTAGGGATCTGGATCCGCACGTCCCCGTACGATGCGATCTCCTGACGTACCTTTTCTTCTTCATCGGCGCTTCCGCCCCCGGCTGCCTTATTGTTCCATCGTGAGGATCCCAGCGCCAGGAGCGAGTCTTTGTTGGCCACTTCGGCGAGTTTGGCTCGGGTGGCCTTGTCGCGGGTGAAGATCGATTCCGGGAGCGCATAGCCGACTTCTTCGGAGAGGATTTGCAGAGGAGGACCGCCGCAGATGAAGATTGCGGCGTTGAAGGGGGGCGGCGCCTTGGTGCCCTGGGTTTGTTTTTGTTCTTTGCTTGATGTGTTGTTGTTGTTGTTGTTGTTGTTGTTCTGGTTCTCCTCCTGATTCTGGTCCTGGTGCTGATTCCGACTCTCCCATTCCTGCAAAAGCAATAGACTAGCACCCAACGCACCGCCCTGGCTAAACATCATGACAGCATCATAGGGGCCCCGTTCTGCGATGATGCCGTTCAACCATGCGACTGTCTCTCGTACCGCTGGGGTCGTGTTTTCGCGCCAGAACGTAAAGTATGGAGGAGGGTAGAAGAGGTCTACGCCCGGCGCGGGGGGCGAGGGGTATGGACCGTCGAGGTAGTCGAATTCAACGGGGACGGGGAGATGGGAGGTCAAGCGTTTGGAGATTCCTGCTATTAGGGAGTTAGGGTTATTTATTATCAGGAGGGAGGGGAATTGTGATGGAGAAGTGATGGACGGGGGACTTTGATCGGCGATTTGTTTATCTGACGGGAGTGGGGATACGCGGGGACATACATAATTGCGACTTGAAGATGGCGCCGCTGGTGCCTTGCCCATGGAGGCAGAGGATCTTCATCTTGATTGATGGATACCGTGTGAAAAGATGGAGCAATTGATGGATGAGATAGAAAAACAGAGAAGAGGGGATGATGAGGTTATCGACAAAGGAAGGCTGGCCCCACCGCAGCTGCAGGTCAGACAGTTTGCGTTTGGTGGCGCTTATCAATCCCGTCATACTTGGAGCGGGAGATTACGCTGGTTGCAGAGCGGTCATTTAAATTGGATGTGTAAGTAAAATGGAGAATGTCATAATGATTGGATAGGGTCAGTTGCACGATAGAAACAATAAAAAGTGTGTTGAACACCGTCACCTCCTGGCTGGTTAGCTATGGTTGAGCATAGCTTCATCTAATAATCCCCCCATAACTCCCGAGTCTAGACCCTTACTTCACCTCCACGCTCGCATCCACACTGGCATTCGCGCTCATGGTAAACGGTGACGCAAGACCAGCCCTCATCTCGGCATCTCCCATCGTCAGCTGTACATTCTTCCCACTGCCGATGCCCATTGCTCGTTTCATCGCCTTCCAGCTCTCGACCAACCCCAAGTACACAACCGTGCATCCAAAGACAATGCCCCATTCCCAGTCTATACCGTGGTGCTTGAAAACAATCCTATTCACCTCCGGAAGGTAAATTACCGGAAACGTGATCACGAAGCCTGCGATGACCGCCCAGAACAGAAACCGGTTGCGCCAGATGGAGTGAAAGACAGAGAGTCGGCCGGGGAATTTGTCCGGGTCAAGATTGAACAGAGACCGAGAGAAATGCTTGACTTCGAAGGCTGTCACTAATAAGAGAAAGGTCAAGGTCGCGTAGGTCGTGGCGCGTGCCCGGAATACCACGTCGCAGCTGCTGTTCCATCCCTCGTTGCAGTCATGGCCCATATCTGCGGTCCCAGATCCTTCGGCGTAGATCACACAGACAAACGATACGAGGCAGAGACAGCCCATGAAGGTGCCATAGATCATTTTGTCGGTGATCAGCTCCCGGGTAAACACGCCCACCTTTAGATCGTGAGGCGGCTGATACATAGAATCGGTCCTGGCCTCCTCGAGACCAAGTCCCAGGGCTAGGAATGAGGACGTGATAAGGTTAACCCAAAGAATCTCAATGGGAGAAATGGGAAAGATCGAGTTGTCCTCTGCATCTTTGAAAGCCAGTGCAACCAGAAGCAGAATGACTTGGGCGATGTTGGAGATCAGAAGATGCATGAGAAACTGAAAAGGTTAGCAGGACACATGTGAACTGGAGAACAGAAATACCTTTTGAATGTTGGAAAACAATCTTCTTCCCTCCTCTACAGCTCTAACGATGGACGAGAAGTTGTCGTCCGTCAGTACCATATCAGCGGCCTCTTTAGCGACGTCGCTGCCATTCTTCCCCATGGCAATGCCCACGTCCGCCCGTTTCAGAGCGGGCGAATCATTGACCCCGTCGCCTGTCATGACACAAAAGGCCTGTCGTCGGTGCATGGCCTCAACCATTCGAACTTTTGTGGTCGGGCTGCAGCGCGCAACCACGAGAGGCAGCTTTTCAATCGCGTCAATTTCGGCGTCAGTCAATCGGTCAAACTCCTCGGCCGCCATGACAAGCCGGGTAGACTTCGCATTGACGAATGGGTCCAGTATGCCTACTTCGGAGGCAATCGCCGTTGCCGTGCGGATGTGGTCGCCAGTCAGCATGTGGACAGTGATGCCAGCCATCTGGCATCGCCGAACAGCCGCGGCCGTTTCGACACGAGGAGGATCGTAAAGCCCAACCAAGCCACCGAGAGTGAGCCCGGACTCGGCGCTGGCGCGCGGGGATACCAGTGTATCATCATCGATCGGCGTCATTTTGTAAGCCACGCATAGTACACGAAGACCTTCTCCGGCCATTCGGTCCGCAGTCTCCTGCATAAACGTTTTCTGTTGCTCACTCAAACGGAGCCTGGGGATAATTGTCTCAGGCGCGCCTTTCGTATAGACTTCATGGACCTGGGCTGTTGGGTTTTTATAGACCACTGTCATGCGTTTGATTGACGAGTCGAAAGGGTATTCAGTATGTAGGGCAATGTCGCGCTCCTGCAATACAGCTGGTTTTCCCATGCCAAAACGCATTGCGAGGACGTGCAGCGCAATCTCGGTAGGCTCGCCGACGGCGGTCCATTCATTTTGCGACTGAACGGGTTCTTTCCCTGGGACATCTGACGGTACTGCCTTTTCTACCACCGACAGATTGCACAAGGCAATTGCAGTGAGAAATGTCCGCAGTGTATGATTCTCCTGCAGGCTCTTTGGATTCCAGTCAACATCGTCGAGTTGAACCGACCCGCTGGAAGGATCGATCGGATTTGTAGTCTGGTGAACGGTTAGATTGCCGGCCTGGGGAATCCAAGCCGCTGCTGCAATCATCGATCCTTGCGTCAGGGTTCCAGTCTTGTCTGAGCAGATGTTGGTCACACCTCCAACAGCTTCCAGACATTGGAGCTTTCGCACAATGACATTGCTTTTGGCCATTGCTTTGGTCCCAACTGCCACGGTGATTGTAAGGACCGCAATCAGTGATTCAGGGACCACGGCGACGGCGACGCAGATTCCGTAAATCAGCACCTCGCCTTCGATGTCCCATTTGTTGACTGAAAACACTATAATGGCAAGCAAAATTGCTAGGGCAAAGAGCAGCAGAGCGAACTTGCTTAATTTCACCTGTAGGGGTGTGCCAACTAGTCCCAAGATATTTTTGATTGTGTTTTTAGTCCGATAAAAGCCTCGCATGAAGAGGTTGGTATTGGTTTGGGTAGACGTCTCTTGGAGAAGCTGCGCGATCTTGCCCACTTCGGTCCTCATCCCGGTGGCGATCACAATCCCGGTGGCCCGACCTTGGGTTGTACTACACCCTGAATAGGCCATGTTGGTGCGGTCCCCGATTGGCATGTCTCGTGAGGTCATGACGATATGCGGAGTCTTTGCAACCGGTAACGATTCGCCGGTCAGCAAAGCTTCGTCCATGGAGACATTCATCCCATCGATGAGTCTCAGGTCGGCAGGGACGATATCTCCGACAGCGAGGTGGACAATATCTCCCACGACGAGCGACTCGGCCTTTACAGAGACTACATGGCCATCTCGGAGGACTTTGCATATTGGTGCAGATAGTCGATGCAACGACATGATGGTCTTCTCGGCTCGATAGTCTTGCACGAAGCTGGAATCCATCAGCACCTGCTCATCTAGGAAGGAGGAGAACCCACCCAACAGCAATGTTGAGAAGGATGACAGTCGTTATCACGCCGCCTTCGATATAGTCATCAATCCCAAAAGATATTGCCATAGTAATGACGAGAACCTACGCGTTCTTGTCAACAGGCTAACGAACCATCCGGTGCACGGCGGTTGATGTTGGGAAGTTTATCAGGTACTTCCAACGGGTCGAATTATCAGCAGAACATACTAAGGTTAAACTGTTGGCGACCTGTCTTAGAAGTATCTTCCAGACCGACACTCCATGCATTTCTCGGACCCTGTTCGGCCCATCTCTCTGGAGACGGGCCGCCGACTCGGTATTTGACAGACCATGACTTTCAAGTCAGCAAGCGGTGACTAAAGAACTAGAAGGAGGCGTACCGAAGCGGAACTTTGAGAGACTCTGCTAACTGAGAAGGATCAACGGTGTGAGGGTAATCCAAGGGGGTTTCGGAAATGGGTTGGCCCGGGTCTATGGCAGGACGTTGAGTATCATTTGACACCGACAGGCTTTGCGGGTTGTCAATCTTCTCAAGACCCTGCTTGCTTTCTACATCGATACGCGGTGGGTGTTCTTGTGGTAAAGAACATATAGGAGGTTCCGTCGACTCCTCGACATCCAGGGGGGAAGTTTCAATGCCCATTCAAGTATAGATGGAGGATAAAGTGAGAGAGGTCGATGTCCAGGAATCCCGGTATGCACAAGATGGAGAGGATAAAGGCCCAGGAATACGAGAATGTCGAAGCCCTCAAACTTTCTTTGGTAGATTTCCTTTCTTTCTTTTTTTTTTTTCGAACGCTACTTATAGGACGACCAGAACAAGCGAGGGGGACCATCGTGAGGGGTTGCCATGCTTGCATTCTTCTCAGCACTGGGTATTATTGGAACAGCCAGGATCTTTATCTTGCCCCGATTCATGGTCGGACTGGATGATTCGCGTCCAAAGAGGATGACTCGCGGGCGTCCTTGGAAGCCGGGCCGCTAATGGCTTGGAAGATGCTGGGATTGGCCGGTCGCCAGTCTGGGGAGGTGAAAACGGAGACAGCTCACGAAGGATAGTCCATCTAAACCACAGAAGGTCAATGAGGGGAGGCTTGCTCATCACGGACGTGGCGAGAGACTAGACCTCTGGTCCGCTTGGCCACGTGAGTTGATGCCAGTCAGAGATGCACATATCCCAGTAGGAGGAGGTTCTGGAAGTGTGCGGAACCAAATGCTGACAGGACAGACATGGCACGCGGAGCTCTAGGCAGCAATAATGGGTGTGAGATGCCAAAGACTATCGGGATGTTTTCATTCATCGTCTCTTCCTGGTGGAGAGACCGAGAGATGCGACGGCTAGGCAATTTGATGCCTGAGGCAAAATGTCAGGGAGTGTCATGTGACCAAAACTCTAAAAAACCGGATATTTTTTCTGACATTTTGGGTGTGGTCCGATCAGAGAATAACGGATTTTGTATGGGTTCTAGCATTTGAACGTGTCTGCACGAGTCAAAATACCGAATCAATATGAAATAATTCAGAGGAATAGGCACAATATTACTGGCTATCTAGTGGTATGTTTAAATTTGAGTTATCGTCGATTTTGCGGCTGTAGCAGCCGATTCAACATGGTGGAGAACGCGTTGAAGCAACTCCCTGCAATTGAGGTTTGGCGGAGCTCGATCCGTTCTGCCGCTCGGCCACCCAGAAAGCGGTCTGTCAGCCTGGAACGTCCATTCTTCCTATTCCGTGTACACCAATCAATCGATTAATTCAGTATTGCTCAAGGCATCCCTCTGTTCATTTATTTAATCGTTTTTGACCACTGCAGTGCATTCGGTCCTGCAGAACGCCTACAAAAACTACCCTTTTGAGTAAGCGGCGGGGCTACAATGGTGTAGTCCTGTAGAATATATATCTTGCGCAGTGCGTACTAAATGAACCCTCGATACAATCGAAAGAGAGATATTCAAGATATTCAAGATATTCCCAGAATAAGAATCCTCAGGAACGCAACGAAGCCGCAATAATAGCTTCTGAAGAACCGGAAATAACCTTTGGAGGATCCGAGTGATTCAATCTTGAAGTCCTTACTGCCTCCTTCTCGTCACGTGAGGTGCGTCCGTAGCAGGCTCGTTGGATCTAGTGAGGAATCCCATGATACTACTGGTGGCTGGAGATTCCATCGCTCAAATTTTGTAGCATGAACTATCCTATTGGTTATGTTGGAAAATGGAATAAGAATTAGTCCGTAGTGATCAGTTATGATGTTGGCGAGGAAGACGAAGAGGAAAGGCGGCGACCCCGTGACCAATCAGCGCAGCGACCGAAATCCGCCCAAAAAAGCAGCGCAACCAGAAGCCGATTTTGTCACGATTCCCTCTTCATATCCACCACTGGACTCAACTTCGATTGTTTTCTAGTCACTCTTTCGGACTCATTGCCATCTATCCCTTCGATCAAAGCTCCTGATTATCCATCATGGTCGGTCCGATATCGTCCCTGACCCCCCTCACGCGCGCCGACGGCTCGGCCTCCTACAAATGTCCGTCGACCGGATCGAATATCTTGGGCTCGGTGAATGCTCCGATCGAGCTGCCAGGCCGTCGGGATGCTCTTAAGCCCGAGGAAGCGACCGTGGAAGTCTTCGTCAAGCCCGGTACTGCGCCTGGAGGTGTGGGTGAGCGATACGTCGAGGGAATCATCAAAACCATGCTTGGACGATTGATCCTGGGAAGAGAAAAGTCATACGCTAGACGAGGAGTGGTGGTCACATTGGCGATCGTTGGTGGTGAAAGCGTCAGCAGAGGAGACTCTGTGAGTTTCTCCCTTTTTCGCTGCATGGGTGATTGCGCTAACCAGGATCTTATCCGCAGTATCTTACTCTTCTGCCTGCTCTCCTCCAAACCTCCCTCCTTGCACTATTGTCCGCCGCTGTGCCATTGTCCATGACTTACTCTGCGACCGTGCTGGGAGTTGATTCGTCGGGGAAACTCATTCGGGAGCCGTCGCCCAAGGACGCTCAGTCGGCCACCTCCCTCCACGTGCTCGCTTTCTCCTCCAAGGGCCATCTGTTGCTCAACGAAAGCCAAGGCTCATTTGACTTTGGAACGTGGGAGAGGGTGCGCGAACGCGCCCTGACCATCTGTCAGGGGACCTTGACGAGCAGCTCCGACGGGGACATAGCGATGGCGGAGGATGCGGACGGCCAACCGTTGGAGGGGACTGTGCGGGAGGCTGTGGAGGACAAACTTCACGAAGACTATGCCTGGAAAATCGATGCGGCTTGAGGGATTGTGGGGGGAAACAGACACCATTACAAACACCGGAATCCCAACTGATAGCGACCGGGCCGCCCGCCGAACGGTCCAATGCACCGGTCGCCCACATTGGTACTCCGTACTTTTTGTTTTCTTTTTCATTCAGCTGGCAATCCGAACTAGCTCGATTCGGGTCTGCGTCCAAGTCGAATGCCCTCTTAGCGTAGGGGCTGCGGTCTCAGTCTGCTAGGCTGGCTACCCTCCTTCATGGAAGTGCGCACGGGGATGGGATCATTGGCGGCCGCAGACTTACAACCTTTTTTACGAAAGGAGGAACGATACGATAGGAGGGGCTGCGTACGAAGGAATGGGGATCCATGCGAGTGAGCAGCGATCCGGAGGTCGATGGGATGGATCTGACGCGAGAGGGCAGAGCATGTACTCCGTATGAGATACAAAACTATTTAGGGAACGCTAGCCAATCTAACCTAGCCAGGCCAGCCACATATGCTTGCTGTGATATGCCGAATCCAGAAGGGAAATGAGAGCCATCCACACCAACTGTAATCTCCGTCACGACTCCGCAAGGCAGTCTGCCCCATATTTAACTAACTCGTCACTAAGAGGTGATAGGTGGGTTTAGTCAGGCCGGGAAATGGGACGAACTCCCCTTGCATCGCCGATTCCCCTTCGATGTGAAGAATGCGCTGGGTTGGTGTGCGTGTATGAGACTATGACGATCAACCCCCTCGACGGAGTCAGACCGAGGGAGATTTCGGATTATAAATAAATAAATGCCACCCTCCATGAACAGTCCTCCGGGGCTAAAGGGACCTCCTAGTTTCCTTTCTAGTTTCTAGTTTCTACCGAGTTTGCGTGCGGAGTCTCCTTTTTACAGCATGAGCTGACAAACTCCGTCTGACCAAGGCCGTGGAAGCCTATCGAACACTTTTTCCCAGACTTTCCCAGACTTTCCCAGACTGCTGCTGTCATCTCCCGTTGCGGAACCAATGATCCCTGGATCCTTTCGCTGCCAAATCCCGTTACATCCGAGAGCGTTGCGGCCCCGTTCTCACCTTTCCATCAATTCTCTCCCTCCTGCTGTCACCCTTCCAAATAAATCAACTGCCAGAGTAGTCGCACCATCCTACTCTGCGCCTCTCCCCTTTTATCTCCTCACCCCCGTCCATGGCTTCCCCTGCTTCGAGTCATGGCTCCGTGAACGCCCCCAAGTCCTCTGAGAACCCTCGCTGCAACCCCACGGGAGTCACTGCTCCGTCGTCATCTTCAACGTCTCAAATTCCTGCCCCGCCATCCAATTTCCGCCGTGCGACCACAGCAAATACTTCCTCCGTCGGTAAATTACGCCTCCGTGACTATGTCGGCGACATAGATCCGTCGCAGACATCGAACGCACCGCGCGCCAGTGATCCCACCTCCGGACATTCGGCTTCCTCCGTCTCCACCACCCGGAATACTGAGCTCACCCACGAGGACGCTGTCGGTCTCTCGTTACCCTCGTCGCCTTTCCTGCCTCTTCGTGCTGCCGCGCTGGCTAGTCATCATCGAAACGCCTTGTCTAGCGACTCAATTCCCCGTCAAACTATCATGAAAGCCCTCGCGTCTCGACCGTCGGGGGCCCAGCAACAAAACAACACCAATAACAATTCCCCGATGCCGCTGGCGGCCTCTCTGGGGCTTCAGCATCCTAGCACGGCCGCTTCGACTCCGTCGGATGAAGCGGAGCGTCGCTGCAGCAATCCTCCGTCGCAGAAGTTGTCGGCAGCCCTCTCCAGCCTGCAATTGGGTACATATCTGGATCGCATGCCGTCGACGGCCCGGTTGGTCATGCAGTCGCCGTGCTTCTTTCATCAGCGGTTCGACGATGCGGTGAATATCCAGAAAGTGCTGGAGGAGATCGCAGATGACGAATGGCTGTCCCATTCGCGCTTGGTTCAGACTGCCACGGGTGTCCGAGAGGTCTCGAAACAGTTGCAACGGCGACCCATCAAACGCGCTGTGAAGAATGTCATGATCGTGACGAAGGCGCGGGATAACAGTCTCGTACATCTGACGCGTGAGTTGACGGAATGGCTGCTGTCGACGCCGCGGTACGGAAGCGATCTGGGTGTCAATGTATATGTGGATGCGAAGCTGCGGAGATCCAAGCGATTCGATGCGCCGGGATTGACGGCGAAGGAGCCTCGGTTCGAGAAGATGCTCAACTACTGGACTCCCGATCTATGCTGGACGTCGCCGGAGATGTTTGATCTCGTGCTGACGCTGGGCGGCGACGGAACGGTGCTCTTCACCTCGTGGCTCTTCCAGCGTGTTGTTCCGCCTATCCTGTGCTTCTCTCTCGGGAGTCTTGGGTTTCTGACGAACTTCGAATTCGAAAACTACAAGGACCACTTGAATGCGGTCATGGGGGAGATCGGCATGCGGGTTAATCTACGGATGCGGTTCACGTGTACCGTCTTCCGCAAGGACCGCAGCAAAGGTGCGGATGCCGACGCTGTCGAGGAAGGAGAGCAGTTTGAGGTGCTGAATGAACTGGTCATGGATCGAGGTCCCTCGCCATATGTATCCAATCTGGAACTCTACGCGGATAACGATCTTCTCACTGTCGTTCAAGCCGACGGCTGTATCTTCTCCACACCAACTGGTAAGCTTATCTTCCGTTTCTGAGGGCGCAACTAACGGACTTAGGGTCTACCGCTTATTCACTGTCCGCCGGAGGATCGCTCATCCACCCTTCTATTCCCGGCATTCTCCTCACCCCTATCTGCCCGCACACCTTATCCTTCCGCCCCATGGTCCTCTCAGATTCTCTCCTACTACGCATTGCCGTCCCTGCCGGATCCCGCTCGACCGCCTACTGCTCTTTTGACGGCAAGGGTCGCGTCGAGCTGCGCCAAGGAGACTACGTTACCGTCGAAGCTAGTCAATATCCCTTCCCCACCGTCGTGTCCGGTAGCGGCGAGTGGTTTCAGAGCGTCCAGCGTGCTCTCCGTTGGAACATGCGTGGCGCCGTGCAAAAAAGCTGGCAACGTGGCTCCGAAGCGGGCGTGGACGCCATCGACGAAGAAAACGAAGAAGAAGAATGGGACATCGACACGGATGCCGGTCTGGCCGGCACAGACAGTGGCTTCGGTCCTAGCGAAGACGGCGACGCGGGATCCATCAGCCCGATGAAGCGCCAGATGAGCATGCTTAGCATGTAGCCACTTCATATCACCATACACCCTCTCATATTACTACACCCTGCACTACATATACACAGGCCTATTACTCTCGTGCTTGTGCCGATCCCTTACTCAGAGCATATATACTAGGTACACCGCTGGCTTGGCGCTTGGACTCGTGTTTTTTTATTTGTTTATGGTTTATTATTCATCCGGTTTGGATTTGGAAAGGATATCATCATACAGATACAGATACAGGGCTGGGGATATCCCTTGTTTCACTCTTTTTGTTTCTTACTAGCGTTCTTAGACTTGGTTTTTCATTTGGTTTCGTGGTCCCGTCTATGTTGCGAGCCTTGCTTGCTTAGCGAGTTTCATTTAATTCAATCTATTGTATTTCGTGGGGTCGTCTGCTGACGAGGCCATCGCTCGGGTTTTCATTTAATTCCATTCCCCCCCCCCCCCTATCCTTGGATTGTCTCCAATATTTCCTGCGATGAAGACAGATTTTTCTGCTGGTTTTCACAGTGTGGTACAGAAGTCAAATTATGTAACCGGGCGGACGGTGATGCAATGCGTACGACTATTGCTCCAGCCCCGAGGTTGTCCACAGCATGCTTTCGCACAATGTGGCACTCTGTGGAAGTTTCAGTGCCTCAGGTTGCAATATGCCAAGTACATCTCATGCAACAACCGGGAAGAGATTCTTTTCCGGAACAACCATCTCAAGCAGTTGACTCATTCTCGTTCATCTTCTACTATCTTCCCTACGTCCGTGTGCCCACATCTTGGTTTTGGTCCGCTGTCATTCTCAGACGGCACAACCTCCTTTTTCGGCAGGAAGCAATCCCCGATAGGTATGTACTGGTATATACGTACTTATGTTACACCTGCGCCCAGTTCCTGAGATGCTGTGAAACGCCAATTTCTACATGCCTGCAGCATCTGCAAGGATATGGGAACTGTGCCTTCGCCACTGGATGCTGTTCTATCAATATTCGTTACCTTCATTATGTACGTCTTACTTTACCCTATAAACCCCGAATCCTGCCATAGGTCATCTCTACCCTGTTCAGGTAGGTACCCGACGCAATACTACCGGTTTATATCACCAATCACACCCCTCGGCCAACAAGGCAGCCAACTGCTCGAGGAACTTCCGATCCACGTCATCGAACCCGTTCGGTTCGGCACAGTCGATATCGATGATCGCGACAGTCTAAATAACCCGAAACCGCATTAATAACTAGTCACCCAACACAGGCGCCAAATGTGGCAAGGTAAAGGACGGGGATCAAGATGGAACATACCTCTCCACCGCTCAAAATCGGCACCACGATCTCGCTCCGACTACTCGCGTCGCACGCAATATGACCCGGGAACTCTAACACGTCGGGCACCACCACCGTCTCTTTCTTCTGCGCCGCCGTACCGCACACGCCTCGTCCGAAGCGGATCTCCTGACACGCCGGTCGGCCTTGGAAGGGGCCTAGGACGAGGACGTCGGTCTTTGCGGTGCGCTCGGCGGTCGAGGCGCCGAGGACGGGGAACTTGTCTTGGCGGATGTAGAACCCGGCCCAGTTTACGGAGGAGGAGGGGGCGGGGAGAGAGGCGTAGGCGTGCCAGAGGAGGGAGGCGACGTTGGAGAAGTTGCTGGTTTGGTGGGGTTGGTTAGATTATGTTGCGATGCGATGCGTCGCGTTGCGTCGCGCTCGTGGGGTGGAAAGAGGGGAGGGAGGAGATTTACCTGACCTGTTTGAGAATATTAGCTTCTAGATCAAGAGACATTCGAAGGAGAAGGTATATTTACCCAGTTTCTTTGACCGTAGATCAGTCCCGTACTCTGGTCAATGACTTGTTGATAGATGTCGGTTTTGGAGGCGTTAGGCCCCCCGAAGTAGGAGGAGTCAGCGTGAGGCTAGAACTGGCATCAGTAGGAGTCATCCGTTATCAATCCGGGTTCTCGTACCATGATGGCTGCGTACTCTGTAGATAGAGTGAGATTGATACCAGGGGAGAGATCGGCGCCGAAGGAGAGAAAAATGCCAAGTGGGGTACGGGCCCCGAAAGAGGCAAGACTTCCAGTCAAAGTCAAAGAGGGTAGGTCGACCCGCAATTCCGTCATCTCCACGCCTTGTTGTTGACTGCCTTCTCGGTTAGTGTACTTGAACTTCCGGAGGAGTATATATTCGCTCCGTCCGGGTCTTCCGGGTCGCCACTGAATTCGATTGGAACGTGCCATTGAATTGAATTGAATTGGGTCCAAGATGTTCACATTCGCCCTGATCGCCTTATCATCCTTATCGTCCGCTAGAGAGGTCGTCTTCCCTCCGGTGGCCGCCGTCCACTCCTCCGGTCAATTGCCTCTGGGACATCATGACACGATCGATATCACCTCCAAAAGCCAGTTCTCGGGGTTGACGACCTTTGCGCACCTTCCGTATGTCAACTGCTTTCTGGACGAGGAGTCTAGCAAACAGCCTTATGACATTGCTATAATGGGAGCTCCGTTCGATACGGTATGCCGCCTCGGCTCTAACGCTCGTTGATTGGAATTGAGATTGACCTGCTACAGGCCGTCACTTTTCGTCCCGGGGCCCGGTTTGGTCCCGGAGGAATCCGTCTTGGCTCTCGTCGACTCGGTGGCTGGAGTATCTACACGGGCGAAAACATCTACGAGGACAGCTGGGCGAAACTAGTCGATTGCGGAGATGCACCGCTCACGTGGCTCGATAATACCGTCGCACTGAAGCAGCTGGACCTGGCTCACAAGGTATGTATTTCTTTGTCTATGTCAGTAGTATCTGCGAGTCTAACGCAGATAGGTTGTGTCTTCCCGTTCTGCCAACACTACTCAAATGGGACGCGTCCCTCGTATCATCACGCTGGGTGGTGATCACACGACGACTCTTTCGGCGTTGAGATCCACCTATGACAATTGGGGGCCTGTGTCGGTGATTCATTTCGATAGTCATATAGGTATGTTGGATGTTCCGTTCTACCGTGCTTGGGTGTGGCTAATGTCGTAGATACTTGGGATCCGGAGGTACTGGGTAGGTTTTTCAAGTCTATTTTTTGTAATTCACTGAGCTAATGTGGATAGGTGGTGGAATATCTCACTATGCGTGAGTACTACTGTACAGTGCCCATCCCTGTTATTACAATTCTAATCTGGCCCAGTGGCGTCAACCATGGCACGTTCCTGCATATAGCCCACGAGGAGGTGTGTCTACCCTTGTCGCCAGAGTGTACCTTGCTGATATCTCCAGGGGTTGATCCGAAACTCTTCAATTCACGTTGGACTCCGAGCCCCCGTCAACGCTGGGAAAACGGACATCCGCAATGACATCCGTTGTGGGTTTGACATGATCAAAGCACGAGACCTCGACCGAATCGGCATTAACGGCGTGATCGAACAAATCAAGTCTCGTGTCAGGAATAGTCGGGTTTACATTTCTGTTGATATCGACGTGTTGGATCCGGCTTTTGCACCAGGTAAGTCTGGTCTTGTCTTGTTCATTGTGTGTGGCGATATGGCGGGGCTGGGCTGACCCTATTAGGAACCGGCACGGCGGAACCCGGCGGATTCACCAGCCGCGAGCTTCTTTCTATTCTTGACGGTTTGCGTGGGCTTCCTGTTATCGGAGGTGATGTGGTTGAGGTCGCGCCGATTTATGACACCGCTGGCGAGACTACGACGTTGGCGGCTGCTGAAGTGGTTAATTCGTTGCTGGCTTTGATGGTTGCTACTCCTGTTTCTGCGTGATATACAAGATAGACGACGGAGACCGTATCTCAGGCTGGTCATAAACAATACACGCCTTTGACACGATATACGCTAGTGACTATGGTAATAGGGATTCTACATACGTTTCCTGCCAATTTCCGAACCACCGTAGGCTGCCAGTCCCATTTTCACAATCTATTAGCTAACAAGATTATCCCATGCCGATTCCCCACGCCCTGTCAGCCTTCTTATCAAGCTATCACCCACGTCAATCTCCTACTCCAAGTCTGAATAACGCAACTTAGTCTTTTATCAGACAAACAAATGGGACCAACTCTAAGCCCCGTCCGGCTTCCGATTTGTTCCCCCGCAAAACGAGCTCCACCCGTCGCCCCGAGTTTCTCTATCGGGTAAGCATCTACATCATCCCTCCTTATCGCCCTCGGCTTCTACTATCTACTATCGCGACCCTGCGGTCATTTCCCGGGGAAGGGATAGACCCACGTAGAGGGTTTGCTGCTTTAAATACGAATTTCACTGTGCTTGTCCTAGGAATAAGTTGAGTTCGCCGGCTTGGAGGACCAGATTCCGGTTAATTGTCACTATGGCAGAGAACGATGCGAAAGCGAAGGTGTTGGCCCCTTCGACACGGGAGGATGCTCTCGTCGAGCAACTGGGATACGAGCAAGAATTGAAACGAACCTTTGGGTTGCTCGGCATGATTGGATTCAGCTTTAGTGTCGTCACATCGTGAGTTACTGTTACTGTCTACCTTGAATGTGTGTCGGCTAACATCCGTAGATGGACCGCTTTGAGTGGTGTCTTTATCGTCGGCGTCAAATCTGGCGGCCCTCCTGTCATGGTGTTCAGTTTCATCGCCGTCTGTTTCCTTACCCTCGCCGTTGCTATCCCCATGGCCGAAATGTGCAGTATGTATCCTGTCGCGGGAGGACAGTATTCGTGGGTTGCGGCACTTGCGCCTCCACGGATAGCCAGGGGATTGTCCTACATCAGCGGATGGTTTATGCTTATCGGTTTGTCTACCGCATCATAGAATCGATAACATCGGTCTAATAAAAACATCCTATAGGCATCCTCGCAATGGGAGCAACCAACAACTCCATCGGCGCCAATTTCATCCTCGGCATGGCCAATCTTGTGTTCCCCGAGTTCGAGATCCAACGATGGCAGACCGTACTCGTCGCCTACTGTGTCGCTTTTATCTCAGCCTCGGTTAATATCTGGGGACCTCATCTCCTAAACCGAATCGCTCGATTCATCCTCATCTGGAACGTCGGTTCGTTCTTGATCACGATGATCACCCTCCTCGCTACGAACGACAACAAGCAGCCCGCGTCATTTGTCTTCCATGACTTCCAGAACTTCACAGGCTGGGGGTCCTCGATGGCTGCCATCGTCGGCATACTTCAAGCCTGTTTCGGAATGTGTTGCTACGACGCCCCGTCACACATGACCGAGGAGATGAAGTCCGCGTCGAAGGAAGCTCCCAAAGCAATCATCCTGTCCGTGGTCCTCGGCGCCGTCACCGGCTTCGCATTCTTATTAACCCTCTGCTTCTGTATCGGTGACATCGACACCACAGCAAACACGTCCACCGGTGTCCCAGTCATCCAGATCTTCTACGACTCCACAGGCAGTAAAGTAGGAACTTGTTTCCTGTCCAGCATGATCGCCGTGATTGTTCTCGTCGCGGGGAACAATCTTCTCGCCGAGGGATCGCGGTCAGTCTATGCCTTTGCCCGTGATAACGGGTTACCATTCTCATCTATCCTGGCTAAAGTCGATCCCAAGCGGCAAGTCCCTGTCAATGCGGTCCTTCTTACCCTAGTCGTGCAGTTAGCCCTAGACGCTATCGACTTCGGAACCACGACGGGGTTCGAGACAGTCATTGCTATTTCGACCGAGGGCTTCTACGTCTCTTACGCTATTGCACTCTCATCCCGTCTCATGGGCTACTTCACGTCACATAATCCGGCGATGAAAGGACCTTTTGCGCTTCCGACCTCCGTGTCCATCGCATTGAATGTTCTCGGTCTGTTGTTTTTGCTCTTCGCGGCGATTACGTTTAATTTTCCGACGTCGTATCCGGTGACACATGATTCTATGAATTATACTTCTGCGGCGGTCGGGGTGATTGCGTTGATTGCTGGAGTGACGTGGGTTTTGACGGGGAGGAAGAGCTTTACGGGGCCGCCGGGGATGAGAGTTTTGGATGGGTGTGAGGGGGTGAGACAGGTAGAGGGGGATACTGGTGTAGATGCGCGTGAGAGTAAGGAGCAGGGGGAGAAGAGGTAGGGATTGTTTGTTCATTGTTTAATGTTCTCTCATGGTATATGGTCACGGTGGGTATGTACATATGAGTAATGCTCCTCATCGTCTTCCGGGTAGAGTAGATATCTCGTGCACTAGTTTCCATGTCTGCGTACTCCCTGAGAATCAGCCATATGTCACTGCCATACCCCAGAGCTCGTCAAAATGTTGAAAAGGTATACGAGGGTTTGAAGCGCCGCTGCGCCCTTGGCGCTGAAAACTTGTTCTTGTCACTTTTTTATGATGTCAGGGGACTAGAAAAGCGTCAGAAGGGATTAAAACTTATAGCGGTCACTATTGGATTTTTCTCCAAGGGAAAATGGAAAGATGTGGTATATTTCGATGGGATCACCTATCTTGATAATAACGGGGCGATTATGATTTCTCCTGCTTATAATCTGCTCTGTGGGCTGAGACAGTTCATTCCCCTCCAGTCGCGGAATTTTGCTTGAAGCTAGGGGAATTGTTCCCGCTGGTTCCTCAACCGTGAACGAGCGCCTCGAAAGGAGTCTCAAAGAATGGCATGTTTTTCTATGTGAACTCGAGTGATCATGCCTGTGTGCGCCAATGTTATTGACTGTGGTATGTTGGTGAAAATTGAGATAAGGTGTGGTTGAAGTTTCATTTATGTGGTCAGCGAGGTGGAGTGCCAAATTTATAACGATCGATAATAGACTCAATGCTCGCGTGGATGTAATATGTAGCTCTCGTCTGATAACCTACTCCAGCTAATCAATGCAAGGGCTAACAAATGAAAATAAGACAACTTACTAAAAAATTGTATGTGATATCATTATCAACGTCAATGCATACCCAGATGTTTGCTCGCAGATATTTCATCCTCCAGAGCAACCTCAAATAATCTCCCTGGGCTGAACTCGCACCCCAGCTTTATAATCGCCGTCATCAATATCAAATCGGGTCTCCATATCCGACAAGGGCATGCCATTATCCGCGTCACCGTGTTTCGATTTCAACATTGACTTCCTCGAAGCAATCTGCGCTTTCAAGCCTTTGTGGAAATTCCGCATACACATGATACCAGTAATGATGGTCATCATGATCAGACTCAATGTAATCGCGATGAGCAGCGTGAGGGATAGCTTCGTGGAGCCGTAGTCTGCTGAACCGTTCATGGTATTCATCCACCAGAGGAGAGTGACGAAACAGGCCATGTTGATGGAGAGGATGATCTAGTTGGTATTGATTAGCTGGTCAGTAATAGTAGGGAAGGTGCTGCGTACAATGATAATCACCATTCCGATGGTCTTCTCGCGTCTGGTGAACAGCGCCGCCAGATAGAGTGTGATCATTGACAGAGGAATGAACGCCATGCTGATGATTGATTCGAGGCTCCAATCCTCGGAGATGATTCTCAGAAGGACGAGCATAAGGCATCCGTTGATGAAGAAGAAGTCGAATTTCAAGAGCGCGATGTAGACCTGGTATGTTATGAATCGACGCTTCATTCCTAGGTCCGCGCTGACATTTTTGAAGAACGCCCAGGAGAATTCCGAGTGCAGTTTCCATGTCAGGACACACATGATGATCGACCCGAAGGCCATCATCGCCGGCACCAGGATGATGTGGACTTTGTATTTCCCCCAGAGGTCGTCGTGGGTGTTGGAGTTCTCGTTCATAACGCCGACAGCAATCATGATTTCCTTAACTTGAACCACTCCGTACATCGCAAGGCCGACATTGCATATACACAGCCCAATCAGCTGGATTGCGTTCTGGTGTCGTAAACCATCCCACACTAACAGGAGCTCGTACAGTAGGCCGAAGGTGTAGAGACCCAGGGATGTTCGAATCGGTTTAAAGGCGACTTCATTGTCGGAAAGCCCTTCCAGGTTTTTCTCAAAGTCCATGATCATGAAACTGCTCGGGTCAGATGGGCGCGACGAGAGTGCTTGGCTTCAGCTGGTACCTTTCAATACCTACTGTGAAGCAGTTTTGGACGACAGCCGTGATCATGAAGGACTTTGTCCAGAGGGAGTTGGGTTTGTATACAGTGGCATTTTGTTTCGGATTTCCCGCTTTGGCTTCACTGGATGGATAGTATTGTAAGCAATTACCATGGGATGTTTGATTGAGATGTGTATACCTTTTAAACATGATAAAAGGTAGCTATCAGCATTTGACTAGGTGCGGGTTTTGTGTATTTCAATATCAGGCAGGCCCAGGAGAAAAGCCCTGGAACAGCCAGATGAGAGAAAAGGAGGATAACATGTCGCACTTGAGGGATTGGCAGCTTGACAAAACCGTTTGAAGGTAATAACTATTAATATTAATAGTTCTCCACTTCCCCTGAGCCAATTTTCAGGCAGCACCTAATCTGCAGGAACCGCTGGCCACGTTTGAAGTCCCACCTTCTCATTCAAGAACTAAAATAAGGATGGTCCAGTTCTTGGCAGTCTAAGCTTGGATACCTATCCGAACCCGAATCCGAACCCGAGAAACCACATTATCGACTGGAGTGATCGCCACTCGAAGGCCCTCGGGTTCGGATTCTGATACGAATCCATGGGATTACGTGAACTAGCGGCTTGGCCCGCACACTCGAACCCCTGAGGAACTTACCCCTTTATCCATTAGAGATAGAGAAGAAGAGAATCATTATGCAAGAGAATTAAGAGCTCTATCATTCAAAAGGCATTCGCTCCTTAGTAGGCTACGTGCGTATAGCCGATACAGTGTCATTCTGCCCTCCTTCCCCTGTGCATTTCACAACAGTCTACAATGCAAAAGACGCAAGGTCAAGGTTCGCTCCCACCCAGCCCTAAGTCCACCTCCACCCCAGCTAAGCACACCACCCACCATCGTCAAGTGCGACGAACGAAAACCCGGCTGTAGAAAATGCCAGGTCCACGGCATCGAAATGACGTGCACATACCCAGCAGTGGAGGAAGCAACCCCAGCTCCAGCCACAGCCCCGGCCTCCAGCACGCCCAGTAGTAGCCCATCACCCCTGAGGAGCGTAACTTCTCAGCCTCTCCTTCTCTTCTCCCTGGAACTGCTGCATTTATGGACAACAGAAACTTCGCAGACGCTGTCTGCCCGCCCAGAAATATCCACAATGTGGCGCGACTATGCTCCGTACGTGGGCTTCTCGTGCCCTTTCGTCATGCATGCAATCCTCGCCGTCGCCGCCTTGCATCTATCCCGACGGTATGAGCCAGAGCGCAGACAGCAGTGTCTGGCGGAGGCTCAAACCCACCATATCGCAGCTATACAGATGGTCGCTCCGAACATCAGCCGCCTGGTCGAGGAGCACGGCACCGCGGTGATCCTCTTCTCGTGGCTCATCTGCGTCCATACGTGCGGTCGCCCTCGCGCGCGGGACGACGGCCCCGCAGAATGGCTCACCTAGTTCTGCGGGAACAAGGTGATTCTGGACTCGAGCAGTAGCTGCTTCTGCGCGGGGATTCTGGCGCCGGTGTTTAGCAATCAACGCTCTGCTGAAGCCGTTGAGATGCGTTGCATTTCACTGCGGCGTTTAATCTTGCCGGTAGAGGCTTTCTCATTTTCTTGAGGCGTTTGAATTGCAATTTGCTGTCGATCTTGAATCGTGTTGAATACTGCAGGGGCCTCCTTCACCTCTAGTAGCCAGTGTTTGAATCTTCTGAAGACTTTGCAAAACGGGGTGCCTTCACGATCTTCAAGTACCTCGAGGCCCTGATTCAGGTAAAGACCTTCATTGAGTTTCGATTCTGCATACAAATTACTAGGCAATACGAAACCTTCATGATCCAATATTTTTTTGGTTTATGTTCTTGTTTATTTTGTTTGTTCTCTGGCGGTGATATCCAAAGTTGAGTTCTGTTTATAAAGTATCCATCCTACATCAACACATCTTATCACAGCCACCGTCAAGACTTTATTCTATTCTGCCCACGCTATAAAAGTACGTCCATCCCAATCAGATCAAAGTGCCGAATACGAGCTGCTGCTGCTAGACGTGTTGTTTCCACTCTCAGCAACCATCTTGGCCTGAACGGTGGTTGACAGGAAGACTAAATATTTATGCTCTTTGGCGATAATGGATCCATGGACGGGGGCTAGACCTCGGAATTATGCAGTAAAAGTACAAACTAGAATAAGGAATCAATCACAATTCTATCTGACCTATCTATCCAATATACGTAACACACATACAATAATCAAATGCGGGCCCATACCTTTCCCTATAACTAAGAACAACTCATACATGACTATCACTCCGACTGCCCGCAGTCATTTTATAAGATGCAGGACTTGGTCCCTTTGACTCCCGCCACTCATTCAACGACAGGATAGTAGCATAAACCGCGAGTCCACTATGAATTCAGCCGTTAATATCGACCACCAGAGGCATACACACAGCCAATAAACGTACCTAATAAGAAGAGCAATAACCATCACAGTCCACCCCATCTCGCACCCCGGAGACACGCATGCTTTCACATTCACTTGGATGTTCAGGAACACGACCGCGGCCCAGAAGACAATCTCCAGAGCATTGAGAATAGTGTAGGCTTTGAAACTGGCCCATTTGCGCAGCCTGTCGACGTATTCGGTTAAGAGTTGGTAAGCTATTATGACTAGTGATTTGGCACCCTGGGGTAGTTGGTTTTGTATTTAGTATGCTGGTTATCTGTGCTTTGGGGGTGTTAATGTAGCGTACCATGCCGAGGCCCATTGTTGTTGCACGCGTCCGGGGTTGGTTCTTCATGAACATCCGCAGGATCGTAAATCCAATTACTATCACGACTAGGAGGATTTGGAAGCAGTGGAGGGGGAGTTTCCAGCGGGTTTCAAGGAGTCCCATTGTGAATGTTAGGTGTAGTATAATTTGATAGTGGAGTTAGGATACATCGACGGGGTCTGAAACTATCTTTTCGAGGTTATTCGAGGTGATTTATATAATATCTTTCACCTAGTTTCTGTATACATCTTGACTGGCAGAATTTTCAATCCAAATATAGAGAATAATACCTATACCAAGACCCTGAAGTCTCGTATTCGGTTCCTGCGAGGCATCGAGATTTAATACTATTTAGGAAAGTTTAAACAATCTCTGCATGTCAATCGACGCTGGGAATAAGAATCTAGACTTGACAGCCAAGGTACACTAATCGAATGTTATCTTATAATTAGAACGAGGCTATAATCAGGTAACAAATAAAATAAGGGTCTAACTAGATGCGTTTCAATTATACCCTCTTCTGCATTACCATATTAGATTCTCGGGAGCCTAAAAATCTGTAATCAGGGCCAGGATTGGGACGAAACAAACCTTAAGCGATATCAATCAGAACCTGAACCCGAACCCAAGGATCGGCGATCGCCCTTTATCGCTCCATTTAATGCTAAAAATCACACCATAACAATATAGACCCACTATACTACTAGTACTGCTAAGCCCTTCTACCAGAAAATTTGATCCGAACCCGAACCTGAACCGACCTGCGAGGTGGGACCAGTTTCCAGGGCACAGGATTGTGGATACAAAACCCTAGTTTTAATGCAAGATAATTTATTTGATAAAACACATAGCAGAAAAGCACAAAGCCATGTAAACTAATCCTTCATCCAGGCTCCTCACGGCCTGTATCTAGTATCCTCACGTTCCACATTCCTCGAGTCCGTAAGATGATAAGCCGCCTCATCCTGGATAGCGTCCCAGTGTTTCTTCTGCCTGGCCACGACAGACTTGCACCTCCCAGGCAGATGCCAAATCCCCCATCCCAGCAACATCACCGCACACTGATAGATATCAAACGCATAAGCGGCCCACTCTGCACTAGCCATAAAGCCCTTGGCCTCCCCGAGCAGCTGCATCTGGATGGCATTATGCCCAATTGCGAGAATCGAGATCGCCAGCATGAAGAGCTAATTCCAGCGCTTCCAATTGGGTATCATCTCGAGACTTTCGGTGGTCGGGTGCCGCCGCAGACGGAAGTTCAGCCAGACGTTTTCGACGAATGTCAGAAGCCAGAAGATGAGCTGGGTGATGAGACTGGCATTAACCAGCGTCTTGTATAGGGTTTTCTTGCTCTCGTCGGAGGTGGCCACTAGCATGACGATGGAAAACACCATGAGAAAGAGAACGGTGCTCAGCGCAAAGTAGAGAGGTCTTGCGATTCGAGGCCGCACAAATACATGCTTCTCGGTGTGCAGCGCTTTGACGAATTCTGCGTGGCTCAGATGAACCGTGAACATGAGCATGTTCGGTCCCCAAAGGAGAAGGACCTTCTGTGCGGCCCAGGGCCCTTTATCGTGGATATCGTGTGAGGACATGATGCGTGCGCCGCGCCCATCCCTAGAACTATTGGGCGGTTGTTAGACACCGAATGTAAAGTATGTCGACCAGATGTTTCATAAAGACTCAAAATATCTGCCTAAAGCCATGAAGCTTCCGTCCCATGCTTTTGTTGATGCAACTCGGAATATGTGGATGGCTGTCAGCGTGCAGTAAGCCCCCACGCCGATAATTGCGAGGATTTTATCGGGCGCGTATACGTAATAGGCTGTGCCTGACATGATGGAAATGATTGCCAGGGTTGATTTGAGACGAAACGACTTGTGGAAGTTTTCTTGGAGAAGCGAAATAACAGAACAGTCTGTGAAGAGCTATCAAAGCAATTTCACGAGTCACGACCATGCCAAAGGATTGAAGGTCTATTTCTATCACTCATGAGGCTCATTGGATTCGAAAATTTCTATCAAATAGAAAAGATAGGCAGCCGCAAAAATCCATCAATGCTACTAAATGGTGTGACGCGAATTCTCAAGTAAAACCAAAGCTCTGCCGAATACCGTCCTACGGACTTGGTAATACGCCCTTAGTATTCTGGATTTTGAAGTTAGATTTTAATTTTCTAGAAAATTTCCACTATAATATCTAGGCTTCTGCAGCCCGTTGATCACTCTCCACATCCTCGTTCCGGCTCGGGGTTCGGGTCCGGGTTTAGGTTCGCACAATTAGGGCCTCACGCACAACCAATGAATGGTTATAGAGGTTTTATTAAGAGCCGAAACGGAACAGGGGATTTTCATATGTTGCACGATGATAAGCTTGAACTTGTATAGTGTGGTCCTGCTGGAGTTAATCTATGGAATACATCACAGCAACACTTTCCCTGCCACTTTCGAGTTACCGCATTCGCTCTCCATTATTGATATCATGACTTGGGAAGGGATTTCATACTGCTTAGAATTTTTCAATTGTTGAAGTCCACGCTGTGCCATATCAGGTGTAGTTGGAATTAGAACTTCCTCATCTTAGAAAGATAGACGTTGAAGTCGAGGTCGAAGGGGAGGAAATGTCGACCTCCGCCCAGTTGAGGGAAAGCATAAAGAAAATAATTGATTAAGGAGTAACAGATGTTATTACATTGTCACTTGATTTCGAGAGTTCCTAAATGCACGGAAGGTTATGAAATGACAAAATGAATAGTTGCAACCAATTGAGTTCATCATGGAGCTTGACATTGTGGTAGAAGAGCATAACCATACCGTAGTTGATCACCTGATGCACGCCCCCACCTGATGCACGAAAATCAATTGCACACCGATATTTTCACGATTTT